TAGTTTAAGTGAGGAGAATAAAAAGTTAAATAATTAATTAAAGGTTTTACAAAACTAATAATAAGCAATTTAAGCTTAATTGAATATTCATACATAAATTTATTTACTAATATGTAAATTGATGAAAAACATCTATGATGTAAATATTGAAATGGATATTTATAAGTTTATGAAATAAGATGAAGATTGTGAAGAATACATGATATTTTTTGAAGGCATTATATCTGTATTTAAAGGATTTAACCATGATATAGCTGCAATAAGTCCTTAATTATCTCCTTTACTCTTTCCTTATATTAAATTTAATTGAATATAATTTTGCTATTTTATTTTATTTTTTTTGTAATAAAAGTTCTTTAGAATTATAAATCTTATTATTTGATAATAAATATTTTTATAGAAATCAATAGTGTAAATTTATGTCTAAATATCAAGATTAAGATTGATTAATTAGAAATATTAACATTGCCCATGTGGCGCAATTGGTAGCGCGACAGCCTTCTAAGCTGTAGGCTGCAGGTTCAATCCCTGCCATGGGTGATTCTTTTTTTTAAATAATTTATTATATTTAATATTTAATTAAATTTATCAAATAGTTTATTATTATTCTAATTTTATAAGAATTTAAGATGGATGACCTACTTTAAGTATTTTCATAATCTTTAGTATTAGATCAGGATCATTAAATTAATTCTACTTTATCTTTTCAATAATCTTTAATATATAAACCATACATGCTTCACTTTTCATATTTTCATCTAAATCTAATAATCTTTTTGCAATTTTTATAAATTATCAGATATCCTATAATAATATAAAGGTTTAACTCATTTTAAACATTAAATTTTCACTTGAATCTATTTTAAATAATTATTTTATAGTTTGAATGTCATTATTTGATGTATTTTATAAGGATTTAATTGCATCATATATCTATGAATCAGTAGATTATTTTAATTAAAGAGTTTATTCTAATTAATTTTTAAAGATCAAGAAACAATCAACATATTTAGAATCAAATTTCCATTTTTGAATTATTGGAAATACTTATTCTAAATTATATTATTCTTCATTTTAGTCATATATTAATTCACAAATTTGTTTACAAAATTATTCCAAATGAGCAACCCCTAACATGACAGTTTTAACTTTTTCAGCAGTAATTAATAATTATTCCATAGAATTTACAGAAAAAATTTCCATTAATTTATTTATATCATTATCATCGTGTTCAAATGTACCGGTTTTGATAGTTTTATTAATTGTTTAGATGAAATTAAATGATTCTTATAATTCTTGCTTAGTTTCTTAATACAATTCTTTTAATTAATTAAGTTAATCAGTAAGAAATGAATTATTGTCTATCAATCTTTGATTTTCTTTTTTGATTTTATTTAATTCTTAAACCAACAATTAGTTTTCTTTAGTAAGTGATTGATATGTTTAGATTCTTAGTTTTATTTCTTTAATTGATTAAATTCGGTCAGAAACTTATTCAATAATTCTGAGTTGTCTGTTGACATGTTTATTTAAATTTAAATTAAATTACATTTATTGATTTTAAATATTTTTATGTATGTATATGTACATATATATATATGTGTATGTATTATAATAAAATTAGATAATATAGATACAAGTTATAAAAATAAGTGAATATCATTTCTAGAATTTAGTTTTTAATCTTGAATACTTTTTAGGATCAATACTTGTATTATGATTTCTTAATTTTCGCATTTATTCACTAGTAAATTCAAAAGAGACTTATTTATTAGATGGTCTCATCATTGGACTATTAAGACTTTACATACTTAATCTACCTCCAATTTTGAGTACTTCAAAAGAACTTGATTTTAAAATACCCTTTTAAGAAGAAGCAGAACTACCTTTTTGTGATTACATACAATCATTATTAGCCAATATTCTTGATATTCTTTATGGATATGAAAATGATAAGCTATTTAAATCATTATTATTTTTATTCACTATTTATGTTACATAAATTTATCTCTTTGGTTTCCGAGGTGATATTATATTTGTTTAAGGTTTATATGAGTTTTTGTTTAATCTATTTTAAGATTGTTTATCAACTTAATTACGTGAATTATATCTTCTTCTAGAGTTAGATAAATGAATTTCAGTCTATTTTAGATTTTCTAATGTATGATTAATTTATTGTCTACTTTGAGTTTACATATTTGAGGTCGATACTTAATTTGTAGACTTAACCCCATTCGATTATAAATAAGTTTCATCTTTACATATAAGCACATCTTTAAATTTACACATCAATGTATTTATGCCATTCATTCTTTTATATACTGAAGTACCTTTATCATCTAATTCATGGTGAAAATTTGGAGTCAAGTATTTAAAATCTATTGTTTTAATGGCTTCATCTGAATTTATAGATTCATCTGAATCAAATTCATTATTCATTTTATTTAATGTCTGATTATGATTTTGCTTTTATTCTCTAACTAATTCGATTACTCTTTCGAGGGGGTCTTTCGATTTATTATGCAATTTACACATATATATTTATCAAATCNATTTTATAAGGATTTAATTGCATCATATATCTATGAATCAGTAGATTATTTTAATTAAAGAGTTTATTCTAATTAATTTTTAAAGATCAAGAAACAATCAACATATTTAGAATCAAATTTCCATTTTTGAATTATTGGAAATACTTATTCTAAATTATATTATTCTTCATTTTAGTCATATATTAATTCACAAATTTGTTTACAAAATTATTCCAAATGAGCAACCCCTAACATGACAGTTTTAACTTTTTCAGCAGTAATTAATAATTATTCCATAGAATTTACAGAAAAAATTTCCATTAATTTATTTATATCATTATCATCGTGTTCAAATGTACCGGTTTTGATAGTTTTATTAATTGTTTAGATGAAATTAAATGATTCTTATAATTCTTGCTTAGTTTCTTAATACAATTCTTTTAATTAATTAAGTTAATCAGTAAGAAATGAATTATTGTCTATCAATCTTTGATTTTCTTTTTTGATTTTATTTAATTCTTAAACCAACAATTAGTTTTCTTTAGTAAGTGATTGATATGTTTAGATTCTTAGTTTTATTTCTTTAATTGATTAAATTCGGTCAGAAACTTATTCAATAATTCTGAGTTGTCTGTTGACATGTTTATTTAAATTTAAATTTAAATTAAATTACATTAATTGATTTTAAATATTTTTATGTATGTATATGTATATATATATATATGTATGTATTATAATAAAATTAGATAATATAGATACAAGTTATAAAAATAAGTGAATATCATTTCTAGAATTTAGTTTTTAATCTTGAATACTTTTTAGGATCAATACTTATATTATGATTTCTTAATTTTCGCATTTATTCACTAGTAAATTCAAAAGAGACTTATTTATTAGATGGTCTCATCATTGGACTATTAAGACTTTACATACTTAATCTACCTCCAATTTTGAGTACTTCAAAAGAACTTGATTTTAAAATACCCTTTTAAGAAGAAGCAGAACTACCTTTTTGTGATTACATACAATCATTATTAGCCAATATTCTTGATATTCTTTATGGATATGAAAATGATAAGCTATTTAAATCATTATTATTTTTATTGACTATTTATGTTACATAAATTTATCTCTTTGGTTTCCGAGGTGATATTATATTTGTTTAAAGTTTATATGAATTTTTGTTTAATCTATTTTAAGATTGTTTATCAACTTAATTACGTGAATTATATCTTCTTCTAGAGTTAGATAAATGAATTTCAGTCTATTTTAGATTTTCTAATGTATGATTAAGTTATTGTCTACTTTGAGTTTACATATTTGAGGTCGATACTTAATTTGTAGACTTAACCCTATTCGATTATAAATAAGTATCATCTTTACATATAAGCACATCTTTAAATTTACACATCAATGTATTTATGCCATTCATTCTTTTATATAATGAAGTACCTTTATCATCTAATTCATGGTGAAAATTTGGAGTCAAGTATTTAAAATCTATTGTTTTAATGGCTTCATCTGAATTTATAGATTCATCTGAATCAAATTCATTATTCATTTTATTTAATGTCTGATTATGATTTTGCTTTTATTCTCTAACTAATTCGATTACTCTTTCGAGGGGGTCTTTCGATAATTATGCAATAATACAAATATATATTTATCAAATTAAACCTTATTCAACACCAATAAATAAGAAATCATTATTATTTATTCTAATCATCAAAATAATTTACATTATGAGTTAATTTAATTTAATTTATAAAATCATATTAATATTAAATCAAAACTAAAAGGCACTACATAATTTTAGATTTTCATTATTTTCATCATTATAATTTCTAAATTTTATTGTTTACTAACTCTTTTAAAAAGGAGCTTCTTTTAATGATAATTTGAAAAGTTATATTTTAACTTTTTTCAATCGAGGTTATAATAAATGTTTCATACTTCTTATTCCTTCAACTAATCTTTTAAAATATATTTTTTAAAGTATTTAATATCCTTTATTAACTTTTTTGGCTTCTTTCTATTTTATATATTTTAACAGTTTTAAACCTTAAAAAGCTAAACTCATTAATTTCTTTTGTTATTGTCGATATCTTTTTTGTTTATTTTATTCTAAAACTTTTTTTATAGAATAAAATAAACTTGATAAATAAACAACTTAAGGGTAATCTAAAAATCTAGTATTTTCTTGTTCTGAATTATTAATTCTACCAAAAAATCTTTTTATTCTTCTATTAAACATCTTACTCAATGCAGATGTTAATGCCAATGCTTTATTTTATCTTAAAACTTCATATTTAACATCATAGTAATTTTTAGTACTAATTTTTTTCTCTTAAACAGGTAAAGCCTATTCTTCTCTTGGAGATATTTCAAGTTTTGTAGGTTTTAATTATAAATGAAACATTTCATTTTATATAAATATTTATTAAATTATTAGGCTAGATAAAACTCTTTATCTTTTTTTGAAAAAATCTTATTTTCATGATTCAATTAACCACAATTTTTAATTTCCATATAAATATTTATAAGTCTGTTTTAAATATATTATACTAATATTTAAAATATTGTATTTCAACTATATAATTTTTAAGGTGCGGGTTCTTCAGAGAATTACAGTTTCTATTTCTTTCTTAAAATTCGTACACTCTAAGGAATACTTTAGATAGCATTTTATTTTAAATAAGCAACTTAAGAAACTAAATTTTTTAGTTCAGTTAATTTTAAAGTAGCAATTTATAAAATAGATTGTATATATTCTTATCGAAAAGGTAATACTGGAAAGTATTAGAAAAATAACTCTTTTTCATAATTAGGAATTTTCCTTTATTTTCTCTAAGTATTTGAAATAACTTCTTAGCATTTAATTGTATCTTTGAGAAATTTTGGTACAGTCTGAATAATTTTTAGAGGTTCTTCTTAAGGAATAAGATCATCTTTAGGGTATAAATCAGAAGAAATATGTAATTAAGGTTTCTGTATTTATAAAAATACTCTATAATAATTACTTTTATCTCCCTCATTTAATCTAATCAAATAATCTATAAAAGAAGCATAATGGTTGAAAGATTATAATTTAATAAGATCTTGAAAAGTTTCATAGTGAATCTTCTTTTATGCTTAATCCAATTCTTAATTATATTATATTGATTAAACTAAATCAGATAAATTTTAAAGAGTGGGTGAATTGAGTAATTATAACATAGTATCAGTAAGTTACCAATTAATTTATAATCAGAGATCTTTTGATACAATTTTTAACTGTGACTTTGNTAAACTCATTAATTTCTTTTGTTATTGTCGATATCTTTTTTGTTTATTTTATTCTAAAACTTTTTTTATAGAATAAAATAAACTTGATAAATAAACAACTTAAGGGTAATCTAAAAATCTAGTATTTTCTTGTTCTGAATTATTAATTCTACCAAAAAATCTTTTTATTCTTCTATTAAACATCTTACTCAATGCAGATGTTAATGCCAATGCTTTATTTTATCTTAAAACTTCATATTTAACATCATAGTAATTTTTAGTACTAATTTTTTTCTCTTAAACAGGTAAAGCCTATTCTTCTCTTGGAGATATTTCAAGTTTTGTAGGTTTTAATTATAAATGAAACATTTCATTTTATATAAATATTTATTAAATTATTAGGCTAGATAAAACTCTTTATCTTTTTTTGAAAAAATCTTATTTTCATGATTCAATTAACCACAATTTTTAATTTCCATATAAATATTTATAAGTCTGTTTTAAATATATTATACTAATATTTAAAATATTGTATTTCAACTATATAATTTTTAAGGTGCGGGTTCTTCAGAGAATTACAGTTTCTATTTCTTTCTTAAAATTCGTACACTCTAAGGAATACTTTAGATAGCATTTTATTTTAAATAAGCAACTTAAGAAACTAAATTTTTTAGTTCAGTTAATTTTAAAGTAGCAATTTATAAAATAGATTGTATATATTCTTATCGAAAAGGTAATACTGGAAAGTATTAGAAAAATAACTCTTTTTCATAATTAGGAATTTTCCTTTATTTTCTCTAAGTATTTGAAATAACTTCTTAGCATTTAATTGTATCTTTGAGAAATTTTGGTACAGTCTGAATAATTTTTAGAGGTTCTTCTTAAGGAATAAGATCATCTTTAGGGTATAAATCAGAAGAAATATGTAATTAAGGTTTCTGTATTTATAAAAATACTCTATAATAATTACTTTTATCTCCCTCATTTAATCTAATCAAATAATCTATAAAAGAAGCATAATGGTTGAAAGATTATAATTTAATAAGATCTTGAAAAGTTTCATAGTGAATCTTCTTTTATGCTTAATCCAATTCTTAATTATATTATATTGATTAAACTAAATCAGATAAATTTTAAAGAGTGGGTGAATTGAGTAATTATAACATAGTATCAGTAAGTTACCAATTAATTTATAATCAGAGATCTTTTGATACAATTTTTAACTGTGACTTTGTATCTAATAAATCATCTTAATAAATAAATTTAGTAGATAATATTTATAAATATTATTACTAAACTAAAACCATAAATATAAAGATATAAGATTTTTGATAAATCATTTTAAAAACTAAAAATTTGATAATTAAATTACAAATTAACCAGTTTCACATTATGAGTTATTTAATAAAAATGACATCCATGATTTTAATACCTTAATGTCATTTCAGATTTATTCATTAATAACATAGCATCATATAAATGATTTATTTACACATTCAAATTTTCAGAAACTTATTTCTTTTGAATATTCTATATATTATATTCTTATAGATCTTTTCTATAAAGTATTTTCACAAATATAAACTGTTTCTAAAAATACTTTTTTCATAATTGATAACTTTTCACTATGTGCAAAATTTTAGGAGGTTTTGTTTACATTTTTTGTAATTAGTTAAATTAAGAGTTTGGTGTTGGTTTTGCAATTTAGGGTTGGATTATTTGAAACTTTTTTATCTGTGATGTTTTTCTCCTAAAAATATTATTATTTTAAACTTTCCAAAATAAAACACGCCATCTTTTCTTAAAAGATAAAATATAATTATCATCTTCCAATATAATCAATTTTCATAATTTACACACTTTCATATGTTAAATTTATCTAATTTCAAAAATAAACTTATCATTAGATAGTATCATTAAAATTTATAGCTATAAATATTAAATTTTGGACTTATATGCTAAAATTTTCCAAAAAATACATCAATTTATGATTAAAATTTTTTTATATCATTTAAATAGTAATATTCTTTGTCAAATCTTTATTTTCACTTTGAAAAATAATGGATACAACTAAAAGTTAACCAGAAAAATAGGAAATGATTAATGAAAAAATAGATTCGTAATTATAATAATTTTGATTATTATTTTAACGAATAATATGAAGTCAATGATGAGCACCATTTCAAACATTTCAAATAATTTTAGAGCTTCCTGCAAATCTGAATAATCAATAACTCCTTAAAGAGTACCTTATAAGTAACCATATTTATTTAGATTTGTAGTGGAGGGTCATAATAAATTTGTTTATCCAAAAAATCATATACGAGCAATAATTTAATTGAATGTGTGTTAATTGAGTATAAATAACTTTGTTCATGGGTAATTAGAGAAATAAATTTGAAAATAGATCATAATTAGATGATCAGCAACATAAATAAGCAATTATTTTAATTCGAAAGGTTTTTAGCAAAAAAATTGGATGGTTATGGTTAAGAAATTTAAGCATTAAAATTATGTAATTAAGAAAATTAAGGAACAATTAATAAATTAAGTTCTGCTAATTAAGATTTGAAAAATAAACTGAAATAAATCTCAAATAATATAAATGATGATTTAGTGTAAAACACACCTTTAAAGAAAAGATAAAACTATTCAATTGAATTAATTACAAAATAACCATTAAGAACTATAAGTTATTCTTTATAAGAGCCTAATTGTGACAAAGAGAATAGAGAGATATTCTAAAAAAAAAAGTCTTTAAAACCTAAATTTAAAATTTGATTATTTTTATTGGTTAATTACTTTATTTAAATAGATGTAAAATTTGATTAAATATAATTGATAATAGATAACTCACAAATCTAAAGCATGAATAACTTTATTATAAGCTTATTCTGTTAAGTATTTATTCATTTCTAATCTTGAAACCCAAGCCCAATCATCATATCCAAAAATCTAAACTTTTCCTTACAAATGTTTTGCTTAAAAATAGATAGTCTTAATTCCTTTAATTTTAGCATTTTCATCAGAATTAGAATCAACAGTAACTAATCTTGGTACTCTATTGTAATAATATACCTATATAATTAAATTTAATTACTTGCCAAGTATTTTATGTCATTTTTTCAAATAACTTGGTTTATGTTTCTTTGAAGGTTTCTTTATCTTCTATATTAATATTTGGAAAAGTCCAAATTCCATTTTATTTAACCAATAGATAAACAGTGTGTAAAGAATTGTATTAAATTAACTTATTATTCATTTCATTTGGATCTATTAATAAATAATTTTCTATACCACAATGCCTAAAAAATTTGCTATTTTCTAAAAAGACTGAACGTACATCACCAACTAATCTTACATGAGATGGAGTTTCATCTCCAAAAACATTTTGATCTCCTGTATAATGTGTGTATTCATGTAATTCTTTTGGCAATTTAGTTATATAATTATTTCTTTTTTCTATTAACAAATTATGCTTTTATACTTACCTAATTAATATCTGAATTTTCTCAATTTCATTTCTTCTTCAGTGTAATGAAGAAATATTATATCTCTTTGAATCATCAATCCCATATTCAATTAATAATTGTCTCTTGTTAGTGTTATTAAAGATTTTGTCTATAGTTTCTTTAATAGAGCCTCAGTATCAACTGTTTTGCTTGCAAATTTGTAAATTGTTCTAAATTGGAACATTTTAAATTATATAATAAATCATTTAAAGGGTTGTGGAGACTTTGATTAAATAGTTCTTTAAGCAGATGTTTTTCTAGGTTACACACCTTTTGGAATTTATAAGAAATTATTCTATCTTTTGTTTAGAGGTGGTAATCTTGATGTAGGAGTTTAATTTCTTGATTTACTTACATCAGTTTTAATATTTTTTGGATTTAGTAACAACTGCTATTTTATTACCTAATATAATTTCTATATACTTTTAAATTTGCATATTCTTATTACTCTCTTTCATTCATTATTTAGTTTTGTTCAATTGTTTTCTAAGCATTTGAATATTAAATATTTGATAATTCGACCAAATAGTCTTTGGAAATCTTATTATATAAGCATGTACTTATTATATGTAGAATTTCTTATCATTCATCAAGTTTTAGAATATTTAAGTAATTCTGCTGAGGATTTCCTTTTCATCATTCCAAAATAATAACTTTATTTCAAATAGCAATCTTGGAATCTTTGCTCTAACTAATGCAACAGGATCATACTATAATTATAAAACATTAATAAGATTATTTGATATAAAAAACTTTCTCGATCTTTATTGACATAATTTAATTATAAATTCTATCGATAATTATCTTAATTAGTAATTTTAATGATTAATAAAACCTAAATAATTTTGTATTATTGAATCCCTACTTTCTAATGTGTCTAATTCAATAATTTTATCTATTAACATATTCATTATTTTATCTCTAATGAATTTTGAACCCATGTGACTCATTTTTAAACATTACTATAAAAAATCCTTCTATAAAAATAACAATCTTGATATTATTATCATTGTATCTATCATATTTGATATTTCATTCCATAATCCTTTTGTTTCATATAAAAAAACATTTTTCTTAAAAGTTTCATATATTGATTAAAGTTATTATAGCCAAATTTTATTTTTATTTATCAATGTAGCCTTTACAATAATTTCAGATAAATAAGGAATAAATATAATCTAATTTAACTCAAAATTAACAAATAATTTTTGAATTACTTTAAATTAAATATCATGGGATAAACATGAAAATAAATTTGACAAGCACTTAAATATATCATAATTTCTCATATCTTCAGAAAGGACTTATATAGAATTTATTAATAGTTCGTCTATTAAAATTGAATGTTTTTCATTAAATTATTTAATTATTTGATAATAATTGTGTAATGATTCTAAAAATCTGAACATATTCTCATTACTTATATAAATAATTTCAGTTATCTTTTCAATAAATATAGTCTATAAATTATCTGAGTTTAAACTCTAATATAAATATAATTATTTATTATACATATTATGAAATTAACTGACAAAACTCAAATTAAGATGAATCTAATTATCTAATGATATTTTCTAACAGAAGAAGCAATCTTGATTTATGAATATCTTCATTAAGTTCATAAGTGGCTAAAAAAAATTTGGCTGAACTCATTCTAACATCTTTTGATTAATCATAAATTAATGTTGTAAATTTATCAATCCAATCAAATTCATGTAATATGGATTTTAATAATTATTGATTACTTAATAGTATTTCTGAAATAATTTTACGGACTCTTTCATCTTTATGTTTCATACTTGACTTAATTTAAAGGTGAGCCTATTTTTTTAATTCAGGTGTAAATTTGTGATAATAAATTTCAATTATTTTAAGAATTTGATACATTTGATTATCGGTCTCAAGATATAATCCTTCCTTATAAATATCTAAATCATCTAAATATTTTAATATTTCTGCACAAGAATTAATGATCTCATATTATTGATATTGCTTTGTAAAAATATTGAAGCAAATATCACTATAAGACTATTTCATTTAATTAGTTATCTAACAATGTTAATTCTTAATACTTAGATTTTATTGAATATTTCACTCACAGCTTTTATGTATTATTTAATTAAGGACTCATCATGCAATGAATGTAATTAATTTGCAATTATTTCTAGTAATTATTATGCCCCTTTAGAATCCGACAAACATTCATGAATATTTTTTGCAACAAACATTTTTTAGAAATTTTAACCATTTACCAACAAAAATTTAGCTCTTTCAATGAATGAATTACTTTCTGGTGCCATATTTTTTTGAATTTCTTCATCACTCTCTCTTAAAGATATAATTTTACCCTCAAAGTTATTGGAATCACAGCATACTTCTCATTTATAAAGTCCATAATTACTAAATTAGAAAATTAATTAAAATAAGAATGTATTCATAAAAATTATATATTTTAAAAAAACAAACAATGTATTTTTCTTTATTATTAATTTTTAACTCCTTTTTTACCTTTATTTTAACATATCATCAATACAATCCTTATATTTGATTTCCATAAACAGTAATGAAATTACTGTTTATATTTAATTAATTTTTATAAAATAAAAATCATATTGATTATTTTATAATGTTGTATAAGTAAAATAAGATAATCACTTTATAAAATTTTGTAATATAGCTTTAAAATTTTTTATATTAAACAAATACATCCAAAACATTTAAATTTTAATTATGAATTCCAAATTATGTCTATTGTGTAGTAATAATTCAATTACTATTTAATATGCTTAATTATTTTAAAATTTTAATCTAAATGTAATTTTGATATAAAATAATAAATTTATACTAAATCTAAAATTAATTTAGAGTTAAAAAAATCAATCTCTTGATATATAGATATATAACCAACATTGATTCAATCAATTCAGTTTTGTCATTAAAGTAAAATAAATTCAAGTATTCTTAATAATATGTAATTAGATGATTGCCTTATTATTATTAGTCTTCACTTACAAATTTTTGAATATTTTTCTATAATTCTTCATATAATTAAATTTCAAATTAAGAATATCATTTATTCTGATTATATTAACAAGGTTAAGATTCTTTTTTGATGAAAAACTGTTAAAAATTAAAATTTAATATTATTTTCTTTATTAATTTCAAGTTGATACATTATTAAAAATATTTTGAGAATGTTCTTGATGTTGATAAATGGTTAAATTCTTAAAAACAATTTCACATATTAAGAATTAATTAATTTATTATGTTAATTATCTAATATATCAAATTCTAAAATATGCATCCATTCCACTATTTTGTCCATGTTTTAATCTTTGATGTTAAATAAGTGAGGCTTCGGTACCGTAAGCTTTTTTACAATTAGTAAAGGAACAAAAAAAATGTCGATCAATATCTGCAGCACTTCTTCTACTCTTTTTCTTCCTATCTTCTAATTGATTCATAATTTCATCATCATCTAATTATGCTAATTCTCCTCCTAATAGTTCATATTTAAGCACTTTAGTTTTTAGATCATTTCTTTCTGTCATCACTTTTTCCAACTCCATTTATTATATTCTTTACATGGTTGTACAAGATACAATTATAATAATATAATTTCACAGCTTCTTTGTAGTAATCTATTTAATGGTCTTATTTTTCACTCTCACTTTCACTCATATTTTTTTTAATATTTTAAATAATATATTTATATAAATGTTAGAATATTAGAACTTTGAAAATGAGTAATAAGAATTATTAGAATGTTATACAAATAAAAAGGGTATTACAACATATATATTTACTTGGTTAAATCAATTTATTTAAATACATTAAAGAAATCTCGAATAGAAAGACGTTTTCAATATTAATATTTAAGAAAGCATTGAATATTAGAGCTTAAATTTTGAATTAAATAAGAATAGCTTAATTTATTCTTTATTAAAAAGTTATCCTACATAATGGATATGCATTATTTTACTAAAGGTAGGAATAATGGGAATTCAATTATTAAATCCTTTTTTGATAAATAATATAGTAGAATTATTTGATTCACCAGGATTAGATTTTTGGTAATTTATGAAGACGATATCACTATTTAGTGGATGGATAACAGCTATTTATGTATAGATTTCAATTTTAAGTTTTTATCAAGTAAGTTTTGATTATTATGTTATAGAAATAAGTTTAAATAAAAGTTTAGGCAGCTTTATCTTCATTACTATATCATAAATTATTTAGTGCTTGTTTACCATTACCTTCATAAGCAGAGATTATAAATTTGTTTTAAATAGATATTCCACAAATAACAATATTGTTTGATTGTGGAGTATCATTATTTTTAACACCTTTTTAAATCTGTGGAGCAATTTACATATATTTTGAAACTGTTGGTTTGGCAGCATCTTTTGGTTTGATTGGAATGTTTATCCAAGTGGGAATTTCTTTGATTTATGGAAGCATCTATTCTAGGTTGTTTACAAAAATATAGTAGATTGTAAAATAGTATTATGACCTCCAGAGACAACAGAATTTCAAATATGGATGAATTGTTAAAAGGCATTTTGACAATTAAATAAAATTGTTATTATAAATTCTTTTTTAATCGAGTATTAATTATAATTATAATAGATTAAAGATAAGAGATATATTGAAATGTCAAATATAGCTACATAATAGAAATTATCTTTTATTGTAAAAGCCTTATTTTCAATTATTCCAGCTGGAGTTATGTATTTTACAATGAAGATTTTTGATATATTTAATCTAAAATCAGTTTTAATGGTAACATAAAATTATGCTCAATTAATTTAATCTGTTAATTCTATACCAAATAATTTAGGTTAAATATTAATGGCTCAAACATCAATAAAAAGATATATGGATTTTATTTCATCTTAAGATGTTGAATAATATTTGTTACCAGCTTAATCAATTTAAATTTTAATAAAAGAAGGTAATTTTAGATGGAGAAATTCTAAAAATCCATTTTAATTAAAAAATATCAATCTTTAAATAGAAAAGGGAGAATTTATAGTAATAGTTGGAAAAAATGGGTCTGGAAAGAGTTCTTTATTATATTGTTTACTTGGAGAATTAGAAAAGATTAATGAAAATTCATATATTAATTTAGAAGGTAGTATTTCAGTAGCATCATAAGAACCATTTTTAATTTAAGGAACAATAAAATAGAATATAATTGATTAATAAAATTTGGAGATAGATCGATATCTTGAAATAATAAAATCAACTTAATTATTAGAAGATATTATTAGAATGGAAAGTGGATAGAATAGTGAAGTTGGAGAAGATGGATAATCATTAAGTGGAGGATAAAGAAAAAGAATTCATTTAGCAAGAACACTTTATAAAGATAGTGATATTTATTTATTAGATTGTCCATTTGAATCATTAGATCATAAAACTGCTAAGAAATTAATGGATGAATTGTACTAAATAAATAAAAAAGATAATAAAACTATTATTTTAACATGCAATGATATTAATTAAATAAAAATATGTGATAGAATAATTCATTTAGATGATGGATAAATCATATATTATGGTAGTTTAGATTAATTTAAAGGGAAATGTGAATCAAATGATTTAGACTCTTTAGATTTAATAGAAAATTAATAAGTATAATAGGATGAAACAATAAAAGAATCAAATTAACATTTATATAACCTTATTGATAAATAATAAATTATTGTGATAGAGAATGAAGAAAGAACTTTAGGCAGTTTATAATTAGAAATCTTTAAATATCTTTATTAATTATTTGGCAAATATTAAACTTTTGTTGTAATAATGATTTTTTGTGTATTAGGAATGATATGCTCAACATTTTATTAATTGAAATTAAAATCTATTACTGAGATTTCTAATTCAAATTAATCTACTTTAAATTAAAAAGCAGAAGCGCTTGAATAGTTTTTGTTTGTTTATCCATTTTTTAATATATTAATGGCCTTATTTACTTTATTTAGTGGAATATTTTTAACATAAAAAGGAATAACAGCTTCAATGATTCTTCATAATAATATTATTAATAATTTACTTAAAGCATCAGTCACTGAATTTTATAATGTGACATTAGGAAGTATTATAAAAAATAGAATGACAAATGATCTATTTTAATTTGGTATGATTAAATTATATTTTATTAGATATGAATACTCCATCATTAATTTCATAATTATTTGATAATATTTTCAGTTTTATTGCATTAATGTTGGGATGCTTATTTTTATCAAGTGCATTATCATTTCCAATATTAATTTGTTATTTAATTCTCTAAACATAATATTTATTAAGATATATAAGAATAAATTTAGAAATAGCTAGATTATAAGCAATATCAAAATCACCATTATTAAATACTTTAACTTAAACTCATTAAGGCATTTTATTTAATAGACATTGTAAAGAAGCATAAAAATAAGTTTCTATTTTCTTTGAATAATTCAATATCTATACATAAAATTCAATTTGCTCTGCTGCATTATCCTCTTGGTTTATCTAAATTACTTGTCTTCTAATGTTAATTATGTATGTGTTCATTCTTATTGTAAATGTATTTATTATACTATTTTATTATTATAGTACATTTACAAAATCAATAATAAAGAATCTGCAACTATTTCTATGTATTTAGCTGTAAGTCTTGGAGAAAAATTTACTAGTTTGACTTTAACTTTTCAATCTTTTTATTCAAATAATGTTTATTTAGAAAGATGTTTATCATTAATAAATAATATTGCTAAAGAAGATTTATCTAATTAATAATATAGTGATTTTGAAAATCCTATAGATAGAAGAAATAGTGATTTTCACTTTAGCGATCATGATGATAGCAGTAGTTAAATTGAAATGATGACCATTAAATCAGTAGAAAGTATTTAAGAATTATAACAATAATTTGTTCTTGAATTAAATAATGTTTCTTTACAATACAAAAATAGTACAGTATTGACTGATATCTCATTTAAATTAAAATAAAGATAAAAGGTATATCCTATATTCTCAATTCAAAGATTGCAATCCTTGGTAGAACTGGAGCTGGAAAGACTAGTCTTATGCATTGTATTACAAGATTAGTCGAACCTTGTTAAGGATCATTAAAAGTACTTGGATAGGATAATAGGAATACAAGTATAAATAGAATTAGATCATTATTTTCTGTTGTTTCTTAAGATCCATTTGTTTTTGAGGGTTCCATCCAGTAAAATATTGACCCAAATAATTCTTATAATTCAATTGATATCATTAGAATCTTATCTAAATATGGATTATCTTAAATTAAATTATTAGAAAATTTATAATTTAGAGTTTAACCTCACGGATCTAATCTTTCATTAGGAGAAAAATAATTACTTGTGTTATGTCGGATATTATTATAAAAGAGAAAAATAGTTATTTTAGATGAATGTACTGGAAATCTTGATAATCAATATTGTTAATAGATTAATTTAACTCTTGATTTATTTATGAAGGTATTATGATTTCTTTATTTAAAGGATAAAACTGTTATCGCTATTACTCATAAATTAGATTTATTAGATATGTTTGATTAACTTATGATTATGGATAAAGGTAAAATAATTGCATGTGGTTTAAAATAAGAGATTTTAGATCAGTATTTAAATTAAAAAGTTAATTGATATTTTATACAATGTATGTAATTTGAAATAATATTTTATAAATGTTTCCAAATATTATATAATAAGATCATAGAAATTCTGTATTGGATGACTAATTAATCCTTCAAAATAAGAATATTCCACATACACCTGAATTATTAAATGGAAAGCATTACAAGAGACAATCTTAGAGAATAGGTTTATAATCTTAAATTTCAAGAAATTATAGATCTAAACTGTCGACAGAAATTCAAAGTTAATAAAGAAAAACTAACAATTCTAGTTAGAAGAATAAACAGAATAATCTATTTTAAGAATATTAAGATATATTCCTTTCTGAATACTCAGAGAGTGATTCATCTTAAGATTTGTCATAAAAGATTAGTAGTGTTTATTAGAAAAGAGTTTCCATACAGAATTATGATAAAGTGATAGATGAACAGATGGAATTTATACACAAAACTTTGCATTAAAAACTTTCTTAAATCAGGTATTGACCTGTAATATTTAGAAAATAAAAAGCAACCCCTTTTTTAAAGAGTAGCTAAAATAACTAAATGAAATAGACTATAAAAAGTAGAAAAAGTATTAAATAATTATCTTAGTTATCCAAAAAAAATAGTTTTTAGAATATATTACATAAATCAACAAATTTTAATAGAGAAAGATCTATATAGATATCAAACAATAAAAATTATAATACTTAAGAGTAAAAAAGCTTAGAAAAAATATTAGATTAAGTAGGAATACCAGAATAAGAAAAATATAAATATAAATAAATAATTGAAGACCTTGAAAACTAATGTTTAGAGATTAAACCTACAGGAAGAAATAAAATTAAATAGAAAGTTAGAAAAACATTTATTCAATTATTTTATCAATATTATTAAGAAGATAATTTATTAAAAGGAGTAGATGGAGATTAAATAAGTGTTTATTCAGGTGCTTAAAATGAATCAATTATATATGGAAATAAAGTATATGAACCATAAAATATTCAAAATAATAATATGACATAAATATTAGATAATGTATTTTTAAAAAACTAAAATAATGGGTTGATAAGTGATAGAATGAAATTTTTAATGGATAATTTTAAGTTAGAATTAAGTAATGAGGATTCCAATTTTATTGTTTAATCTGATTAATCATCTAAAATTGAAATAGATGAAGATGATAATGAAGAAAATGAAAAACAAATAACATAAATAGTTCAAGATCCAACAGGATAACAAGATCATTTAATTCTTAAATATGAACGAAAATTAAAAAGAGATCCTATATATGACCCATACCCACTTATATGGTAAAGTAAATCAGATTATTTATGGATATTACAAGATTATTAATACTATTGGGATAATTATCCTCTTGTTTCCCTTAGAAAAATCATTGTATTTATTATTAGATTAATTACAAATACTGCCAATAAAATAATTAACCATAGGATATTTACTATTATGGTCTTAATATCCATAATATTTAATATTGTTGTATTTATTCAAAGTTAAAGTGACAATTTAACAATTGATATTCAAATTAAGCTACAAAAATAATAAAAAAGTAAATCTTATTATTTATTATTTAGTTATTTTATTCTTCTTTATTTTAGAAAACATTTTAAAATTAATTGGTTAAGGAATTATTGATTTCTTTTGGGATTTATAGAATGTTTTTGATATTATAATTCTTATTCTATTTTCCTTCCATTATTACTACCCTACTTTAATCATTATTGATTTTTCAACTGCAAGATTACTTAAGATTTTATCTGTTATTAGTGTATTTAGTAAACGATTACAAATCATGTTACTTGCTTTAAAACATTCATTAAAATTTTTACTTGAAGCACTCATTATTGTAATTATATTTTCATATTTCTTTGCTTTATTTGGAATGCATTTATTCTAAGGATTGTTTCGCTATAAATGTTATTATGCTGAATCTGGAATCTAAACTAATTAAATATGTGGTTATAATCTATCATGTTAAAATTAATCAATGATTTGTTCTAAATCTTTAACTAATCCAAATGTACCTACTAATTTTGATGATATATTTTACTCATATGTAGAAGTTGTTAGATTAATGATTTTTAATGAATGGACTGAACCAATCTATTTATCCATGCAAACATTTCATGACTTTTCTATTGTCTATTTCATTTTTCTTATTTTTATTATTGCTATTTTTGGGGCTAATCTTATCATAGCAGTTCTTAAAATTTATTATTCATAAACTTTAATTAAATATTAACACTAAGATATTTAAGAATTATCTGGAATTAATACAGATATTGTCTTAAATTTCAGAATTATTAAAAATTATTTAATTGATTATGAATGGAAAAATAATCGAAAAAAAGATTGGTTAATATAAACATCTAATTAATAAGAACATTAAACAGCTATAGCAAAAACAATTATGTAAAACAATAATCAAAAAAATATTAATTACAAATATAAATACTTATCTGCTAGACAAACCAAAGAATAAGAAGAAATTAAAAATAGAAAAAGAGGTATCAAATAAAATATTAGTAAACTTGAAAATTTTATTGATAATTTTAAATTTGAAAAACTTTTATTATTTGAATAAAATAAGGAATAATTCATGTCAAAGATTTATTAAAATTATGCTTTTGATAAAGAATATTTAAAATTATTCTATATTTAAACTTTCAAAAAAGTTCCTCTATATTCTTGGAGAACTGTTATTAAATAGTATTTCTAATATAATAGTACTTCTGAATGTGATATTTTTTGTTTCTAAATTAAAAATGAAAAACTATAATAAAAAAGAGAAAGAGAGTTTGAATTTATTAAAAAATCAGTGCTAAGTCATTGCTTCAAAATAAAAAAATCAGATTATTCTTTTGTAAAACTAGATTTAAAGCCCAAGAATTCTTTTTAATGTTTTCGTTTACCAATTAAATAAAAAAAATTATAAGTATAAAAGAGTAATATTAATGAGAAGGAATAAAAAATAGTATAAAATAACTAGAATGATTTGGAAGATAACAAAATTATTACTAATAATTAAATTAGCAAAAGAACATTCAAATCAGATGATAATATTTATGATAAAGAATTTATTTAGCAAATGATCAATAGATAAATACCTGAATGTTTGGATAAAATATAAGACTTTGAAGAATTATATGTAAAATATAGATTGGAAGAGTGCAAATAAAGAGTTGTTTATAAAAACAATTGGTCTGGAAATAATGTATTAATTACTAAATAAAAATATTAATAAACTCTCAAAATATTTAATTAACTAAATAATATTGATATTTATAAATGGAAAATTCCAAATTTATCTTGCATATGGTGTTTAATTTAGAAAAATGTAAATATTTTGTTAAGAAATCGAAATGCTCAAATATTTTTTGATTTAATAGTTCTGACAAATGTTTTATTATTAGGAATGATAGGATATGTGGATAAGAATATAATCAGATAATTAAATGACTATCTTGTTTTTATTCTAATAAGTGAATAATTTTTAAGATTAATATTTTAGGGTATCAATAGATATTGTAAGAGAGCTAACAATTTAATAGATATATTTATTTTAACATGTTCATTGATATAATCTTTATATTTAAGTTTAAATTCTTAGAATGAAAATATTTACCTTGATTTATTAAATTCTAGTTAAACCCTTTTGATATATAGAATAATTAAATACAATAATTTTGCATTGAAGATAGCAAAGATAACTAAAAAATCCCTACCTTCTTTTTTAAATCTAATTTTATTGATGATAACTTTAATATTTTGTTTTGCATTTGTAGGAATGAATTTATACAAAGGGAAATTTCCAATAGATACAGATTTTGGTTTATAATAGTCTTTTGATGATTTAACAGCTGCATTTGTAACAGTTTTTGTTCGAGCTGCAAATGAAGATTGGTTCGGGATGGTTATTTTAGGATCATAATATAGTAATAAAATTGGAACAATGTTTTTTAGTGTAATATCAGTTTATGTTTTAAATTTAATGACAATAGGATTTATATTAGCAATCGTTTTAGATTCATTTTCTTCTTATGAAAATGATGAAGAAGAATTAATTGATGAATTTGCTGATTCTTAGTTATCCTTCTTAAAGAGTAATGAAAATATAAATGATTTAACATTAAATATTGATAAACTATCTTCTTCTCAGAGTGATAATAATGAAAAGAACTCAAATTAAAATAATTCTTATTACTAAGATAAAAAATAAGAAATTGAAAAAGTATTTATGAAGAGAAATAATAATAATTTTTTTGATTTGGTTGCTAGAATTAATTTGCTTCTAGAATAATTGTTTGCATAATTTTAATTCTTTACTAATAATGAGAGTCAGAACTCTTTATTTATTTTTAGCTAATCAAACTAATTTAGAAAATTATGTTATCGGTGTATCAATTATAAATTATACATAAAATTAATTTAAATAACATTTCTTATTGCACTTCTCAATATGTGTATATATACTTATTTTGATTATGAGAATAAAATACATTAAGATTTAATTAATAAAATATCAAATAAAGTTGAATTAATAGTCAATATTTTATTATTATTAGATTCTACTTTAAAAATAATTTCATTAGGTTTTATGAGAGATAAAGGTGCATTCATAAATGAATTTTGGAGAGTAATTGATTTTATTTATTAGTTATGTTATATCTCGAATTTCATAGTTGAATATGAAGCATTTTAATATTTAAAAGCTTTAAAATACACTAGACCATTTCGTTTTTTATATTTATTTGAATAACTCAAATATATAAATAGTGCAATATCAAAATCACTTGTTGATTTGATGAATATTTTATTTGTGTAAATTATGGTATGGCTTATATTTGCAATTTTTGGAGTAATGCTATATAAAGACAAAATGAGTTATTGTTAACATCCTTTAAACTTTGGAATAAATAAATAGGAATGTTTAGAATAAGGTGAATAATGGATTAATAATTTGTATAATTTTGATGATATGGGAAATGCAATGTTATCATTATATAGAATGACAGCATGTGATGATTGGGTTTATATAATGTAAATTTGCTTAAACTCAAGAGGAGAAGATTAAGGACCTATTTTATATGATAATAGATGGGTAACCATAATTTATTTTATGTTATTTATTTTAGTTGGAGTATTATTTTTTCTTGGATTTTTTGCAGGAATTCTATTTATTAATTTCTAAACTTATAAAAGTTAGTTATAAAAATAGATTTTGACTAATGATCAATAATTATTTGCCAATATTTCCAAAATTATATAGAAGGAAGTACCTAATTATTCTGATCCTCCTAAATCATTTATCAGAAGACTAGCATCTAATATCATAAAAGAAAATCTATACGAGAGAATGATTTTATTGATAATATTTATAAACACAGGTATTTAAGAGAAAATATATATAGGAATTTTAACTTTCTTTTATGATGAAGCTTAATTAGATTTGTTACAAAATTTAGAAGATATATATCATACATTAAGTTGTTTATTAATAATAGATACAGGATTAAAAATATTAGCATTCGGAATAAGAAGATATTGGGGATATATTTGGAGAGAAATAGAATTTATTTTAAGTTTTATCGCTTTAATTGATTTAACTCTGTATCTTACAATTAATTGGAGTAAGTATTATTTTAAATCAACAATAAATGATTAATACTTTTTAATTCTTAGAATTGCATTTGCATGTAGAAATTTGAGAACTTTATTAATTATTTAATAATTTAAAGGATTGACAAGATTGTTGAGAATATTGAATTTTTCAGCATCTTTTCTTTTATAAATTTTATGTTTTTTCTTTTCAATTCTTTTATTTTATGGATTAATAGGATGTGAATATTTTGGAATGATTGAAAAAGGTGCATATATGACAGATTATATGAATTTTTCAAATATTGGTAAAGCTTTATTGATCTTGTTTAAGATATGCACAAAAAACAATTGGATTAGAATAATGATAGATGTTTCAGAACATAATTAATATTGTACATCTGAGACGCAAATATTCTGTGGAGTTAAATGGATATATGCAAATATATATTTTTATACATTTGTTCTTATATCTAATTTTGTTGCATTTAATTTATTCATTACAGCTTTAGTAGATTAATTTGAAAGTAATTTAAATTAAAATAAATAGAATTTTTTAATTCTCAGAATAGTGTGTTGTAAACATATATAGAAAATATTGATCCATTTAGAACTACTTGGTGTAAATACTCAACTGAAACTAAAGGTGCATAAATGCATTCTAAACATCTTGCTCATTTTTTGTTAGAATTAGGTCCTCCTTTAGGATCTGCTATTCATGATAATATTTGGGATGCCGCTAAAAATGCTTCAAATTTTAAAATCAAAGCTGATCTTAATGGTTATATTCATTTCTAAGAAGTTCTTTATGAAACTATTAGATTTGCATACAGAGATTAAATATTTAGAAATGGACATCCAGAAGGAATCAAAATAATTAAATAAATTGATAAAGATACTCGCTTTAGATTGCATTTTAAAAGACTTGTAATTTATTTTCATTATTTAGGATATCCTTGATAGAAGATATCCAATCTATTAAATGATGCATCTAAAAGGAAATTTTAATATATTATAAGAATATCTATTTTTATTAATGATATTTAGGACCTTTAGAGCTTACTCAGTTAAAACTATAGGAAAAATTAAAGAAGCTATCTTATCACCAGATATTACTAATTAACTTAAAGATACAGATAGAGAAAGTTCAAAAAGTGATATTAATGAGGATACATTGAATAGAGACATTTTAATTGAAACCTAACATTAAATTTCATAAAATAGTGAAGATGTAGAAACTTTTTAAATCCAAATCTCTAAATATTATGAATCACATAATAAACTTAATAAGAAATTACAATTTATGGATTAAAGTAGTAATATATATTCTGAAAATCAATTACTTTTTATTCCAGATTCTAATAAAGATGATCACATTCAATTTGTACCTACCAAACACAAATCGTCTATTAAGAAAAAATAAGAAAATAATTTTGTTGATTTTGAAGCTATTGAATAACAATAATTCCATAATCCCATGTTTGATTCATCTCAATTTAATGAAATAAGTAAAGGAGTCATGACTGATTCATCCATAAATGATGAATAAAAAATCTATTAAATTAATTAACTTATTCAATCTCCTCATAGATTTAGTATGCATTCTATGAGTGAAAGTGTAGGTACAGAAAATCATCATTTCTTTTATGGAAAAACAAATATGGATAAAGCTATTAATTGATATATTATAATTATTATATTACTCATACCCATAAAATGAACAATTATAATTTATAAATTTAATGACAATAATATTTAATTCAATCATTCTATAATGTGCTTATTTTTTACCTCTTCTGAAAGATTACTGTGGATACTTTATGAAATTTTTTAAGGTCGAAAGGCTTAAAATGTTAGTAAATAACAAAAAATGAAATTAATTTATTATAATTTTAGATATATACTTAAATTTATCATAACAACTCCAGATTCATTTCATTTGAATTTGATATATATAGATACGATTCTGATCTTGGCTCTTACTTTTTGTAAGACAATAAAAATTCTAGTTTTGGAAACTCATCTAGACTTGATTTCTTGATAGCTGTGAACATGGTAGCAATAATTTTTGAATTCATTAAAGATTAAATTTTGGAGGTGGGAATATAATGACAAGTATTTTAAGACCCTTTAATTTCTAGGATTACATGTAAATTTCGATTAGTATTATTTTACAACTAGATTTATTTAACAGTTTCAGCTATTTTTGGGTTAGAAACGACTGCATTATCATCACTTGTAACATTCCAAGCTTTAGATTATATAAAATTAGCAGCTTCAGAATTAGGATCTACAGAGAAATGATGTAATTAAGTTCCTTTCACATATAATTCTGGTAATGATTCATTTGTTTAACCATTTGGTAGATTATCACAAATATGTGTAGTGTAAACTTTTTCCTATAATATTAATTATATTTTACTTCTAGAGTGATAACTTTGTGAAGAGTGCCATCATCAATTTATGATTTAATTAAATTAAAATTAGGAGAGTCTTCATCTACAATAGATTCTTATTTGGTTGCAGGATTAAATAGATAGTAAAGTTTAGTAATTTTACGAACTTCAACAGATTTACCAATAATATAATCATATTGAGGTTTAGTTGGATCATGAATTTAATTTAATTTAAATTAATATTCTTCAAGTAATATTTTAGTTTCATCAGAATCTAATTTACGAGGATATTAAGAACAGAAACGTTTAGTATCTTAAATGTAAATATCTAAGAAGGCTTTAAATATTTCATCGTTGTGTTTCTAATTATAAATATTATAAATTACATATAAATAATTCACACATGGTAGATTAGCTATATAATTAAAACAAGTCTAATTTTCAACACTTAATTGTAATAAACATTTAAGTGTTAATAAACATTAATTATCAAAATTTTTAACTGTTCTATGAGTACAAAAATAATCAAATAAACAATGTGACCATCCTAAAGGACTAGAAAATGACCAATAATCATCATCTAAACTTTGAAGTCCATATAAACCAAATTATGGTAAATCATTTAATTGATTATCATAAATTCTTGAAGACTCCTTTTATTTTGATGATGGTATACCAACTAACCATTCTAATCTTTCAATTTATAAATAATCTTCAATCAATAAAAAAGATTTAGCAACTTATAAATAATTTTTACATTCATCAATATCTGTATTTACTAATCCTCTCATTATACAACCAGAAATAATCTCTGAAAAGTATCTATTCTTATAAGATAATCTAATTATAATTGGTATTATATCATCAACTTTGCTTTTCATTATTTTATCATAAAATTTAGGTGAATACAATAATTTCTTTTCATTTAAACTTAATTAATGATTTTATGTTAATAAAATAGAAACTATTTAAAGTTATATTTGGAAATTCATTGATACATAAGCATTTCCCATTTATACTTTTTTTTCATATAATTATAATGGACTACTTTTATCCAAAATAAAATCTACCATATATAATACCATTTTTTTTTTAAATGAATATTCTTACTAAAGTTTACCTCCCTATATAAAATCTAACCAAAAATCAAAATACTGCTCATATCTAATCCAATTTTTAGGTACTTAATCTTAAATCATCAAAAATAATTAATCTAAACCCTCATTCAATTTTTCTGTAATTTAACCCTAAATCTAAATAGTTTAATTAAATAGTATTGATAATAATTTACTAAAATGTTTACGTGTTCGCGATTCTGGGCAAACTAAGAGCAAATCCACTACTTTATTTAATTTTCCAAAATAAACTAAATCAAGATAATTAATATTTGGATATTACTAAATTAATTATAAGATTTTAGTATTAAATTTTTCCATCATAGAATTATCATATACTCTAGACAATAAATCATAATTAAATTTCATTAACACTTCTATCATTGTATTTGCATTTTCCTCATTTATAAACTCACTAGTATCAAGAATGAATTTCAAAAAATCTTAACTGAATAAATTACGTTCCAATAAAAATTGTTAATTATCACAATTTACTTTTCTTTCATATTCTTATGGAATATAAGGTTTCAATGAATTATAATCAACCAATAAACTATACTTTTAATTAGGATCAATAGTATAATTTTCAAATTAATTAATATGATCTTATAATTATTATTCACTATTAAACACTAATGATATTTAATCCTTCTAAACTTTCTCATAAATAAGCATATAAGCACTTTAAGAATTCTCTCTAAATCCTGTTCCCCATACATCATTATCATTATAATCCATACTACTTGATCCTCCAAAACATTCATGTTCCATTTATTTTAATTTAAATTCTTTTATTTTATGATCATTAAATTCTAACCATTAATCTTGATTTTTAATATCTATATAACTAAAATAATGTCCTACATCAGCAGTTCCAACATGTACTACTACTCCAACCAATTTATACTATGTACATTAATCTTTCTTTATTGTATATTCTTATAAATCTAAATCTATTGGAAATTCTAATCTTGTATTTATTTTCTCATTCATAAATGTATCTAAATTAAATACAATTCTTTATAAATGCAAAATCAAAATATTTGGCAATTAAGCCAACAATTAACATTTGTTTACATCAACTTTTTAATTACAACTTTCACATTTGAAATCAGATATTATTTCCCCTTAAACAAATTTATCAAAACATTCCTACAAATTTTTCAAATTCTTTATAGGCAAAGATAAATTATAAAATATTTCATCTTTACTTTTTGTTACTTTACAATTTTAACAGGATATCTATGTACAAGTCTTACCACCAAATACTCCATCCAATATGTTTTTATAGAGTGTTTCCTTCAATAAATGTTCCAACTTATCAAATATCATATTTAAGAATTCCTATGCATCTTATTATATAAATATATTCACTGGCTCTCCTGCATAATCTTTAAATGAAGCACAAAATTCTTAAGGATTATAATCAATTCGATCAGATAATTCTAAATAAGTAAACATTTATTATAATTAATGGAGGACATTATCATCATATGTGAAACCTGTTTTACTAAGTTATAAATCAACTTCCTTATTATCATTAGCTTACAAAATGCCATATCTAAAAGGTTTTATCATGTAAAATTATTATAGCATAGCATTCATATAACAAATACATCTCAGATTTTTAATACCACAATAACCAAGAGCACTTCTCACATCACTTTAAGGTATATAATTCCATTTGTTTGTATTTGGTATTTTTTAACTTAACAATTGAAGGTTTATTAATATTTTATTCATATTCTATTACTATGCTAAATGATTTAGTAATTTAAATGCTGCTTATCTACTTTCAATAGATTTACATTTAATTTCTATTTCCTCTTTCTAACTAAATAAACAATCATTGAATATAAGATCAATTATTGGTTGTTGAATGAATCTACTTAATTTACACAATAAATTTAATAAACCAATCAATATTTTATCAGTTGGTGTATTTTTAGATCTAGTTTCCTAACTTTTATAATTAATTAAATTCTGTAACATCTATTAACTTAATTATTGATAATCTATAAATTGTTGAGATTCTTCGCTTTCAAATGCACTATCAATTAACTAACTTAATAATTCATAATATTAAGCAGAATTAGCCTAAGAGTTTTACATAGTTATCAACTATTACAAAATGATTCTTGTTGGTTAATTATTGTTTTTTTAACTTTCATGACATAATACTAATATTGCTCTACTAAATAAGTTTCTTAAAGTATCAGAATTACCATTAAAAATTCCACTGAAAAATATATTAATAAATTCAACATTTTCAATACTTTTTTCTAATAATTTATGATTGTGTAACAAGATTACTATGATAATTATAATACTATGTTCAATAATTTATCTATCTTCCTATTCCATTTCATTACATTTTAGTAGTTCTTATATTAAGTTGATTAAAACACTAATAAAATTCTCTATTTTCTCTATAATGTTATTACCTAATTGACTTTCTTTCAATTTCTAAACTAACAATTAAAATTTTTCAGGCTCTTCAGATTATCTAATATCTAATAATACTTAATCTAAAGGTTTAATAATTTGAATTCCTCTTGATGCCTTATATAGATTAGGAATTTAAGAAGCACAAGCAGCAATTACATAGTTTTAAAATGTATTTAATAGAAATGATAATATTTCTTTTTCAATTTAAGATAATGTACTAACAGATTTACCTTAATATTCTTTGAACAATTATAATAATCTATCAAACCCACCTAATTACAAGAATTTACTCATCCATTTATCCTTTAATCTTAAAATATCTTAATCTTCAATTAATGCTTATAAATTATTAGAATCTTATTAATTCATCAGAAATTCAATAATATATAAACTATATAATAATCTATAATGACTACTTACTAACATTTAATCCCAATCTGTTGGTTTGGTAATATTCTCTAAAGTGATCATCTATTTAATTAATTATGGAGAAGGTGGAAGTCTTCTTAATAAATACCAAGTTTTCTCTTGGACTTGACTATTAGAATTTTAAAGTAATTCAAATAATAAATCTAAATACTCTTAATTTTAAACAATTTATCCTCTAGGTAATTCTTAAGCATTAATTTAAGGTAAAGGTACTTTATCTCCTCTTATTAAATCATTTCTATAATGCAATGTTTATAAATTCAACCAAACAGTAGATTTTTTAGATCTTGCTGAATCTGTATAAAAATCAAAGAAATCTTACAATGTTAAGATTGAATCTTTATCTTTATCATATTATTCAAATGTTCTTTGAATATTAGCATCTTCAATACTACATGGATTGCCTGTGCATCCTGTAACAAATCTAGTACAATCCTCTTTTGTCATTTTACCATCAGTTGAAAATTCATTAAATATTTCAGTAAATGCTACTTTAGCTTATTCTGATAAGTTATCTCCATCTAATAATTACATTTCTTTAACTTCCTTAACTTATTTTTTAAAAACCATAAGTATTTCACCTTTCTTTAATCTTAAATCTTTAATCATTTTTCCATTTTCTGTAAACTTTATTTCTCCTTTTAAACTATTCAAACCCACTGCATCCCATTATTACTTAATTACCTTACTAATTGCAAATCTCAATTCTACAATTGTTTAATTATCATTTATTTTTATTGTAAATCTTTTTTATTAACTATTTTCATATTAAATTTGAATTTAGAGTTCTTCTCCTTAAGATAGAGCATTCAAACTCTTTAAATTACCAACACCATTTATTTCACTTTAATCAATGAAATCCTCTAATACTAACAAACATCTAAGCAATTTGTTATTTTATTATTTATTTTCTTATAATTTATTAAACAATCTTTCTATGTTTATTTCAAATTGATGGCAATATTCGATAGCCATCAAAGAAACCTTCTCATTCTCTCCTTCTAATATTATTTACCATAAATAATCAAAACCAAAATTCTCATATTTATTAATTGCAGATAATACAGTTTTAAAACAACTAAATCCCTCTTCTGTTAAATGAGCAAGATCATTCGTCATCTTCTCAATTAAAAAAGTCTTTAATTCTGATATTGATACCATTGATGTTAATTAAGATTGACCATCTTAATTTGATAATGTACTAAACCATTTAAAAACTAAATCTTTTTCTTATTAACTTTCAGATTAAAAAACTAACAGTTCCCAAAGAGTTGATATTACTTTAAATGTTAAACGATATTCATAAGTACTAATATTTTAGTAGAATATCTAAATAAATTGCATTCTAACTTTAATATCTTCAAAGCTATCTTTTTACTTTTTAGATTCTCTTATTTAATTAATAACTTCTTCAATGATTCCAAATTTACATTATAAATCACTCAAAGCCACATTACGTGTGTATTATTCCCAAGTTGCTGGAGATATATCTAATTTTTCAATTAATTTAATCAGCACTCTTAATCCAATACAAGTCGATTCCTATTTTACTATACTCTCTCCTATCATTAATATTTATTCTCCTTTATGTGGTCTCATATCAAATGATGTCACTAAATCTAGATATTATCCCAAATATTATTCAAATAAAGTTTAATTCAATTAACCCTTTTGTAATACAGTCCAATAATAGTTACAACAATTTTATATATATTCTTCTTTATACTTATGATTAGATTTAACAATGTCTAATAACAAATCTAATTCATCTTTAGTTACTTCTTTTGGATCTTTATTACAAATTTCATTAATTAAAAATTCCAACCATTCTTTTTCCAATGAATTAGAAACATCTTTAAATAATTTATGAATAGCTAATTTATGTTCATATTCAGCTTTATCTAAATTATTCCATATTTCTTTTAAATTTTGTATTCCTATCATTTTTTCTTCAATAAGAAATTTAAAGAATTCAGCACTTCTTTAAACTAAATGAGAGTTACCTGAACCAACATATAATGATTCAAATATCTTTTTTTAATTTAACCATTCTAATATCATTTAGATTGCTGCTTGTTTTTATGATTCTTACATTCCATACTAAATATAAAGATCTTTAGTTCTTTTAATTAATTCTTAGATTGCTTTTAATCCTTAAATTTTTCTTTCGAGAAAATCACTATTGAAACATTTAAATGCAATATCGAAGTCTAATCTATCAATAATTTCTGATCTTTTTTAAATGGGATATATTCTTTTCATTAAATTATTAAGTGCATATAACACATCAGTAATTTTTTGAGTAGTAAAATTACGAAGATTATTATCTGCAGATTATAAAATATTATTTTATACAGCAATGTATAGATTAGGTATATAATTAATAACAAATTATTTGTGTAACATTTCATGGATATTATTGAGAATTTACATATAAACATGTAGGAAATCAATAGTACATTTAGATTGTATAGATTGTAGTATGAATTGAAATAATCCATGATTTCCAAAATCATTAATCATTTAAGTAAGAACAATTGAACGACGTGTTTATTTGGTATAAAAGCGTGGAATAGCATAATGATTATCTGGATATAGAAAATCATTAGAATCATGTATAGAATCATCTTGAGAATACGGATTAGGATATTATCCTTTAGAGAAAGTGTTTAATTTTTGAATTCTAGGACTAACTGCACGTATTCTTTCATCATATTATTGATTCCAACCAAAGTATTTTTTACCGATAGAATCATAGAGATTACCTCTATCATCATAAATTCTAAATCCTACAATATATTCAATATCTTCTTAATCTTTTAAAATTGTTATAATAGTAGCATTCTACCATGTTCTATTATCATAACAATCAATAATATCTCCTGGTTATAATGAATGTCTCCATTACCATTCTTCATCATTTACTTTACTTTTAAATGGTGCTATATCCATAGAATATCTAAGTATTTTTCTTTTATCATCATTTTCATACCATTTAACCCATACATATTTCTCATTCAATTTCTCTATTTTACCTCTACACCATCCTATTACATTACCTTTCTCATCATCATACAATGCATCTACATCCATCCCCTCTTATAATTCAGCACTAAAATTATATTAAGTAAATTCATGATGTGAAAACTATCTTATCATTTTATTATTCATACCTAATTTACATCTATCTAATGTAATTCATAACATTTATATATTTGCTTCTCAGGATCCATTATTATTCTCATCGTTTCCCATCCTTTTAATTATTCCTTATTATTTAAACACACCTTTACTATATGTGATAACATTTTATTTGCCAACTATCCTCTATTAAATTAAAACTTACCTTCCAACCTCCTCCATATTACCTTAACTCTATTACTGTCTTCCCAATTTGATATATTAAATCTATACTCATTTAATCTTACATCTATTACCATATTATCTCTAAATCCTTCTAACAACTTTTATATAACCATCTTACTTACTCATTTTATTATTATGATCCTAATCTCTATAAGCATTCCTTCAACTCTTCAATATTCATTTAATAAATTATCACTTTATTTTTATATCAATTTCCTATTATAATCACTAATACACCCTTTAATATTATTTAACCTTATACAAACAATCCTGTATTTTATAATTAAATTAATGGGAATCTGTTCAGCAAAAAACAAAACTAATTAAGAACTAAAAGAATAACATGAAACTCTACCTTAATAATCTCCTTAACTTGATCCTACTTAAGATGCACAAAGAAATTGTAAATCTGAAACGCATATCAAAACTAATAAATTACCTGCACAATCATCTAATCAAAATCTCAAAGCCAAAATTGTTACTAGTCCATCTGCAAAACCGATTAAACGCATGGTCTGGGCAGATTAAATTATTGAAAATTCAGGTCAACGTGGTACACTAAAAACATGGATTTCAATAAAAAATACTAACTTCTCTAAATATTACTCTATTTTAAGCAAAGAACAATCAAAATGTCGTATAAAATTGAATGAATAAATGGCACTTGTCCAACACAATCTGAGTGGTAAGATTAGAGTAGCTGAATTCATTTTTAAAACAAATGAAGGTGAACAACTTGTAGAATCTATTTATAAAAGTTAACTAGTATTTATAAACTTACTAAATTTTAGAATCATCCTAATTTAATTAAGCTAGATGAAATTTATTAAGATGCATCCAAATATTAAATTATTCATGATTTTTGCAATGGAGGTTCACTTCAATAATATTTAGCTATATCAGTTTATACGTAATAACAAGCAGCACTGATATTGAAATAAATCATTGAAATTATTTCATATATTCATAAATTAGAACTAAATCATGGTGGATTATCATTAATTTCTTTTTAAAAGTATAATTAATCTAATTCAAATTACATTAAATTAGTAGATTATAAACCTATTCATGTTAAACAAATGATTTCAACAAAAGATAGTTTAATGTATACAGCTCCAGAGGCACTTACATAACCTGAAGTTTATACTCCAGAAATGGATATATGGAGTATAGGTGTAATGCTATATAGGATGCTTTCTGGTTAATATCCATTTTAAGGATCAAATAAGGAGGAATTACTAGAATCTCTTAAAAAGTATTAAACATCTGATGAATTAATAACAGATTGTTTACCTCGTAATAGTGTAGAAACAATAAAAAAATTCTTAAGATGGGATCCAAAAAAAAGAATGAAACTAAATTTGGCTTTAAATGATGCTTGGGTTAAATAAAATATTGAATAATCAAAAGTAGAATAAGATCAAATTGTTAAATAACTTGATCAGAATCACCCTCTTTCCTTTTTATAATGTTGTTTCTTATAGCATATGATTACAACCTTTTAATCTGATTAAGAATAATCTTTGTATTAAATTTTTGGATAGTTTGATATTAATCATGATGGTAAAATAAATAGATAAGAGTTAACATAAGCTTACTTGAATCAATTTTCAAATATATAAGAAGTAAAAGAACACGTTGATTCAGTTTTTAAAGGTGTAGATATTAATAGAAATGGTGAGATTGATTTTTAAGAATTTTTGATAGGAGTAATAGATCGTAATACATTGATTACTACTGATAATATAAAAGAAGAATTTCGTATATTATCAGATGTAGAAGGTCACATTTCACTTTCGAAGATGTGCTAATTATATCATAATAAAAAATAGCAATTAAAATAGTAATTTTCCATATATGAAAATAATCAAGTATTTTTTTATTTTATTATTATTTATAGATAAATTTTAAATAATTTTAAGATTTAATGTTTGATGCACTTTGATTAGGATGATTAATTTTGAATTTTTTCTATATATTATTTAATATAAACAAAAATTTAATGTAATAATTTTTAGAGTAAAATGAAAACGTTTAATATAATAAATAATATTAAATTAAAATTCATTTAATGAATATAACTTTATAAATAAATTAAATATTAATATTCAAACTAAAGATTCTGTATAATTTCTTAATATTTATGTTCGTAATGATCTTTGAGTTTTAGGAATTTTTGAATTCTTAAATCTTTCTTTAGATAGATAACCAGGAACCCAAACTTTTTTGTATCCAACAAATTCATCATCAAGAGTTGGATGTAATATTTTTCTGACTGTAGATTAACAAAGTGGTTAAAAATCAGGATCTTCAGAATGAAATTGTTCATTTTCAATAGTTAATGGTGTTTTTGGATGTGAATTAATTTTGGAATGAAGTCTTTTATTAGTGTTAGTTATAGTAATAACATTTTGAAATGGTAATTTCCTTTTAGGTGATTCTTCTTATAGATCTCTAATTTATTAATCATCATCTCCACCTATATTAATTTAACTTTATTATCTTAAAAATTATGCTTTTTTCAATTAAAAAGATTTTCTTCTGGTAACTTTGTAATTTTTATCTTGAATATTATTTTGCTAGACAAAACTATATAAATAATGTAATACTCTGGTAATCTATCTTTTTTAACTGAGAATCCAACATGAAATATTTTATCTCGTTCTGTTTCTTAGATAGCATTATTAAGTAATTTTCTATATTCAAGCATAAAATTCTTCTGTTATTTTTGAAGTAAATCTTCAGGATTAAGATTGTTGGTTTTCTTTTTTGATTGAAAAACAAGTTCTATATTATCTAATCCTTTATTAGATGAAAAGTATTTTTGATTAGTAATACTAATTGAATTATAAGAATTATTAAATCGTATTATTTTAACAGCATTATCAATGAAATTGGATAATATTTTAATAGTATCTTTTTATTTAGATTCTAATTCAAACATGGTAGCAATAATATTGTCACTCTCAATTATCAAAGGTCCTCTGAGATTATTTTCAGCAAGAGCTAAAAATTTCTAAAAATAATGATAATTGTTATACTCTATTTGGATTAGTAAATGTAATAGGATGAATATCTAATTGGTTAATCAAATTAACAGGGAATTCCATATTTACACCTTTAAAGAGCCAATGATGCAAGAATTGTTTTTTAATAGAACAAAACATATCATTTTAATTAGCTAATGTATTCGATTTAGGTTTATAAGTAGGAGATTTAACAACAAATCTTCCAATAGATTAATATTCCATAGCATCTCTTCTATTATGTAAGCCAGTATTGACTTTAGGTAACCATTCATCAGTGACTTTACTATATAGATAAAGATCACCAGTAGTTGAATCTAGAAAATATTCATTAGGTCCATTTTTAAATGCTTATAAAGTATATTTTGGGAAATCTACTAATTTACAACCATTTCCATGATTGTTAGTAATATTAGCATACTAAATTTAGATAAACATTATATATATATACCACTGAAAAATTTGTTGAACACAAATAAGCAATAACTTATGCTCCAAAAGATGTAGTGAATAATAATTTCTTTGTTTTTAAACACATACGAATCAAAGTAAGTACCTTATATATTGAATATTCAATTACTTTTCTCATATTTGGATGCCATGGTTTTTAATTTGGGGATGCAATAATAAATACTATATCTAATGAATCAAACTTAAGACCATATTCTATTCTAATCAAACTTGTCTCTGGCTCATAAAGAAAATCATCTAAAGAATGACGATCTCTAATATGATATTCACATTCAGTATCAGCTACTTCTCTCTAAGATGATATCATCTATTATATTATTATAAACTTAACCTATTGAATACTTGATCTAAAATTATCAAAAGTCTTACTATTTACTTATGTTGCATTAAAACCATTTACTATTAAAAATCTCATTATATATATATATTATAATCTTATTNATTATTTTAACAGCATTATCAATGAAATTGGATAATATTTTAATAGTATCTTTTTATTTAGATTCTAATTCAAACATGGTAGCAATAATATTGTCACTCTCAATTATCAAAGGTCCTCTGAGATTATTTTCAGCAAGAGCTAAAAATTTCTAAAAATAATGATAATTGTTATACTCTATTTGGATTAGTAAATGTAATAGGATGAATATCTAATTGGTTAATCAAATTAACAGGGAATTCCATATTTACACCTTTAAAGAGCCAATGATGCAAGAATTGTTTTTTAATAGAACAAAACATATCATTTTAATTAGCTAATGTATTCGATTTAGGTTTATAAGTAGGAGATTTAACAACAAATCTTCCAATAGATTAATATTCCATAGCATCTCTTCTATTATGTAAGCCAGTATTGACTTTAGGTAACCATTCATCAGTGACTTTACTATATAGATAAAGATCACCAGTAGTTGAATCTAGAAAATATTCATTAGGTCCATTTTTAAATGCTTATAAAGTATATTTTGGGAAATCTACTAATTTACAACCATTTCCATGATTGTTAGTAATATTAGCATACTAAATTTAGATAAACATTATATATATATACCACTGAAAAATTTGTTGAACACAAATAAGCAATAACTTATGCTCCAAAAGATGTAGTGAATAATAATTTCTTTGTTTTTAAACACATACGAATCAAAGTAAGTACCTTATATATTGAATATTCAATTACTTTTCTCATATTTGGATGCCATGGTTTTTAATTTGGGGATGCAATAATAAATACTATATCTAATGAATCAAACTTAAGACCATATTCTATTCTAATCAAACTTGTCTCTGGCTCATAAAGAAAATCATCTAAAGAATGACGATCTCTAATATGATATTCACATTCAGTATCAGCTACTTCTCTCTAAGATGATATCATCTATTATATTATTATAAACTTAACCTATTGAATACTTGATCTAAAATTATCAAAAGTCTTACTATTTACTTATGTTGCATTAAAACCATTTACTATTAAAAATCTCATTATATATATATATTATAATCTTATTATATTATAATAAGAATAAATATTATAAAAATAATAATTAAATTATTTTTATTAATTAAACAATATATATAAATAAAACAAATACTAAATAAGATGAATTTCTAGAAATATTATTAATTTCTATTTAATCTAATCATCAATTAACTTCCATTACTTTAAAAATATTTATAATATTAATTCTATTATCTAATAATAATATCTTTAAACTACAATAAAATATTCAATTTTTAACAAACTAAAGTAAACTAAGTTAATTCTTATCAAATTAAGTTATATATCAATGAAAATCTTTTAGATTTATTATGTCTTTCAACTTAAGATTTAAAAACTAAATTAGCTTAATTAATTCAGTTTTACATTGATTAATATTATTTTTTTTATATTTTTAACACCATGAATCATGCATATTATGTACCATCTCATTAAATTAGTTACCATATTCAACCTTAAGCTTCATCAAATAGAAATCCTGATAATATTGCAGAATAGTATAATATTTATATCATAATCAGATTAAAATTACTTAAATCCAAAAAACATGTTAATCAATCCCTGCATAACAATAAAGATTCCCATATTCACTAATACAAATTGTAAAGTTAAAAAACAATTACCACGACTAAATTAAATTCCTCAAAAAGATAAAAATCACAAGATGTTGAACCAATCTAGTAATCCATTAATTCAGTCCTTAAATAACTACCCAAAAAATCTAATCCAACAGATGGCTATTTACTTAAGAAATAACTTAATTCTAATTCTTGTCAATCTCCTAAATTATTATTAAATCAAGATTACTAAAGCTTTAATAAAGATAAAACTGTTATCAAGACCGAACCTGATGTCTAAATTTATAGTGACAGAATCACTTCTTATAGAACTCCTATCCTTACCTCTAAATAAATTTCATCTAAAGAATAAGTTAAATCTATTTGTAAAAAAATTTATCCATCTTAACCTTCTGATGAAACAACCAATAACAAATTAGACAATAAAAATCTTTATCAAAATAACAATTCTAAACTCAAAACAGAAGTCCCTGATAAAATACTTGATTTACTTCTACTCTCTACAAGAGAACTTAAAATTAAACTTACAGATAAAAAAACAAAATAATCCTCTATTCCAAAAACTTCAAAGTCTGGATTACCAGTAGACTTTTTTAATTTCAAAAAATGATATATCCATATATTTATATACTAATATTAAATTAATTCAATATTTTCTATTCATTTATATTAATCTAATCTAAATTTTATAAACTTTCAATAATATATCTTATTCTTATTCATATAAATTATTATTCTTTTTTAGAAAATTACTTTAAACTATCAAAATATTTAAAATTATTTCTTTCATTTTTAAAATTAGAATTCTTCGTACATATCTTCAAATTTATATTCCTTTAAAATATTCATTTTCTATTTTAGGAATTTTCTTCATATCTATACTCTAACTTTGACAAAATTTTCCTTCTTCTTTTATATCTATTTTGAAGATAATTATGCATTAGAATGAATCGTTCCAAATTTTTAATTTAGTATGTAATTAATCATTTTATAAAATGTAATTAAAAAAAACTTATTTGATCTGATCATCATTTTTATTATTTATTTTTCATTATGATTTGTTAAATGTGAAAAGTAAAAAAAAATATATTACAAAATTTATTACAAAGTATTATGTTTAATTTCAACACTCGATCTTATATTAAGTAGATACAAACCAAAATTAGAAAATAAGTTTATTTCACAAATTAATAGACTCAAACCAAATATTTATTATCCTTAAGAACTTACAATGAATATTAATGACTATTTAACCTAATTACTAAATTTTTGTAATTCCCTTTGAGTTGATTTAATGTAATATAGTTATTAAGGCAATTTAAAACTCAATCAAAAATTATAATTTTATTTATTCTTTCTTAAGGCTATTTTCAATATTTTGTTTTTTTAAATCTTGATTATTATGCTTAACTTTCCGTTTTTTTATTTCAATTTTTAATCTCTTGGTTTTATTATGTTTTTTTATTTTAGATAACAAATTTTGTAATATATCTTTTTTGTAAATTTAAATTTCTAATTTATTTTCCATTATGATTTTGAGAAAAGAATTTCTTAATCTAAATAGTCATGACTATGACTGTAATTTAATTTACTTTTTCTGTTAATTAATAACCATTATTAATCATATTTTGTTAATTTTTAAATAATTAATGAATTATTTTTAGATTATAAATTTTATTCTAGTCAAATTAATTTTTTTTCATTGACAAACTATAAAATTGATTTTTTTTGTTAATGTATGATTTAATCAAATTTTTTAGACTTCCCATTCATTTTATCTTTTGACAATTTTATACAAAATGAAAAGCTCAGAAATATAAAATTTAAGGATGGTAATCAATGTTAAACTTTAATAGTAATCTATCAATATAAACATTTATTAAATTAATGAATTCCAATTTTTAGTGGGTTTTTTGTGAAAAAAAGATTTGTTTATTTTTGAAATAAATGTGTTATTTAAATTTATCAATGGAATAAATATCTACCTTTGATGATAAAATAATTGAAATTCCTGAATGTTCTATATGTTTACAATCTTTACAGAAAGATCTAAGTATTTTAGTAAATTGTGGACATGTATTTCATTAATAATGCATTTATTATTTGAAAGCAAGTGCTTATAATAAATGCCCAATTTGCAGAGTAAAAATGAATAAAAGATGCGATATCTTTTATAGTTTAAAAATAAAACCGATTGAAGATGAACCTAAATTTATGACAAATATGATCTAAATTATTAACTTGAAAGAAGAAATTGAAAAATTGAAATAAACCAGAGACAATGATAAAGAATCTTTATTGATTTTAGAATAAATGGTAAGCACAAGAGACAAAAAGATTTAAATACTTCAAAAAAAATATAGGAGTTCTAGAATAGAAATTTAATAAATCAAGGATAAATATCAGGATCTTAAATCAGATTTTTAAGATCTAAAAATATTAAGTCAAAACTTTAGAAATGGATTAAATAAATTAAATTATAAATTAGAAAGTTCAACATCAACCTCAGATGATGATGAAGAAATATCTAATTCATCAAATGAATCTAATGAATCAAATAATATGAAGGATCAATTTAAAGATAAAGTTTGTCAAATGATTCAAAGATTTTTAAAACAACAATAAACTTAACAATTATTAAAAGATAAAAAATAAAAAGAAAAAAATTAATCAGGGTTAGGATCTAGAAGTTAAAAAAAATTATGTATAAAAGAGATTTAATCTTTTGAAAAAAGTCTTAGGCAATATAAATGAATATATTATAATTTTATTTTATGCAGGAATTTACATTAAATCTATAACAAATCTTTTAATTAGATAGTTTTAAAAAAATAGTAACATCTACTTTAGAAATCGCTCCAATTCTCCAATTCTATCAATTTCACTTACTAATACTTTTTCCTTTTTTAATAATTAAAAATTCAGTAGATATAATTGAGAAGATATATTTTAATCATCTTAGTTTAGATTTTTTTTTAATTTTTAGTAAGTTCTATAGAGTTGTGAATAATAAACAGAAATCTGTAAATTAAATATATAAATTAAAGTTTATAATATATATTTAGAGATTCGATTGATCAAATTAAAAAATGATGAGACATCGTTAATTAATGGTTGGTAGATCAAATAATATAAAAAATAAATTTTTATTAAATGATTGAATAAACTAAAATTCCTAAAATCTGTAGATGGAAAGGATATTCTTAAAACATAAGTAAAATTACAAAATTTTAGAATAAAAGTATTATAGTAATTAAAATTAGTTTTGGGTTTTTATAAAATATTCAAATCAGAAACTGTTATCTAAATGTTGTCTTATAAATTATGTTAAAATTAACCAAATTCTAAAAATGGATTTTTTTAGACCAACTGTATTAATTAGATGTATAACAAAAAATGCTCAATTTTTAATTTAAAAATCATAAGAAGAATTTACTCTTGATTCTTTCATTTTTTTGTAAAATTAATGAGGAACTTTGCAACATAAATAAATAATTGTAATGAATCCAGATTTTATAAGATGATTTATTATTATTATATAGTGTTATAATTATAGTTTGATTCTACTAATAGAAAATTATATATGTAGTGAAATGTATAATTATTCTGTTTTAGATGTAAATAGGAGATTAAATTAAAGAAAGAAATAATTGATAAAATTAAATAGATTATACAGATTAAGGATAGATTAAGGCAATCTAATTAAAAATAAATAGGAACATATAATTTATGTATTGATATAAAAGTAATATTTTGAAAAGAGATTTTACACAAAATAATTAAGTTATTTAAATATTTAACTAGAAAGGGCGGGATATTAAATTTTATATCAAATATAAATGGGAATAGAGAATTTACTAAATTTTTTAAAGCCTGCTTTAGTTGAAAGATGTATAGCATATTATCGTGGTAAAACTGCGGCTGTAGATGCAATGTCATGGCTTTATCGTGGTTGTTATTCTTGTGCATAAGATTTAAATTAAGATATTGAAACAAATGATTATCTTTATTATGTTTTAAAAATGGTAAATAGATATAAGTTTATAATTAGTTAATGATGTTAAGAGAATATGAAATAACACCAATTTTAATATTTGATGGTCGTAATTTAAGAGCGAAAGAAAAGACTGAATAGATGAGAAAATAAATAAAATAACAAAACTTATAAAAAGGAAAAGAATTATAAGAAAGTGGAAATTAAGAAGAGGCAAAAAAATACTTTTAAAGGTGTTTAAAAATAAGAAAGAAAATGATGTATACAACATTTGATGTGTTGAGAGAATAAGATATAAAATATATTATAGCGCCATATGAAGCTGATGCTTAGATTGCTCATATGTGTTTAAGTGGATAATGTGATTTTGCCATAACTGAAGATGTATCTAAATTTATTATATAAATACAAGAGTGATTTAATTTGTTATTAATGTCCTTTAATTGTTTTTAAGTTATAAAGTAATGGAGCATGTTTTGAATTAGAATTATCTAAACTTAAACAATCAAGATCAAATAGAGCTCATATTAAAAATGATGATGTGAGATAATTCTTATCATTTAAAGATGAATAAATTATTGATGTATGTATTATGAGTGGATGTGATTATCTTCCATCTATTAGAGGTATGGGAATCAAAAAGGCTTTGAATTTTATGTCCAAATATGATGACATTACTAATATTATACTCAAAATCAAAAAGAATAAATCATTTAATTCAAAAATTCCATTTGAATATGAAAAAATTGTTAAAGCAACTAGATTAATTTTTTAATTTTAAACAGTTTATTGCTCAAATACTAAAAAATGGATATCACTTAATCAAAATAAATTTCAATAGTTTCTTTCAAATTTATAAGAAAATCATTTCTTACCTCTTGATTAAATTTAATAATTAATTGGAGAAAAAATTAATGAAGATTTACAATTTCAATTTAGTAATGGAGACTTAGATATTAAGACTTTAGTTTTTAGAGAAAAAGTTAAAATCAATTTTGATTAACTCTTTAAAAGATTTTAAAGGAGATTTGAAAATTCTAAATAATAAATTATTGATATTGAAACTAAGTAAAGAGTGTCTTAATTTCTATAAACTTAAGATATAGAAAATCTACCAGAATTTATTGAAAAACCTTCCATCAATTTAAAAGAATAACAATTTTTACCACCAAAACGTTAGTAGATTTAGAAACAAGAATTTAATATATTTTAATTATGTGAAGAGATTTTTGATTAATAGGATAATATAATTTAAAAGAATTAAAATAATATAGATCATTTAGATATAATGAAAGAATAATCAGTAGATGATGATCTCTTTAATTCAAATCGTAAAATCTTATAAAATACTAAAATGAATCAAAATGAATCAGATTCCAATCAAAATTCATCTGAACCACAGCACAATCCATTCTTAATTAAATCTAAAGTAATAAATACATAATGCTTAAGTCAAGTATAATTTAACTATTATAATTTTAGATAAAAAGCAATCCTACATTAGATAAGTCAACTTAAAAAAAGTCATAAGTAAAATCTATAGAAAAAGTACTCAAATAAACTTAATCAACTATATTTAGTTTTGTTAAAAAATGAATATAATAGCATTATATATCAATTTTTTTTAGAATTCTTAATCTCAATTTTCTCTTCAATGATAAGTAAGATTAAAAAGTTTTATATTATAACAAATTTATTTAATCATTGTCTATCCAATTTGATATTTTTGGAAATTTAAATGATTTAATAACAATTTTTTTTTTCTTTTTAAAGTTGCTTATGTTTCATATTTTCTGACAATGATATTTAGTTTTATTTGATTAATTAGACTAGATCTATTGATGTGTTGATTGAATATCAAAATAGAGATTAATAAATTATTTATTATTTAATAATAGTCTTATTCTTTTAATAATATCAATGAAGCATAAAAATCTGTTATCTAAAGAAACCATAAAAAATATGGAGAAAATAAAATAAAAATGACTTTATTTAATATAAAATAAAATTGAGATTAATATTTCTGTTTTATTATTAAATTAACGATAATGGGATGTTGTGAAGCCAATGGAATAAGGAATAGATTGGATTAGATTAATCCATTTAAACAATAAAGAGGTAAGAATATATGTGAAATCAAAGATAATTCTGCACCAATCTGTAGGAAACCAATATTTGATGAGAATTCTACATAATAATATAAATCAGAGTCATAATATTATTCATACAAAACTCAACAGTTTAAAGTATCTAGATCTCCAAATAAATTGGATGACTTTAATACTAATTAATTTAAAGTTTAGCAAAAGCAACCTATGATGAATCATAGAATATAAACATAATAAGCTGTTTCTTGTCCTCCTATTCGACAATAAACAAATTAATATTTAAGTAATTAAAGTTTCTCTGTACCTGTCAGTGCTATAGTTTAACAACCCTAATATGTTGTAAACAATCAACCTTAATAATGTTAACCATATGTGATATATCCATAAAGTAATAATATTAGCTTTCGTGGAGATCATGTTAGCTAAATACTCACCAATCTTAATAACTGTATAAATTTATTGTTATTTTAGAATAATAGAGATTATTTAAGACTGCTTCGAAAGCAATAATGAAAGTAGAAGATGATAAATTGACAAATAATGATAGAGAAGTTATGAAGGATATTTTTCATAAACTAGAAAAAACTTCATGTTTTAATTCAAAGAAATCAAGCAAAAGTAATCTAGCTGGATCATTATAAATGAATAGTAAGGAACTTAAAAAGATGTATGATTAAATGAATAATTAACTATAATTATTGAATAAATTAATAGTTTGTTTAGATGATAAATGGAATATGTAAGATAGCAAGTAGGTTAAATTATAACTAAAAGAATTTTCAGAAAAAGTTAAAGAATTAGGAGAAGTGACTTTACATAATAGTTTGATTGAATAATAAGGGAGTGATAAAAGTTTCAGATCTTAAGAGTCTTCATTTCTACCAAAGACTAATTATACATAGACTAAAGAAATTGATTTAAGTAATTTAAGTGAATAGGAAGATAGTCAAATTAAGTAGATGAAAGATATTATGTAAAAGTATCGTAATCAGACTAATGAATAAAGTGGTCTATTTTAGAGAGATTTAAATCAAAATTCATTTAATAATGTTAAGATATAATAAAGTAAATTATCATCATAAAGAATGAAAGAAAATAATTCCAAAATTGATTCCTTAATAAATAAATTGCATCATTTGAATCAAAGCTACAAATTGTTATAAAATCAATGATTTATTATTAAATTTATATACTATTATTTTATTATAAAATACGGCAAAATTATAATTAATATATATAAATCATGGGGAATATGTGTGAGGCAGGTAGTTCACCAACTAGAATGAGCTCATTAGATAAATTTGAAGTTTAACCTGTATTTGATGAATCTCCTACCATTTAAAGTGCCTCACCTAAAAGGAGGAAAGTAAATAGAGATGATTTTCTAAATTTAGGATTGATTGGAAAAGTTTAAATTATATACTATTTTAGGGAGCTTTTGGATCTGTTTATAAAATTATGAAAAAAGATAATGGTTAAATATATGCGATGAAAGAATTAAAAAAATAAACTTTAACAGACCATAACTTAGAAACAGTCAATTTTTTAGAAAGGTTTGTATTGAAAACTAGTGAATGCCCTTTTATAGTAAAGTTAAGGTATGCGTTTCAAACTTCTTCTAGATGCTACTTTGTAATGGAGTAAAATTATGTAATAATAAAATAGTTATGTATCTGGAGGTGATTTACATCGAATTTTAAAAAAAAACGGTGCATTACCAGAGAAAATCGTAAAATTTCTTATAGCGGAGATAATTTTGGCATTAGAATATTTACATACATAACTAAAGATAATATATAGAGACTTGAAACCAGAAAATATTTTATTGACCGAAACGGGACATATTAAGCTTACAGATTTTGGATTGGCTACATATATAAAAGATGAACATACATATACTGTAATATTAAAATATTATAATAAAGATTGCAGGAACACCTGAATATTTAGCACCAGAAATAATTGCACGTTCTGGTCATACTTATGAAGTTGATTTTTGGACTTTAGGAATTTTAATATATGAAATGTTATCTGGATATGCTCCATTTACATGTGAAGATCGTAATGTATGTACCATCTAAAATGTAAATTTATTTTTGATTATTTATAAAGCTTATTATGCAGAATAAACCAATATATTCTCCAAAAATCTCAAGCAATGCTCGAAACTTAATTTCTAGTCTTTTAAGATTTAATCCAAAAGAGAGATTAGGAGCTAAATCCTTCAATGATCTCAAACGCCATAACTTTTTCTAAAACATTAATTTTGAAGCACTCTCTTAATGTCAATTATAATCTCCTTTAGAGACAGTAGCACAAAAGAGTAAAGTTGAATAAGAAGAATCATTAACTCCTATTAAAAATGAGGATAAACCTCAAAATAGTAGTCCACCTAATTGGCAACCTATTCATGATTTTAGTTATGATCCCCACCTTGATAATGAAATTAACACGTAAAACGGTTGAAATATTTGTGCATTTTCAATTAAGAATAAATATTTTTTATCTCACATTTATTTCATTTTTGTTAATGAAAAATGATACTACTTTTAAATAATATTTATTAGAATGATTCNCCTAAAAGGAGGAAAGTAAATAGAGATGATTTTCTAAATTTAGGATTGATTGGAAAAGTTTAAATTATATACTATTTTAGGGAGCTTTTGGATCTGTTTATAAAATTATGAAAAAAGATAATGGTTAAATATATGCGATGAAAGAATTAAAAAAATAAACTTTAACAGACCATAACTTAGAAACAGTCAATTTTTTAGAAAGGTTTGTATTGAAAACTAGTGAATGCCCTTTTATAGTAAAGTTAAGGTATGCGTTTCAAACTTCTTCTAGATGCTACTTTGTAATGGAGTAAAATTATGTAATAATAAAATAGTTATGTATCTGGAGGTGATTTACATCGAATTTTAAAAAAAAACGGTGCATTACCAGAGAAAATCGTAAAATTTCTTATAGCGGAGATAATTTTGGCATTAGAATATTTACATACATAACTAAAGATAATATATAGAGACTTGAAACCAGAAAATATTTTATTGACCGAAACGGGACATATTAAGCTTACAGATTTTGGATTGGCTACATATATAAAAGATGAACATACATATACTGTAATATTAAAATATTATAATAAAGATTGCAGGAACACCTGAATATTTAGCACCAGAAATAATTGCACGTTCTGGTCATACTTATGAAGTTGATTTTTGGACTTTAGGAATTTTAATATATGAAATGTTATCTGGATATGCTCCATTTACATGTGAAGATCGTAATGTATGTACCATCTAAAATGTAAATTTATTTTTGATTATTTATAAAGCTTATTATGCAGAATAAACCAATATATTCTCCAAAAATCTCAAGCAATGCTCGAAACTTAATTTCTAGTCTTTTAAGATTTAATCCAAAAGAGAGATTAGGAGCTAAATCCTTCAATGATCTCAAACGCCATAACTTTTTCTAAAACATTAATTTTGAAGCACTCTCTTAATGTCAATTATAATCTCCTTTAGAGACAGTAGCACAAAAGAGTAAAGTTGAATAAGAAGAATCATTAACTCCTATTAAAAATGAGGATAAACCTCAAAATAGTAGTCCACCTAATTGGCAACCTATTCATGATTTTAGTTATGATCCCCACCTTGATAATGAAATTAACACGTAAAACGGTTGAAATATTTGTGCATTTTCAATTAAGAATAAATATTTTTTATCTCACATTTATTTCATTTTTGTTAATGAAAAATGATACTACTTTTAAATAATATTTATTAGAATGATTCATTCATGATAGATATACTTACATCATTATAATTTTTATATTTATAAAAGCTTGTTCATAATAATTCGTTGTTCTTTATTTTATTTTGAATAAGAAAATTGAATATTCTTTTTTAAAGTAGTCTTCATTTATAATTAATGATAAATTACTAATGATGAAGTTTGAAATAAAAATACAAAATCATATTTTTCTAAAACTTGAATTGAATTGATATGATTTTCAATAAAGATTAATTTAAAAAAAAGTCTCACAAGTATTTGTAAACTGATTCTAAAATGAAGCATGGTGATCAAAATTATAGTTAAAAAGTAATAGTAAAGAAAAGTAAATAAAATAAGGAATGAGTCTTTTAAGCTGATAGAATAATGATAATAAGTTGAGATTAGATAAGATGAGTTGAGTAATATAATTATTGATTAATCGTTAGAATAAGTAATTATATTTTCTTAATGTTTTATAATCGAATTCCAAAAGCACTTCCAATTTTGCTTGGTTTACCTGATGATCCAAAACCAAAATTTATTTGGATGAAATTAGGAGAAGAATAGTAATCAATGATTTAAGGGAGATTAACAAAAAGGACATTTACAAGTAATCCTTAACAAAATATAAAATAAACAAAGGGAAATATAAGTTATAGAACTAGTGTTATTAATAATGATTAATTGTAGAGAAATCAATCACCTAATAATTCATCTAATATGATTTACTATGAAGAATTCAATATTGAAGTTAAGGAAAACATTTGTAAATAAAACTATATACCAATAAAAAATGTTTCAGAATTATAGGAAAGTCTAAAGAATTTAAAATATAAATATGATGCAAATCATCCAAGAGATTATGAAATTTTTGGAGGATTCGAAGGATGTAACGTTTAAGAAATCTATTATTGCAAGAATGACACAGTTAAGATTGTATTGAAATCAGATACAAATTCTCATGGTTTTTGTAAATGGTTCTCTTTGGGTTTAAAAATTTATGCATTTAAAGAAATGAGTATAAAAGTCAATATAATAAATTTGAGAGCAATAGAAAAGAATAGAGAAGTGCATATATTGAGACTTTCTGATAATCATGAATACTTTGTTCCTTCTCATTATTCATTTACAAATATTAAACGTAAGGATCATTATTTTGCATAATGTTCATTTGAAGTAAAGTCTTCTTATGAAAGTTATATAATAAGTTTTTAAAAACCATTTTCGTACAATTAGTTAAAAGAAAATGGATAATATGGATAATTAGGATTATCTAGGTTATAATATCCTATTTATTATTGGGTATAGAAATTTAATGGTCCACTTATTTTAATAGTAGCTCGTATTAGACCAGTAGATTCAAATACATCATATTTAGCTGAAGAATTGATCAAGTAATTAAAATAAACATAATTAAATGTGATTGTGGTACCAATGCTCAACCCAGATGGCGTTGTGTTAGGTAATTCTAGATGTAATTTGAGTGGAAAAGACTTAATTTCAAATTATTAATTTACCAATCCTAGTCTGTGTCCAGAAATAAAAAGTGTTTTAGGAATAGAGAATGTGTAAATTGCAATGTAAATATGCTATTTATTGGCAGTGAGTTGAGAATGCACGAGAAACCTCATGTGGTGAGTTCGATGAAATTTAATTGTGGATTACCATAAAGAAGAAGGAATTTAGAAATTCATGATATTAGTACTAAATATCAGAAATATGTTAAGATATTCATCAGTTAAAATTAAGTGAATTATTAAGAGTAGGCATCGCTTATCATAAAGGCTTTATAATAAATTCAATAATAGAATCCTGATAACATAAGTTATAAAAGTGAAACAGATCATGAAGATGATATTTTGGACAATTTCTATTATAATTCTCAATCAAAGGATTAGTAGAATACAATATAGTTATAATAATCATATTAATAAAATCTCAATCCATAAACATAATTGTAAGAATTATTATAAACTATTAATCCTTCAATTAAAGAGTAAGAATCAGTAAATCAATTAAGAAATCTAGAATGGAAAGATTTGACACATCGTTCTGAATTGTCAAATGGAAAAATAAAAACATAAATAACTCCAAGTAAAGATATTCAACATAGCTTTTTTGAAAAACAATTAATTAAAAGATAATCAAATTATCATTAACATTCTGAATCTCATTCATAAAGCCATTAAGATAAAATTATTTTAAAGAGCCCCTTTTTACCTAGCAGAGAATAGATTTTTGAAAAGTACTCAAATTTATCAAGGAGTCCAAGCAATAAAAGAAAAACTTTATCACAAGCTAAATTATAAACACTTACATAATATTAAGTTTTTAAATATAATAGGCAAAAATAATGAATTAATTATTTATTATTAATATTTTCTGTTTTCATTTAATACCTGCAATAATTAATTCAATTCATCTGTTAAATGATTACCTTATTATATTCATTCATTTAGTTTAGATAAAAGTAATCTTTTAGTAATTAAACTGCTGAATATTTACATTTTCTTCATTAATCAAGTTATCATTCCATTTTATAAAAACATCAGTATTATAAGTTTTGATCAATTAATCTGTTATTTATTTTCTAATCTTATTTAATTTCAATAAAATTAATACTAAACTTCATTTATTATTTTATCAAATATTAACAAAGACAATCAAATAAAATTTTCTATTTCTAATTTTTTCTTAAATTTATTAACATTTGATTTTGATTTTTATAATATTAATGCATCATATTAAAATGATTAATTTGGTAGATTATTGTGATTCTTAAAAAATTATTTTAAAATATATATTAATTCTTCTTCTATTTAATACTTTTTATCTATATATGTTTTTTAGAATTTCTAATTCATATTTTATTTGAAAACTAAAATTCTAAATTAAGTCTTATATAAAAAATGAATTTCTAAATAGAATTTGATTATTTTTTATGATTCTCTATTTTCGATTGTTATTTGAATTTCATATAATCAATTTAAATTATTGATTAATCTTATTTAAATAAAGGTTTAATTATGTTAGATTCATAGAGTATAACCATATAGATTAGTATATTTTATTGGCATGAGTATTAGTGAGATTTTACTTTAATTTATATTAAATTTTTTTCAAAAAATTTTATTAAAGATTTAAAATCATGGTAATACTTCATAAATAATCTTTTAGGGAAAACAACCAACATAAGGTTAAAAGAAAACAAAGGATTAGATTGCTAAAGCAGCTTCTTAAAGAAGTAAATAAACAAAGAAGGTAAAATTGTATTTTTGATAATTTGGTTAGAAATGGACAAAGGGAAGAGCAAAGGATAAATTAAACAATGCTGTGTTTTTAGATAATACATCCTACAAATAAATTGAGACCTAATTACCAAAAATGGGTTCATTGATAACAGTCTCAACAGTATCAGATAAATTCAAAGTAAATGGGTATTTATTGGTCTCTTAATTCCTTATTAAAGTTCATTGGCAAGAAGATGCATTAGACATTTTGCAAAATCAGGTTTATTGGTACCAGCTGGAGAATAAAATTCTAAATAATACATTTATACTGTAAATGCTTAAGTCATTGCTGCTTAAAAAGCTGCCGCTGCTGCTGCTGCTGCTGATAAACCTTAAGTCTAAAAGAAAGCTCCAGCCAAAAAATGAGTTTATAATTTAAGTACATTACAACAAATATATTTAATTTTGCATCAGCATACCATTCAGATCTAAAGGATTATTCTATTCTGCCATTAATTATTTATAAAAAATAATTTATTCAACATTTTTACTTAGTTAACTTTTGATCCTTGAATCTAAATATTCATTTACCTATACTTTTCAAATCTAGTTCAACTTTACAATTAAATTTAATTATCATTAAATACTATTGGAATTAATAATTTTAGAAATCCATTATGATTAATAACTTTAGATTACTTATCAATATAATGTATATATTTATATCCAAAACAAAAAATAACTAATCACTGAAGAATATAACTAAAATTATTTAAAAACAAATAAACTGCATCATTAAAAATTTAGATATCAATTCTATAATTTAGATTCCTTAAAACAATCAACTGTTCATAATTTATTTAAATTATAAATCGTAATTAGGTTTATATTAATTAACTTTAACACAATCAACACACTTTGAAACAAAAAACAATATAATAATACAATTCTAATTCATATGAAAAAACTAAAAATAAATTCTGTTTCAGAATATAAATTATTGAATTCTAACATTTTACTAAGGAAATATTCTGGATCATTTGCTAATTTATTTCTATTTTACATTTGATTTTTATGATATTTCGATTTATCTCAATTCTCTACATCTATAACAATAAAGTTCTTTCAATTCTTATTTTACAGATTAATAATTAAATAAATCATATTTAATTCCTTGAAAATTGTCCAAAAATTTATTTAATGTTGTAAATTCTCAGCTCTTCATTATTTATTAACGTAATCCCAAAGTTTAGATTATTTAAATTGAATAAAACTAATTTAAATTCATAAAGCAAATTTGTTTATTTTCATTTTAAACAATTAAGTTGAACTTTAAATTGATGAAAATAACTACTATTAATTATTAATGTATTATTCAATTATTATCATTAATAAAGAAATAATCATTTATTCATTCACAATTTTCTGGAATGTATGACTCATATTAATTAGTTAATTTATCAATAATAAAAATTACAATATAGATTTTTATTCTTATTTATATTTTGAAATTAAATACATTTTACAAAATTTATTTGAATTAATTATTATCAATATCAATAGTATTTAGTTTTCTATTTTTAATTTCTGTTCAAATAAATAGAACCTAAAATAAATTAGTAAATACTTCACAAATTACTTCAAATAATCCTATTAAAATAATAATTTAGATTAAATATTGAATGAAATCAAATATATTGAATCTGAAAATTAGATTACTAATTTTAAATTTAGTTGAGTTTATCAAAAATAAAATAAATAAAATCTACAGTAAAAGAGAATCTTGTTAAATATCATTTAAATTAATTTGATCAGAAATTTATTAAGATTACAAAGAAAACTGATATTTATGAAATGCTACAATTAATAAATTAGATGAATTAATTTAAGTAAACTTCCATTACTTTTTCTTTTTAAAATAATTGATAAATTAAAGTTATAATTAATTTTATATCAATATATTATTTTTGTATTTAGATGCATAAAAATTACAATTAATTTTTATGATTAAATTTTGTCAAAAGTTTAAAACATATTTTTCAAGCTCATTCATTCCTTACAATCCAAAAGGATTTAAAGATGTTTCCAAATATATCTAAAATCATCAATCAATATAAATAAAATTATGTGATTTTGATGTTAGTAAGGATTAGTTTATTTATGCATATAATAATTTTCTTAATTCAATTTAAGATGATGATTTTAATTTATATGTTCAAGAAGTTTGTGATAAATAATTAGCAGATTAATTTATTGAAGGACTTTCAAGAATTTAGAATTAATCATTAAAATTAGAAAAAGTATTGAATGATGAAGTTTAAGAAGAAATATTTTTCACAGAGTTTAATTTTTTTATTAGTGTTAATCGAAACATTTCCTTGTATGATCATGTAAGATGTTTGAAACAATTTAGACTGTTTTATAATCATTAGACGAATTTCCAAAATTTATTTAATTAAATTCTTAAGCAAAAGAGCTGTTGAATTGTGTATAAATAGGAGCTTTTATAAAATCTAAATTGAGTCTAAAAATATCAGACTTTGAAGTATATTTATTAAAAAATTAATAAGCATGAACCTGAAAATTTTCATCATGTCAGATTTATGGTACTTAAGGATGCAGAAGAGCTAAAAAGTCTTTTTTCAACCTTAAAATCAATATTATTTTATAATGAAAAAGAAGTTTATTTTGGAAATAATCCTACCTGGAAAATAATAGACTTAGATAGAAATATGGGAAAATAATACCCTTTATTTTTTTGAACATTAAATTAAAAACAAGCATTTAAATAATAATTAAAATATACATTTCTAACTAATTCCTGATATCAATCTTTATTCAAGCTTGATTATCATCTGTTAAGTCTTTTAGAATAATAAATAAATTCAGAAACTGATTGATTTTCTAGAAAAAAAGAAATATAAAATTAATCTAAAGATTAATACTATATTTATTATACTTATTATTTAAAAATAAAATAATTAATAAATTTCACCTAACAATTTTATCATAACTTTAATAAATACTTGATTCTTCCTTATAAAATAAAAAGATACAAAAATATATTAAAATATCACTTTGTCATAAAGATTAATGATGAGGATTGTAATAAATTTGCTAAAATGTTTTATTTAGTTTGTTTTCTAATGAAAAAATTAAAGATCTAGATTGTAAATATTTAAATTTAACTATTTTGAATTATCTTTTTAAAACTTTAATATATTAAATTAATTAATGTATGCTTATCTTAAATTGTTAATCTTTAATATCATAATTTATTTAAAAACTCTATTAAATTTGGATGTAATTCTTTTTAATGAAATTGTGTGAAGAGACAATTAAGACTTATAATTTTAAAATAAATAGAAATATTAGCTTATAAAAAGAATTTTATCACCGATATTTTGCTAAAGGACAATAGTATAAATAATCGTTACTATAGATAAAATTTTCTTAAAATATAAAAGGAAAATCTTAAATAGATGATGAACATAGTGAAGTAAATAGTATAAATCAAATATTAAAAGAAAACTAAAATATAAAATCATAATTAAAGATACATAAATCAATTAATTGTGCTATTATCTTTTAAATTAACAGTGATATAATCAGTATTTACTTTGATAAATTACAAAAAAGTATAATATATTTTTATTCAAAATGTAGGTCTTTAAATTTTAAAATTCACAAAAGAAATTCATTATATTTTATCATTTTTTTCAAATAAATTGAATCAAATGTAGATGTTAAATCTAAATATATTTATGGTAACTCTTTAAAATTTATATAAGCTTTGATAGAATTTCTTTTATAAAAATAAATTAGAATAACAAAAAACTTATAACTCAGAGAAAATAGATGAGATTTATTAATAAATATCCAATAAATTAAATTCTTACATTTATTAATATGAATAAAAAGATTAACAATTTTCCTATTCAAAAATAAGAAAAAGTTAGACTTTGATGAATCTAGAAGATTATATTATTTAATCAAATTCTATTAATGAATAAAAATTATATAACAGTGGAAACTTTGCCTCCAGCTTAAGTTTAATAAATCTAAGTCGAATATAACTTTCATTATATCAGAGACCTCGTAGAAAAATGTGTTGAATAGTTATAACACAATGTTTAACTTTTTTATGATAAAGAATGTAGAAACGCAATTGATATTGATAAAAGCCTTCAGGAATTGAACATTTAAAATAAAATTATTTATGCAAAATAGATAGATTAAGAAAAAATGACTTCTTAATATCCTAGTGTAGTTTGCTGGTTTAAATAAGATGGAAAAGAATTAGATCTTGGAGTTTAATTGAGATCAGACTTTACATTTGAAGAAGTAATAGGAATGAAATTTTTAGGTATTAGACGATGCGTTATCCTAAAATATCATAGAAAAACTACCATCCTCGATTATAGTGACAGATTTAGGGCAAACCTAAAAATTGGCAACATTGATGGAAATGTAAATGTTTAAGGTGACAAATCGTTTGGGTCCTAATCCATAATTAGTTATACACTTCTCTACATCAGGTTAAGAACCTAAAGTTGATTTATTCTAACCAAATTAATTTTAGAACAAATTTGCTTTTTCTCCTCAATTTTAAGTCAACACAAATTAATAATGTTAAGGAAATTAGATATTTCAAACTCATTCATAGCTTCCAACAAACTTATAGTTCAATAATTAATAATTTTAAAACAAAACAAATATTTCGCTATAAAAAAATCCTTAGCAAACCTAAAATTTCTAAATTCCTTTTAATCCTCAACATTAAGAACCAAAGATAAATCCTATACATCAATAAAATTAAAATTAAAACTAGATTTCGCAAAATACATCAAAGTTTGTCCCAATAAATTAAACAAATACATTACCCTTTCCGTAATTTATAAAAAATCCATAACCAGTAACCTAATCGATGTTTAATATTAACTAATAAATTGCATAATAATAACAACCATAATTATAGCCATAATAACCGTTCTAATAATAATAATAATAATAATAATAATAGCAATAATAACAATTCTAATAATAATAATAATCATAAATATAACAATAATAGTTCTAATAGTAATAATAATCATAAATATAGCAATAATAACATCTTTAATAATAATAGCAATAGTTTTAATAATAATAAATATAATAATAATAATCACTATAATAATATTAATAATAATAGTAATAACAATAATAATAATAATAATAATAGTAATAACAATAATAATAATAATAACAATAATAATAATAATAACAATAATAATAATAATAATAATAACAATAATAATAATAATAATAATAGTAATAACAATAATAATAATAATAACAATAATAATAGTAATAACAATAATAATAATAATAATAACAATAACACCAATTCTAATACCCATAATAATAAGGATAATAAAATTAATAATATTCAATTAGCAACTCTCAACAATTACTTATAAATGAAATGAATTCGGCTGAAGCAATGGCTTAATAGAGTTTAGATTAATTAACATATTTAGGAAAGTTTAACTTTTTTGTTAATCAAACTGGTGATTTTGTTTTGTATTAATGCAATTAACCAAAATTAAAAGGTTATTTTGTACAAAATAAAGGAAAAGAGGCTAAATTATTACCTGATTATGATAAATAATGGATAAATATATTAGGAATTCAAATAGCTGAATATCATCCAAATGGATTCATAATTAAATGGAAAAATAATACTTATAATGTTTTTACAATGACATATTATTGAGTTAAAATCAATTTGAATAAAATAATGCAATAATTTACATATAGTTTTAGGTTATTTCTTTCCTATAAAAATATAAATATTTTCAATATCATTTTCTAAATTCATAAAAGAGTTGCTTTTATTGTTTAGTTTAATTTATTGCAAATAAACATCTTTTCTAAAGTAAATTATTTATACTAAAAAGATGTATGATTTGTGAAAAAAAACTTAATGTAAATATAATTTTTATATTAAACATGTCAATATTATTTTAATTTCTTCAAAAGGTTCTGATTTAAAGAAAAAGTTTAAATATTATGACAGATTATTTTATTCACAATTATGATTAAAAAATGATTCTCTTGATTAATAATTAAAGAAAAATCAAATGTTTTATGAAAATTTTGATAATTTAAATTGAATAAAAATTGTTGAGTATAGAAATCACAATAAACAATATCTGAAAGTCTTTCTATTAAAAGTTAGAGGTTTTTATTGAACTTTTTTTGAATTATCAATAATTATAATATTGAATTAAAAAAATTGAAAATATTTTAGTATTAAACTTATTACAATATCTTGATTTGAAAATAAATAAAAGAGGTCAGAAATGATTAATTGTATGTTACTTAATACTTGAAGACTTGAATTTTAATAAAGGTTTGTGAAAGATGTGGGATTTTCGAAGTTCCCAGTATTTGGGAGGTTATAGAGAAAATTAAAAGAGAATGATTATTATTATTTTATGAACAATTTTACACTGAAATTTTTCAATCCAGAACTTGAACTTCAGTATCAAAATGAAAAAATATAAAAAATAAGAAAGAGAGTATTCTATCTGTTTATGGCTTTGGGATTGATTTTAAATATAACAAAAGTAATTCTGGATATTATAGAAATCAAGCCATTCACTTAATATATTAATTATATATTAGTAGGTTTGATTAGTATACTAGTTCCTATTAGTATAAAATGGCCTCTTTATATTAGATACACTCTTATGGTGGCTAATATTTCAACAGCATTATTATAATTGAATTTTACTGAAAGTACAAAAGCATAAATGTACTATAATTATGGAAGTAATTTTACTTAATTCTAAACATGTGCTTATTTTGTTTCTGATTTTATTGATAGCGTTGTTCAAGTAATTTGCCATACCATAATAAAAACATCAATTACAATATATGAAACAAGAAATATAGATCCATAGGATATTTTGATGAGTGTAGGAGCAGCAATAATTATTTCGATTGTTATTTATATATGTGATTCTAATTCTCGAAAAGAATTTTTGTAAAATATTTGTGAAAATATATGGGATTAGTAATTACCTGAGATAATTAAGAAACCATATTTCTAAGTATCATACAATAAAGCTTTGTTATAATTTAATGTATTAAGTTGGAATGATATCGATTTATTTCCATCTTATTGTGATTAAATGTGTTAAGGATGTAATGTAAGAAATTTTCTCAGATTATTCAAATGTGATGAAAAAGACTTAGGATAAATGTTATAACAAGTCACTACAGGAACAATTTAAATACATTATGGAAAATAAAAATTTAAAATAAGAATCATAAATATTGGTGTTGATTATACTAATAAAATTATTATTTTAGATGACACACTTACACAAAATTCAAATCATACACTAATGATTTCAATTAAAAAGACAATGAGTTTGTATTTGAAATAATCATCAAATAAATCTTATTAAACTTTTTTTAATTGGGGAATGATGTCTCTAGTTTTAATTAATGATTTTACTATTCAGGAAATATAACTTTGTAAATTAATTAAAAAATTAAATGCAATTTTCCAAAAATAGAAACTATTTGATTTCTTTCTCAGAGGAGATTAAAATATTGTATTCAAAGGCTACATCAACTTAATCCGAATTTATTTGATTCAAGTTTATTTGATTCTTATTTAAGTATATGACCATCAAGAAAAAAAAAAAAAGCGTAAATGTGAACACAAACCAATACCAATATTCATATCTATTTATAAAGAAATTGATAAAATATGCATTTAATTGCCTCCAACAACAAACTATTTGTTATTTATTTGCAAATATACTAAAAATATCTTTATCACTTAGATTGAATCAACAATTTTGGCAGCTCCATTATCTAATGATTTGAAAATCTATTTGAATACTTGTGTACCATTTAAAATAATTGATTGATTGTTAATTAGTAATATAACAAATTAAAATTTTCATTATAATTTACTGAAATTACCAGAGAATTCTAAAGCTTCAATAATATCTGAATGTTAAGGATATTTTTTATTCAATATAGAATGATTATCAAATGATCCTTTTTTTAAAGAAGAGGAGATCATATGTGTTAGATTTAGCTACTTGATAGTTTCTTAATTACAAAATGCTATAGGTGTTAATCCATCATTATTTAATTTATTTAAATCACCACCTAATTGAATAAATTTCATTATAAGAATAATTGAATTACTTTTAAAAATATAATGCATTGGAGTCATGCCATCAAAACTTTAAATATTTATATTAGCTCCAATTTTTAATAAATAATTGCAAATAGATTCGTTTCCATATTCTGCAGCATAAGAAAGAGGAGTTCTTCCAAATTCATCTTTTTAATTAGCATCTTCTGCTGTATAAAAGAAACCTGATTAAATAGCAATATTTAGACAACTTTTTTTAGCAGCTTAAAATAATTTTCTTGTTTTAAGTTTCATATCAGATTATATTCTTTATTTTGAAGAATAAATAGTTGATTAACTTTTTTATTTATTTAAAGCTAAACTTTTAATAACATTTATAAATTCTGCTTCAATTTTTTAGATTCTTTCAGGATTCTTTTTAGAAAGTGAATTCAATAAATTCTTTTTTTATTCTTCTTATTCAGCTTTAATTTGTTTTTATATTTTATATTATTTTCTTTAAAGATAAGCTCTAATGGCTGCTTTTATTTTATTAATAGCATCAATTTCAATTTCTTTAGTAATCCATTCATGAGGATTCTTATGTTAATTAATTTATAATTAATTTTGTTCAGCTAAAGATTTAGAAGCAAATTATCTTTCTGTTTATGGACCTCCACTCAAATATCGTTTATAATCAGATTATCTAATAGTACTTGATGATCTAACTTTATATTTAATTTCTTCTTTAATACCTCTATCAGTTTATGATCCAAAATTCTTAATAATTAATTTTGATGGAGGGTGAAACATTCTTTAAACAAATTCAGTAGATTTCATTTCTTTATTAATTTTAAATAAAAAAGTTCTTTATTTTGGTATATTTCTAGTAATAAAATTATTAGCAATTCCAATATTCTTTTAATTTCTATATCTCCTAACTCTCTTCATTAATTTATCTTTAAATTTCAAAATAACTTTATTAACACCTTTTTATTATTAAATATAATGATCCTGATCTAATTCTTATTGTAATTTAATAAAATGTTTTTTTTACAAATCTCTAAAGATAGTAACCATTTTCATTTTAATTTTTTGAAGTTCTTTCTAACTTTTATATAATTACATCTTTTTCAGAACACTAAAATGAGTATCTTTGACCTATTATTGTAGATTAGTATTAATTTTTTTAAGCCATATTTATCTAAGTGATTTAACATCATTTGATATATTAGTATATGTAGCTAATATACATTCAGCTATATTATATTCAATTTAATCTAGAATATTTTTATCCAAATGAGATATAGTCTTCTATAAAAATTCTTTATCTGAACAAGTATTTAATAATTAAGATGTTGTGGCAATGAATTTAACTTCTTGTTCAGTTAAACATCCTCCTTCTGTATATTTAGTGAGTAATTCATCTCTCTATTGATTCCATACACTCTATCCAACATTATCTAATATAGCTTTTTAAATAACTGGATATAATCCCAATACCTTATGAGTTTAACCTTTTGATCGATACTATTTTTCTAATTCTGCATTCCACTATCCCTTAAAATCCTTATGTTGAGAAATTAATTAGATTTTAGGATTCACTGTAAGTTCCTCCTAAATTGATGCTAATCTTTTTCTACTAGTAATTGCACATGTTGTACTACCTCTACTTATCTAAGATATATTTGACTAACTAAAAATTCTATTTCTTTTCTCCTATTCTTATTACTTAGACTAAGTATCAGTAATACTATCAATTAAAGCATATTGTAATTTCTTTCTCAGATGCTCATATTTTGATTTCACATTCAACCATTCAAATATATTCATACTCTAATTATTCTTCTTCTACAATTCATTCCATTCATCCACTCGATATTAATGCATTCTTAATTCTACCTTTGTCATTAAACCTATTTATTTATTATTATACTCTACATCTATTCCTTTATGTGCTTAAACATTGCTCCTATTACAAAATTCTATCTCTTATCCATCGAATTATATTATTCTAATTACTGAATTGAAAATCCAAATTAGTGACAAAATTATTATAAATCCTTATTTAAAACCATCTCTTAAATCAGTAAAGCATAACTCTCCACCATTTAATGTTTTGTGTTTTTACAAAGACCTGAGGATATTGATATCCCAGAACTCTAACTCATTTAATCTATTTGCTGAATCTCATTAAGCTAATGTATTCTCATCTCAAAATCTTTCTCATTCTTTAATTCTCCAAATACTTCCTCATCTATTACTACTTCCAATTATGAATGAGTTCTTCTTGATTTTAATGAAAAATTCTTATTTTGTTTAATCATGTTCATTACTTATTAAGATTAATAATTTTATAAATATTTTATTAATATGGAATTATGTTAACTGCTACCAAATCAGTTCAATAAAAGCTTAAATCTTTCTTCTAAATAAATCATAAGAATTGGTAAATTACTTTCAAACTCACCTTTCCTAAATTTATAGCATCTTCATCTTAGTCATAATAATATTTCTTGTTTGGATGGAATTCAATAATTCAAATAGTTAAAAAGTCTATCTCTTTGCAATAATCAAATTGTTGATATAAATGAACTCAAAAAAGTCAATCAGAATCTCTAATACTTATCTATACACTCTAATCCTTTTAGCGTTTATGATTATCATGATGTATGTTACAATTTCTTTATAAATTTAAAACGACTTGATGGAATGGCAGTAGACATGAGAATAGTTAAATCCTAAAGAATATAAGCAGAAATAGTTTCAAGATGGTTGATTCCATGGATTTATTAAATTAACATCTAACTGTTGAATATATAAAAAGTGTTATCTTTAAGAAGTGCAACAAAAGAAATTGATACAAAGTCACAATTAAAAATTGTATCAAAAGATCTCTTATTATAAATTAATTGGTAACTTACTGATACTATGTTATAATTACTCAATTCACCCACTCTTTAAAATTTATCTGATTTAGTTTAATCAATATAATATAATTAAGAATTGGATTAAGCATAAACTAAAGAAATAAAGAAGATTCACTATGAAACTTTTCAAGATCTTATTAAATTATAATCTTTCAACCATTATGCTTCTTTTATAGATTATTTGATTAGATTAAATGAGGGAGATAAAAGTAATTATTATAGAGTATTTTTATAAATACAGAAACCTTAATTACATATTTCTTCTGATTTATACTCTAAAGATGATGATCTTATTCCTTAAGAAGAACCTCTAAAAATTATTCAGACTGTACCAACATTTCTAAAAGATAAAATTAAATGCTAAGAAGTCATTTCAAATACTTACAGAAAATAAAGGAAAATTCCTAATTATGAAAAAGAGTTATTTTTCTAATACTTTCCAGTATTTCCTTTTCGATAAGAATATATACAATCTATTTTATAAATTGCTACTTTAAAATTAACTGAACTAAAAAATTTAGTTTCCTAAGTTGCTTATTTAAAATAAAATGCTATCTAAAGTATTCCTTAGAGTGTACGAACTTTAAGAAAGAAATAGAAACTGTAATCCTCTGAAGAACCTGCACCTTAAAAATTATAATTAAAACCTACAAAACTTGAAATATCTCCAAGAGAAGAATAGGTTTTACCTGTTTAAGAGAAAAAAATTAGTACTAAAAATTACTATGATGTTAAATATGAAGTTTTAAGATAAAATAAAGCATTGGCATTAACATCTGCATTGAGTAAGATGTTTAATAGAAGAATAAAAAGATTTTTTGGTAGAATTAATAATTCAGAACAAGAAAATACTAGATTTTTAGATTACCCTTAAGTTGTTTATTTATCAAGTTTATTTTATTCTATGAAAAAAGTTTTAGAATAAAATAAACAAAAAAGATATCGACAATAACAAAAGAAATTAATGAGTTTAGCTTTTTAAGGTTTAAAACTGTTAAAATATATAAAATAGAAAGAAGCCAAAAAAGTTAATAAAGGATATTAAATACTTTAAAAAATATATTTTAAAAGATTAGTTGAAGGAATAAGAAGTATGAAACATTTATTATAACCTCGATTGAAAAAAGTTAAAATATAACTTTTCAAATTATCATTAAAAGAAGCTCCTTTTTAAAAGAGTTAGTAAACAATAAAATTTAGAAATTATAATGATGAAAATAATGAAAATCTAAAATTATGTAGTGTATGTACCTATTAGTTTTGATTTGATATTAATATGATTTTATAAATTAAATTAAATTAACTCATAATGTAAATTATTTTGATGATTAGAATAAATAATAATGATTTCTTATTTATTGGTGTTGAATAAGGTTTAATTTGATAAAAGTGATTTGATAAATATATATGTGTAAATTGCATAATAAATCGAAAGACCCCCTCGAAAGAGTAATCGAATTAGTTAGAGAATAAAAGCAAAATCATAATCAGACATTAAATAAAATGAATAATGAATTTGATTCAGATGAATCTATAAATTCAGATGAAGCCATTAAAACAATAGATTTTAAATACTTGACTCCAAATTTTCACCATGAATTAGATGATAAAGGTACTTCAGTATATAAAAGAATGAATGGCATAAATACATTGATGTGTAAATTTAAAGATGTGCTTATATGTAAAGATGAAACTTATTTATAATCGAATGGGGTTAAGTCTACAAATTAAGTATCGACCTCAAATATGTAAACTCAAAGTAGACAATAAATTAATCATACATTAGAAAATCTAAAATAGACTGAAATTCATTTATCTAACTCTAGAAGAAGATATAATTCACGTAATTAAGTTGATAAACAATCTTAAAATAGATTAAACAAAAACTCATATAAACCTTAAACAAATATAATATCACCTCGGAAACCAAAGAGATAAATTTATGTAACATAAATAGTGAATAAAAATAATAATGATTTAAATAGCTTATCATTTCCACATCCATAAAGAATATCAAGAATATTGGCTAATAATGATTGTATGTAATCACAAAAAGGTAGTTCTGCTTCTTCTTAAAAGGGTATTTTAAAATCAAGTTCTTTTGAAGTACTCAAAATTGGAAGTAGATTAAGTATGTAAAGTCTTAATAGTCCAATGATGAGACCATCTAATAAATAAGTCTCTTTTGAATTTACTAGTGAATAAATGCGAAAATTAAGAAATCATAATACAAGTATTGATCCTAAAAAGTATTCAAGATTAAAAACTAAATTCTAGAAATGATATTCACTTATTTTTATAACTTGTATCTATATTATCTAATTTTATTATAATACATACACATATATATATATGTACATATACATACATAAAAATATTTAAAATCAATAAATGTAATTTAATTTAAATTTAAATAAACATGTCAACAGACAACTCAGAATTATTGAATAAGTTTCTGACCGAATTTAATCAATTAAAGAAATAAAACTAAGAATTTCAACTTAAAGAAAACTAAACATATTAATCACTTACTAAAGAAAACTAATTGTTGGTTTAAGAATTAAATAAAATCAAAAAAGAAAATCAAAGATTGATAGACAATAATTCATTTCTTACTGATTAACTTAATTAATTAAAAGAATTGTATTAAGAAACTAAGCAAGAATTATAAGAATCATTTAATTTCATCTAAACAATTAATAAAACTATCAAAACTNATATAAAAGAATGAATGGCATAAATACATTGATGTGTAAATTTAAAGATGTGCTTATATGTAAAGATGAAACTTATTTATAATCGAATGGGGTTAAGTCTACAAATTAAGTATCGACCTCAAATATGTAAACTCAAAGTAGACAATAAATTAATCATACATTAGAAAATCTAAAATAGACTGAAATTCATTTATCTAACTCTAGAAGAAGATATAATTCACGTAATTAAGTTGATAAACAATCTTAAAATAGATTAAACAAAAACTCATATAAACCTTAAACAAATATAATATCACCTCGGAAACCAAAGAGATAAATTTATGTAACATAAATAGTGAATAAAAATAATAATGATTTAAATAGCTTATCATTTTCATATCCATAAAGAATATCAAGAATATTGGCTAATAATGATTGTATGTAATCACAAAAAGGTAGTTCTGCTTCTTCTTAAAAGGGTATTTTAAAATCAAGTTCTTTTGAAGTACTCAAAATTGGAGGTAGATTAAGTATGTAAAGTCTTAATAGTCCAATGATGAGACCATCTAATAAATAAGTCTCTTTTGAATTTACTAGTGAATAAATGCGAAAATTAAGAAATCATAATACAAGTATTGATCCTAAAAAGTATTCAAGATTAAAAACTAAATTCTAGAAATGATATTCACTTATTTTTATAACTTGTATCTATATTATCTAATTTTATTATAATACATACACATATATATATATGTACATATACATACATAAAAATATTTAAAATCAATAAATGTAATTTAATTTAAATTTAAATAAACATGTCAACAGACAACTCAGAATTATTGAATAAGTTTCTGACCGAATTTAATCAATTAAAGAAATAAAACTAAGAATCTAAACATATCAATCACTTACTAAAGAAAACTAATTGTTGGTTTAAGAATTAAATAAAATCAAAAAAGAAAATCAAAGATTGATAGACAATAATTCATTTCTTACTGATTAACTTAATTAATTAAAAGAATTGTATTAAGAAACTAAGCAAGAATTATAAGAATCATTTAATTTCATCTAAACAATTAATAAAACTATCAAAACTGGTACATTTGAACACGATGATAATGATATAAATAAATTAATGGAAATTTTTTCTGTAAATTCTATGGAATAATTATTAATTACTGCTGAAAAAGTTAAAACTGTCATGTTAGGGGTTGCTCATTTGGAATAATTTTGTAAACAAATTTGTGAATTAATATATGACTAAAATGAAGAATAATATAATTTAGAATAAGTATTTCCAATAATTCAAAAATGGAAATTTGATTCTAAATATGTTGATTGTTTCTTGATCTTTAAAAATTAATTAGAATAAACTCTTTAATTAAAATAATCTACTGATTCATAGATAATTGATGCAATTAAATCCTTATAAAATGCATCAAATAATGATATTCAAACTATAAAATAATTATTTAAAATAGATTCAAGTGAAAATTTGATGTTTAAAATGAGTTAAACCTTTATATTATTATAGGATATCTAATAATTTATAAAAATTGCAAAAAGATTATTAGATTTAGATGAAAATATGAAAAGTGAAGCATGTATGGTTTATATATTAAAGATTATTGAAAAGATAAAGTAGAATTAATTTAATGATCCTGATCTAATACTAAAGATTATGAAAATACTTAAAGTAGATCATCCATCTTAAATTCTTATAAAATTAGAATAATAATAAACTATTTGATAAATTTAATTAAATATTAAATATAATAAATTATTTAAAAAAAAGAATCACCCATGGCAGGGATTGAACCTGCAGCCTACAGCTTAGAAGGCTGTCGCGCTACCAATTGCGCCACATGGGCAATGTTAATATTTCTAATTAATCAATCTTGATATTTAGACATAAATTTACACTATTGATTTCTATAAAAATATTTATAATTCTAAAGAACTTTTATTACAAAAAAAATAAAATAAAATAGCATTTAAATTATATTCAATTAAATTTAATATAAGGAAAGAGTAAAGGGGATAATTAAGGACTTATTGGACCTCCTATATATTTTAATTCTTCAAATATATTTGAAGCTATATCATGGTTAAATCCTTTAAATACAGATATAATGCCTTCAAAAAATATCATGCATTCTTCACAATCTTCATCTTATTTCATAAACTTAAATAACCATTTCAATATTTACATCATAGATGTTTTTCATCTATTTACATATTAGTAAATAAATTTATGTATGAATATTCAATTAAGCTTAAATTGCTTATTATTACTTTTGTAAAAGCTTTAATTAATTATTTAACTTTTTATTCTCCTCACTTAGACTATTATTAAAATCTTAATGTTATTATGTTTTTTTTAATCTCTCTATTTTTAATAATTTCTCTCTAGAAGAATAGATTTATTTAAATTTACAAATTGCCTTATTAAAAATTACAATGATGAAATTATTTTTATCTTTTCTCATTTTATTTCACTTTAAATCCATATTGGCTTAATTGTCTATAAAAAGTTGAAACTTTTGTTGAATTGAAATAAGAAGGCATAACCTATTCTTCAAACTTTTCAGCAGAAATAATTAAAATGGATTTCCCATCTTCATTCCATTATATACAATCTTCATGTTCTTTTGACTAAAACCATCAATATAAATACCTCAAGAATATTAAACAGTTTTTATAAGAATTTTTTTTAATTTCCCATTTTCTTATATTTAATTAAATTTTAATTTTATGATTTCTACTCAAAATATAGAAAATAATATTTGTTTTTTTTAATTGATTACTGTTTAAATTTTGTTGTATCCCTTATCATATTTAAGTAAAAAATATGCTCAATCTTAATTTTTTATGATTAGATATTATAATCAATAGTAAATTAGTTTTTATATTTATATTCATAATAATCTAAGAATTAAGCAAAAAATAAATTTGATTGGATAAACCAATTAATATTAATTATTCAAGCTTTATATTTATATTATTCAGTGTGTTTACTGTATTATAGTTGATCTTCTATATAATAAAAAGTTTGAATTATTCACTGCGCATGAAAATTTTAAAATATATAATATATAAAAAGGGAACAAATTAATTTTATCATTATCATAATCATTGGGGAGTTTCTTCATATTACAGATCTTCAATATTATGGAAGAAGTAATAATCAGCGTGTTATTAGGATTTATTGAACTAATTCTCTATTTCTTGATAATCAGGTTTTTTTCTTAATTATATCAATAAAATATTGAGTTATTATCTAAATAATGAATTCAATAGAATGAGTTTATTTGGCCAACTAGATTAGCGAATTTAATTAGTTGTAGTTTTTGTTCCACATTTGCATTTAATTATGCTTGATTTATTAATTTCTACTTGTTTCTCAATAAGCTCAATAAAGCATTTAGAATGAAAATAATGTTTGCATTTTTCAAGATAAATTATTTATTGATTTATATTTTCCTCACATATGTAACATTTAATGAGATTTGGTATTTCTTCATAGGTTTCTATTGGTTTTGTAGAAATTAATGATTTTAAACAAATGCTTTCTTTTTGAGCTGAACAACCCATAAAATTATAGTATATTAATATAAATAATATAAAGTTGCTTTGAAATTGTTTCATGAATTCAATTTTATATCAAGTACATTAAACACAATCATTTTACTGATTTCCTTATGATTGATCATACATGTACAGGAATCCACATTTTAAACATTATATTGTATCTTTCTTTGAAAATGTCATCATCTATTATAATTATTCTTTTAATATTTAATCTAATATTTTTGGAGAAATATCTGTCTATCTGATTATATTTAGTTAAATTTAAGTACTACATTCTTTACAACTTATATTTTTTTTTTCTTTTAAATTCTCTTCAATTTATTTCTCTAAACATTCCTTATGATATGAATGATGACAATTAATTTTCACAATCTCTTTATTACAATCTTATTTACAACAAATAATTTCATCTTTAAAATTCTATATTTTGTTTTACAATATACTAGAATTTAAAATTTAATCCAATTTCTTAATTTAAATCTAAATATCATTTTAATTAGTTTAGATTTGTCGTAATACTTCTAATGGTTAATATAAAAATTAATAAAATTGAGTTTCCATTTGATTTAATTTGATCTCTGTATCTTTTTATTAATCAATCTATATGTTGTTAATCCAATCCTTTATCTCTTATAATTAAATAGACATATATTCTTGTATTTATTTATTTGTTCGCTAGAACTCAATCTTTTATTAAATTATTTCTGTACTAATTTTTGATTAAATCTACAATATTAAACTTTAACTTTTATTTTCTGATGCATCTGATTCTTAACATTTACGCTTTATAAATTGATATTTCACAAAATTATCTAGATGCGATAAATTTTTTTTTATTTCATCTACACTAACGGATAAATTCTAGACTTCACTTTCTACAACAACTGAATTTGATTTTTTATCAGATATTATTGAAGACTTAAATAAATCACTATCATCCTCTGATTCGTTTTTTATTTTGAATCTTCTTTCTAATTTTTCAATTCTATCATTTTGAATATTGAACATTGGAAGCAAATCTTTTTTTATCAATTCAACTATTTTCTCCACATTCCCATCCGTTTTCTTTACTTTTTTTGGTTATTATCTCTCTGAACTTACACTTGTAACATTTTCTCTGATTGATTAATTAATTTTATTTTTCAAATCCAATTACATATATTTTGCAGTCTTTGGCTCCTTTAATTCATTTGGTTTTATTGCACTTAATATTTTACCATATTCAACCTTACTATCTTGATGTAAGTTTGGAATGCTTCTTATAATATTATTTTTTAATTTATTCATCAATTAAAATTAAAAATAATAAATTTATCTAAAACCTATACAAGATTTTAATACCTAATTAATTATTATTTTCACATATCAATTTTCTTTTTTCTAATCCTTCTTTTTTATTACTTACATCATAACACCCAGAAACAATATAAGATTTTCTAGATTAATTGTAGATATAAAAATTTAATTCATATCTTCATACACTTTTCTAAAACACCTATTTTATAAATTAATTTAATTTTTTCCAAATCTTAGATGTAGTAATTCTTTATTTTATTTATTTTTTTCTAGTTATGTAATTTTTTCATTCATAAAATATCATTACTGCCAATCTAGTTATATCTTTTAAGTTTATTTATTGATCATTAAATACTTTCAATACTTTAACATTTTCATTTTCTTTTTATTTCTACCATTTTTAAGATATATAAATCTATAGATAATTTTGAAATCTTATGAAAATAATAGAATTACCTTTGAGTTACATAGATAGTAGGAAAATCTTTATAAAATTGATAAGAAATAATACTTTTGATTTACTCAATAATATTTTATGGATTTACTCTAAAATCCCCAATCATATCTTTTAGTTAGAATTGAAATCTTAGATTTAAGAAATAAACAATTTAACATTAATATTTGCTATAATTATTAGACTTCTAATAAATAGTAATCTTATTATTTTTAAGAATATTGATTCCAAATTATCTTAGCTATTTAAATAAATTATAATAAATATTTTGATATTCATTAATCATATTATGTCTTATAGTTAAGTTTAATCTGTTTCTTTAAAATTAGTATGCTTTATTAATCATTGTAAGTTTAGTAAGCAATATATGGAAAAAAACTCTAATTTAAATGAATTCTGTTATTTTAATATCAAAATATTTATTTGATTTTAAAATTTATATTTTAAAAATAATAAAGTTGCACTTTCCTAGTCTTTATTTTCGAATAAAGTATCTTGAATTCCTTAAAAGCATTTAACCTAATGTTCTTTAATACTAGTTCTTTTAATTGATTTTAAATTTCATATGATATTAAGGTAAAGTATTTTAGTTTTTTTTAATTCTATTGTAGTTTTTTTAAAATCATTTAGATGAATCTAATTTATTATAAAATAAATTAATTAGTTCATCATCTATTTATCAAGAAAGAAATAAACAAATCACTTATTAATAAATTTTAGTCCATATAAGTTATTTATATATCAGAAAAAATTTAAGTTTAATAAAAGTAATAAAGTATAATTTTAATTTAATGAGCTTTCTGTAAAAAAATAATCTCAAAAAAGCTTTTAAATCTTTTATTTAACAGATTTGTATAAGATATTTATTATGTTCAAATATTATTATTATAAAATATACATTATAATGCTCTTTTTTCATTATAAATTTAAAGAAAATCTTGTAAAATTTTTGAAAAATTCTATAAAGGTATAAAGGTTAATTAATTATAAAATTATTGGACATTAAAAATAGAATAGACTAATAATAAATAAAATAAAATGTAAAAAAATAAAGTAAAAATAAAATGTGAATATCAAATAAAATTTAAAATGATAGGATATAATATATAAATGAGAACGTTGTAGTTTTAGTGAGATTAATATTTATGAAAGATTTATAAATTATATAAAATAAAACCTTATGTGTATCAAATATAAATTGATAATTAATAAAATAAGTGAATTTTGGAATATAATGTAGAGCAATGAAGAAAGATCATCTTAGAATGATTAACCCAATAAACTAGGAGTATCAAAGAAATAGAAAAAGAAAAATGAATATGATTATCATAGAAAAAAGAGAAGAGGGATGGATGGATCAAATAGTAAGAAATCAGGATAAAAGTTCACTGAGGAGGAAGATCGATTGATATTATAATTAGTATTGAATAATGGTCCAAAATTCTAAAAGATTCATAGACATTTTCCTGGTAAAACTTTGGCAATGGTGAAGAATCGATATTACAAGCATTTACGTTTTAGATGGGAACTATTAGGATAGTATTAGTATTTAACAATTAGAAATTATAAGCATTTAAGTGTTCCATAAGAATAATTAGAAACATTATGTGAGTAATAGAAGAAAATGAGTAATATTCTAAATGCTGAGAAAGAAGATTTGGTTACTTAGATAACTTCACGTACTACGTTACTATCGAATGCTCGTATGTTAGTTGAATATATAGTTGAATAATTGTTATGATATAAAAGTTAGTCTATAATGATTCTGACACTAATTCTAATTCTAATTCTCTTCAAGAAACTATAATAAAAACAATTACATTAGAATACTTAAACAATATGTCAAAGAAAATACAGATGAATGATAACAATGTTATTAAAGTAGATTAGTAATTTAAATCAGATGACAATAAATAAATTCTAAATTACCGATAGGAGTTCAAGAATAAGAAATTACATCTCTTATTATCATAACCAAAGAATAAATTAGAATAATAATATCATAAAGTTGTAAATAAGCATTTAAATACAATGCCTCCTGGTATAAATTATATTGAACCACAAATTTTAAGTAATACTGCTTTAAAAAAATTTACAAAGGGAGAGCAATTTTATTAAGATGACATCTTTTATTTAAGATTAAAAAAATATATAAATGAAAAAAGAATTGTGAATGTAATTTATAAAAGAGGTAAAGAAAATTCAAAAATAATTAATTTATCAAGTACAAATGTGAAGTATTGGAATAAGAAGATGAATTAATAAACAAGAAGTTCTTACAGATGTTATTTAATTAAAAAGAGAGAAAATAATTATAATTTACTTAATTATTAAAGTAGTTTTAAAATAAAAGGAATATGAATATAAAAATTAGCATTAGAAAGATAAAATGAAGAAATTCACTTATGGTTTGATGAATAATTTTAAAAAATAAATATTAACTAATAAATCATTATTAACATTGAGGTAAATACTTGAGGGCTATTTTTATTGAATAAACTTCACTAGGATCCATTCTTGCTTAAGTTGATAATTATTAAAATTCATTAATATTGATAGATTTCAAAGAACCATTTTATAATTATAGTTTTATTGTATCTGAATTTAAGATATGTTAAATCTAATCATATAATTATTAATTATACTTTAATTTTAGACTAAGCTATGTATCCTTCATAACATTAACCTAATTTTGTATTTTTCAGAGCGAAATTTCCATGTTCATTGTTTATCCTGTGTTTTTGATTTCTTTCTCTAATAGCATTACATACTTATTTAGAATATGTATAAAATTTCTACAATTTTTATGGTAATTCATTTAATAAATATTATTTTGGTTTTTATCCTTTCTTTTAAACTAAAATCTAATTATTGAAATATAAAATACTTCTAATCCATTTGTTTAAATAATAAAATTTAAATCTTTATTACATACATCCATTTCAAATCTACCATCTTCATGAATTTATAATAAACCATTTTTGGTTTATAATTTACATGATTTTAAATCTTCTAATTTAATAGGTGATTCATTATAAATATTAATATTAGATTATTTTTATTTTATTAATTTAACACTATTATCTCTAATATTTTCTTTATTACAATTATCCTTTTGAATGTTTTCTTTATTATGATGATTACAACTAGTATTATTAGAATGAGATTCTTAAGGTAAAAAGAATCTAGGAACATTATCTAGATGATAATTTTATTTTAATCCACCTTTACAATTAGTAGTTAAACCAAATAATAATTTCTTACCACCTAATTATTATTATTTTTATAAAAATGAAGCTACAATCTATTATTTTTCTAATCCAATCATAGAACATGTAGATCTATGTTATTATTTAACAAATGGACTTAAATCAAGAAGTTATTTAATTTATGAACTTGATTAATTTCTACTCTAAATTCTAGGTGGTATTGATTCAATAAAAAATGGATGTTTAATAATCTTTTCAATAGAATATCTTTAATCAGCATCCAAATTTAGTAGATTAATAAGTAAATCTTTAAATACTTCTGTAAAATTATTAGGCAAATCAAAATCACCTACTTTAACTCTTCTTAAAACTTCTCCTAATGGAGTATTTTTTTCTTCAAATGGTCCATGTCCTGTAGCCATTGCATATAAACAACATCCCATACTCCACAAATCTACTTTTTTACCATATGGTTATTAATTTAAGATTTCAGGACTAATATAATTTGGAGTTCCACATAAAGTACTTCTCTCTTCTTCATCATTATTTAATTTTACAGCTAATCCAAAATCAGCTATTTTTAGAATATTATTCTGGATTAATAAATTTCCTAATTTAATATCTCTATGTATTATGTTATGAGTATGTAAATATTATAATCCTTCTGCTAATTATTTACCATAGTATCGTATTTATTATTCAGAAAATTGTTCTTTTTTTATCAATTAATAAATATCTGAATCACATAATTCCATTATTAGATAACTATTATCTGCATCTTCTAAAATATCTATTAGATGCACTATATTCTTATGTCGTAATTCTAAATGAATATCAACTTCATTTTATATTTTCTATGCATTCGATTATGTTTTTTATATGATCTTTGCAGCCATCTCAATTTTACTTTAACGGTTCACAATTTTACATACAAAACTACCTGCTCCACGACCTATTGGATTCTTTATTTGGTAATTCTTCCTAATCAAAAACTAATACACTTACTGCCAAAGAGTCTTATTTCATTATTAACAACTATATTTTTAACAGATTTTAATATTAATTTACTAGAATTATATCAATAATTCATATACATTAAATACTATTTATTACAATCTCATCTCCATTAACAGACCCTTTTATTATTTCATAATTTAAATTTAAATGAAATTGAGTTTTAGTTAATGTAGTTTACTCTCCTCTGTTAAAAGTGGTGATTTAGGGTCCATTACTCATCTTATTGAAGAATTAGCTAAATGCGTCTCAACTTTTTTACAAATCTAAATGTACATTTATACTAATACCATAAAATAGAAAATCAGATAATAATTTTAGATAAAAACTATATACCTATACTTTTTAATTCATTATACAAGCTCTACAAGGTCAAAATTTAGATCCACAAATAGAATCTAATCCACCATAATAAAATATAATCATTGAAATTATCAAAGCTATCAAAGAATTTAAAATTGAATTGTTTGATCTCGCAGCATAAAATCCAAATATGTCATTCTTTGATTTTTTAGTTACATAACAATTCAATGATTTATATGATATACTCACAGCTTCTGAAAAATAATTAAATGGATAATTAGAACCTATAACACCAAAAAAATCAAAATAAGAAATACCCTCTAAATAATATCATTCACTTTTCTATTAAAATGATGCCATTAGAACAAGATCAATGTCTGCTAATCATTTGACTTCATCAAAGTTACTCCAATAAAATAATATAGAATTAGATTTTGCATTACTATAATAATTTGTTTACAATCAAATTGAACATAAATAAGATTCACCTAAAGCAAAAAATAAATAAAATCCATAGCTCTTTTCTTTCGATTCTACTTTTGTTAAAGATTTGCCTTTCTCAAAATATAATGCTATAAGCAATTTCGATGAATAATTCAATTTCACTCTTTAAAAATCTTAAGAAGATGCAATCTAAACTTCCAGATTCGAGAGTCAAAGAATTGATGAAGAAGAATACTTTGCAACTGATTAATCTAGTTCTGATATTAATTTAACACTTGATAGATCTTATAGAGAATGGGGTGTAAGATGTAGATAACTTGCTGAAAAAGAAAAATAAGTTGCCTAAAGAGAACTCAAATCTATTATTTAGGAAAAGCATCTTCTTAATAGAACTAAAAGTTAAAGAATGATAAGTCCTAATAGTAAAGAATAGGATCATGATCTCATTAATAGACCTAATTATGATTCTAAACAATTTTTAGATCCCAAATCAACCTTAAAAATATAAAAATTATAAGTAATATAATCATATCATTATTAAATAGAAAACTAGTATTAAGGAACGATCTGATATTTTTTTTATTTGAAATTAATATTAATTTATATTTTATCATGAACTAAATATAATTAATTTTTATTTATTATTTTAATTAATTACTTTAGTATCATTTTTTATGTTTAAGTTTTACAATATTAATAAGGTCTGAAAACTATTTTTGAACTGTTCTTGTTAATAAATGCTAAACAATTTGAAATAAATTGCTAGAACATTCTTTTAAAATTAGTATATTTTTAGATCAAAAATATATTTGAAAGCTCTTTTAATATTGTTGAGAATTCATAATATATATTATAATGAACAAATTTACTTTGTTTTTCATAGACAAAAGAATTGAAACTCTATATTAGGCTGAGTCACTTTCATAAATAAGAATTTAGCATTTTAATCTTCTCACTAAAGGATACATAGCTGCTTTCTTTTTCAGATGCTTATCATTTTTAATAAATAGTGATTTAAATAGATTTTATCCTAACCTATCAATGCTGATATTCTTTATTTTATTATAAACATTTCTAAAAAGAAGCACTTTAAGTTTAAGAATACTTTCTGTAATAGCAAATCACGTTTTGACAATCTTTTTTTACATATATGATGAAGAAAATGATGCAGCTCTATCACATCTTAAAGGGATTAACTAAATGGGATCTTGCTTTATCATAACAATGGGAAATGAGTTTCCAGAGGCTTTATTTTAAGTTTTTTCATTATCATCGATAAGAATTTTTTTTGTTTTGCATTAATCATAAACACTAAGCCTATACCCAATTACAAATCTCCTAATTGTCTCTATATTTTATTTATTTTTTCATTACAAATACAATCAAGCAATGAGAGCACAATTTATGTTATTATAAAAAGACAGTTAATGGGAAAGAATATTAACATAGTTGATAAATAAGGAATGTTATATCATAATAAATTTCAATGAAAATTCTTTTTAGTTTGAGTATTTAATGGCAAATAATGCTTTTAAAGGATTAGAGAATAAAGATTAAATTTTTAATTTTTTAAAAGAAGCTTAATATGAAAAGTAATCTTTAAATAATTTTTTATATTAATAGATAAAACTATATCACAAAAATAGAATAGATCTTTGTAGATAAGAGATACTCATTAAATATCAAAGAGAATAAGTTAAATTAGAATTTTCTATATTCTTTGCAAATTAACCAACTATTTTATTAGTTTTTCTTAAACCTAAGTTAATGTTAGTAAATAACTCAGAAAATTTCAATAACAAAGTTATTTCTTAATATTTATTAAAAGTACTGAAATGTTTAAAAAACAAGTACAAATCAAAACCATCTTATTGTAATTTTATGTAAAAAATTCGATTGGTGGAAATCTATGGAAATCTGTAAAGTGATTGGTAAACTAAAATTTAAGAAATAGATCTTTGGAATGTCATTTCAGAATAAGTAAAATATTTTCCAAAAATTAACGTAATATATAATTCAATTACTCTAATAATATTTTAAACAAATCAAGATATTTTAAGTTTAGTGCTATTCAAAATCTTTTCAAATACTAATACTTCTTTGATTATATTAAAATATTAGTTTCTTGAAGAAGATAGGATTTAATTAAACTTTAGTGGGAGTTTTAATGAGAAAGCGATTCATTCATTTTTTATGTTAAATGAGGAGCATTTAATTAGATTTGTCGAATTAAGGCATGTAACAAATTATAGTAAAAATCATTGATATAAAATTAGGTATTGAAATTTGCTTCGAGAAATTGCCGTCTATATCTTTTACTGGTAATCAAATAAATTAACAAAATCTTAATAATCAATTGTGAAATTTATGTTTATTTTATAATATAAGGTCATTTATTTTCAAAATTAAATCATTTTTGAATGTTGGTAATCCGAAAAGGAATAAAAGCTTCTTTATTTAAAGAAATAACAATTATTTCATTATTCTTTATTTGCAATTTATCAATAATTGCCAAAAACTAATAATGGTAGTTCTCAATCAAATTTATAATTTAGTTAGATTAAAAACAGCCACGCAATATTAACTAAATAGCATTTTATGATTCATCTAAGTAAGTATATGAAATAGTTTTTTTCGAATGATCAATTTTTGGATATTTTTTAGAGTAATGCTGAATAATTAAAATAATAGCACTTAACAGAGAAGGTATAGTTTAAATGCTTATATCGGGTTAGAGTATTTAAAGTTGAGAATCCTAAATTAAATCAAATTTCTTTAAAAAACTTTTGATATTAATGGATTTTATTCTAAATTTTTCTTTTTCAATTTTATGCAGTAATGTTTCTAATTTTAAATAGTTCTAAAATTTTAACAGTCTATTATTATTTATATTATTGTTATCCATTATCTTTTATAAAATGATTGAATAGATTTAAATTTTTTTATAAAGAAAATTGATATTCTTATTTTAAGTCTTTTAAACATTTTCAAAAAGAATTAAAATTGTTGGCTTGGTTGTAAAATAAATTGAGTATTTGAGTTTAATTATAGAAATTGAGTTTTTTACAAAAATAACTGATGATTTACATTAATAGTTATAAAAATTANGATTGGTGGAAATCTATGGAAATCTGTAAAGTGATTGGTAAACTAAAATTTAAGAAATAGATCTTTGGAATGTCATTTCAGAATAAGTAAAATATTTTCCAAAAATTAACGTAATATATAATTCAATTACTCTAATAATATTTTAAACAAATCAAGATATTTTAAGTTTAGTGCTATTCAAAATCTTTTCAAATACTAATACTTCTTTGATTATATTAAAATATTAGTTTCTTGAAGAAGATAGGATTTAATTAAACTTTAGTGGGAGTTTTAATGAGAAAGCGATTCATTCATTTTTTATGTTAAATGAGGAGCATTTAATTAGATTTGTCGAATTAAGGCATGTAACAAATTATAGTAAAAATCATTGATATAAAATTAGGTATTGAAATTTGCTTCGAGAAATTGCCGTCTATATCTTTTACTGGTAATCAAATAAATTAACAAAATCTTAATAATCAATTGTGAAATTTATGTTTATTTTATAATATAAGGTCATTTATTTTCAAAATTAAATCATTTTTGAATGTTGGTAATCCGAAAAGGAATAAAAGCTTCTTTATTTAAAGAAATAACAATTATTTCATTATTCTTTATTTGCAATTTATCAATAATTGCCAAAAACTAATAATGGTAGTTCTCAATCAAATTTATAATTTAGTTAGATTAAAAACAGCCACGCAATATTAACTAAATAGCATTTTATGATTCATCTAAGTAAGTATATGAAATAGTTTTTTTCGAATGATCAATTTTTGGATATTTTTTAGAGTAATGCTGAATAATTAAAATAATAGCACTTAACAGAGAAGGTATAGTTTAAATGCTTATATCGGGTTAGAGTATTTAAAGTTGAGAATCCTAAATTAAATCAAATTTCTTTAAAAAACTTTTGATATTAATGGATTTTATTCTAAATTTTTCTTTTTCAATTTTATGCAGTAATGTTTCTAATTTTAAATAGTTCTAAAATTTTAACAGTCTATTATTATTTATATTATTGTTATCCATTATCTTTTATAAAATGATTGAATAGATTTAAATTTTTTTATAAAGAAAATTGATATTCTTATTTTAAGTCTTTTAAACATTTTCAAAAAGAATTAAAATTGTTGGCTTGGTTGTAAAATAAATTGAGTATTTGAGTTTAATTATAGAAATTGAGTTTTTTACAAAAATAACTGATGATTTACATTAATAGTTATAAAAATTATTTTTTATTTGTTTAAATAAATAATCTTCTAAATTTTATTTTTCAATATATGACTATCTTAAGAATTGTTTATAATCTTGATCCATAAAATATTATTCACAATTATGTTAAGAAAGAATATTAAATTAATAAGTATCCTAAATAAAATTCATTATAAAATAGGATTAATTTTCAATTATATTTTCTAATACATTTTCCCATTTTTGTTCAACCAAAGTTAACAAATATTGAGACCTGATAGCTTTATGATGAAAGTATAAATAATAAATTAATAATACCATTATTAAGACATTTCCTAACAATACTTCATATTCTTTTTCAGAGCTTTTTAAAATTATTAATATCAATTTTGTAAGTTATATAAATACAATTTAAAATACAGCTTCAGGGAATTCACCAGTTAAAACAATTATTAATGAAGTAAGAGCACTATTTGCTCCTCTTAAATGCGAATACAGTAAATTGCTCGGTGATTCATAAATAAATACAAACATTGATAATCCACAATTTACTATTACAAGAGTTAAACGTTTGTAAAATTGTTTTTTTGAAAATTTTAAAGAAAAAATCATCATAATTAGGATTGCAAAGTAAATTAAAAAGTTCTAAATATTTAGGTTTATAAGTTAAGCAATACATCTTACAATAAAAACAAACGAAAGACCAGCAAGTATTATTTATTATCCAAAAATCTATTATGACTGATAATTAGTCTCAGTGTTTTTATTTCTGAACCTTAATGAGAATTTATTCATTTTATTTTAAAAACTTTAAAAATATTAAAATTAATGAAAAATAATAAATAGATTAGAATCTAAACAAATTTTTAAGAATTACCCTAATAATTTCAAATGCTTGAAGAATTTTCACAATAATAATTAATTCTTCTAAGTAAAACTTATGTAAAATTTAAATTAGATTATAAACTTTTTTTTTTTAACCAATTAAATATTTAAATAGAAAATTATTTAATCTGAATATTTTAGACTCACTTTTTTTTAAGGGTATTAATTGATACTAAAATAATAAAATAAAAATGATCATCAAATATAAGGCATTTTAACATTATTTTATCTGCTTTGATTTTCACATGTATTTTTTAATTTTACAAGACTACTATTAAAGTATAAATGTAATATATTTTGTTGAAGAAAAAGAGTAACTTAAATTTTATAAATTCCTAATCTAGCGTATATATAGATTTTTAAAAATATATTTAAAAACAGATATTGCATTTTAGATTTATGTTAACTAGAAGCAAATTCAAATAAACCTAAAAGAATCGAAATGGTTCTATAATTAAATCTAAAGGCTTAAAAAAAACTAATTTAATGAATAAAAAATATATTTTTGAATGTAATTCATTAAGAAAAATATATTATTAAAATTTTATGAATAAATATACATTGATTTTTAGAGATGAAAATATTGAAAGAAAATATTAAAATTAGAAATAATATGGATAAAATATTATAATTGGTGGGTTAGGATTAAGTTTTATCTTAAGATGCATAATGAAATTAGTAAATTTAGATTGGCTTAATTTTGGAATAAATTTGGGAGTTGTATTTTTACTTTGTTTTCTCAGAATTAATAGAAAAAGCAATCACTTTTATAAAAGAATAAGCTTAATTATTGCNTAAAATTATTAATATCAATTTTGTAAGTTATATAAATACAATTTAAAATACAGCTTCAGGGAATTCACCAGTTAAAACAATTATTAATGAAGTAAGAGCACTATTTGCTCCTCTTAAATGCGAATACAGTAAATTGCTCGGTGATTCATAAATAAATACAAACATTGATAATCCACAATTTACTATTACAAGAGTTAAACGTTTGTAAAATTGTTTTTTTGAAAATTTTAAAGAAAAAATCATCATAATTAGGATTGCAAAGTAAATTAAAAAGTTCTAAATATTTAGGTTTATAAGTTAAGCAATACATCTTACAATAAAAACAAACGAAAGACCAGCAAGTATTATTTATTATCCAAAAATCTATTATGACTGATAATTAGTCTCAGTGTTTTTATTTCTGAACCTTAATGAGAATTTATTCATTTTATTTTAAAAACTTTAAAAATATTAAAATTAATGAAAAATAATAAATAGATTAGAATCTAAACAAATTTTTAAGAATTACCCTAATAATTTCAAATGCTTGAAGAATTTTCACAATAATAATTAATTCTTCTAAGTAAAACTTATGTAAAATTTAAATTAGATTATAAACTTTTTTTTTTTAACCAATTAAATATTTAAATAGAAAATTATTTAATCTGAATATTTTAGACTCACTTTTTTTTAAGGGTATTAATTGATACTAAAATAATAAAATAAAAATGATCATCAAATATAAGGCATTTTAACATTATTTTATCTGCTTTGATTTTCACATGTATTTTTTAATTTTACAAGACTACTATTAAAGTATAAATGTAATATATTTTGTTGAAGAAAAAGAGTAACTTAAATTTTATAAATTCCTAATCTAGCGTATATATAGATTTTTAAAAATATATTTAAAAACAGATATTGCATTTTAGATTTATGTTAACTAGAAGCAAATTCAAATAAACCTAAAAGAATCGAAATGGTTCTATAATTAAATCTAAAGGCTTAAAAAAAACTAATTTAATGAATAAAAAATATATTTTTGAATGTAATTCATTAAGAAAAATATATTATTAAAATTTTATGAATAAATATACATTGATTTTTAGAGATGAAAATATTGAAAGAAAATATTAAAATTAGAAATAATATGGATAAAATATTATAATTGGTGGGTTAGGATTAAGTTTTATCTTAAGATGCATAATGAAATTAGTAAATTTAGATTGGCTTAATTTTGGAATAAATTTGGGAGTTGTATTTTTACTTTGTTTTCTCAGAATTAATAGAAAAAGCAATCACTTTTATAAAAGAATAAGCTTAATTATTGCAAATTGTGGATTATCAATGTTTGTATTTATTTATGAATCACCGAGCAATTTACTGTATTCGCATTTAAGAGGAGCAAATAGTGCTCTTACTTCATTAATAATTGTTTTAACTGGTGAATTCCCTGAAGCTGTATTTTAAATTGTATTTATATAACTTACAAAATTGATATTAATAATTTTAAAAAGCTCTGAAAAAGAATATGAAGTATTGTTAGGAAATGTCTTAATAATGGTATTATTAATTTATTATTTATACTTTCATCATAAAGCTATCAGGTCTCAATATTTGTTAACTTTGGTTGAACAAAAATGGGAAAATGTATTAGAAAATATAATTGAAAATTAATCCTATTTTATAATGAATTTTATTTAGGATACTTATTAATTTAATATTCTTTCTTAACATAATTGTGAATAATATTTTATGGATCAAGATTATAAACAATTCTTAAGATAGTCATATATTGAAAAATAAAATTTAGAAGATTATTTATTTAAACAAATAAAAAATAATTTTTATAACAATTCATGTAAATCATCAGTTATTTTTGTAAAAAACTCAATTTCTCTATTTAAACTTAAATACTCAATTTATTTTACAACTTAGCCAACCATTTTAATTCTTTTTGAAAATATTTAAAAGACTTAAAATAAAAATATCAATATTCTTTATAAAAAAATCAATATGTATAATAGATTGTTATTATTATCAATTAACCAAATATCAATTGAAAAATAATTATGTTTGAAATTAAAACATTATTTATAACTTGAACATGTTATGTTTTAAATTGAAAAGGGAATCTATGCAATGAAAATAATAAAATTAACTAAATTTTTGATGAAATTTAATTAATTATCTATATTAAATAACAATTAATCTATAAAAGACTTGAAAATTACTACTCTACCTAATATACTTACTGCATTGTTGTTTATAATTCAAGATTTTTCTAACCCAATCAAAAATAATGAGTAGAAAGTTTAAAATTAAATCTTAGTATCATATTAATATGTATCGGAAAACTAAGTTGTTTTAATTTTTTAAGGTAAATTTTAAGTCTAATAAATTTAATTTTTGATCGATATGTATAGATTACAATTCTTCCTTATATTACATTAATTTGATATTTACTAAGATAAAATTATTAAAATAGCATTAAAATAAAGAGTCTAGATACCATTTATAAAAAATTTGGAATAGTGAATTGAAATGTATATATTATTTAGATAGTTTAAAATTAGTTAATTATATTTTTTTTCTGAAATAATAAATTATACTAAGCAGTTTGAAATGAAAACTGTATATGTGTATCTCTAATGTCAAGAGATTAATAATAAAATTAATAAATGAATCATGCTTACGTGTAGAGATATAAATATTAAAGAATTAAAAAAATGAAGAAAATTGATTAATAAAAATGAGTTTAATAGTGTTGTTTGGATTATTCGTTTTTGGTCATTGTGATTAAAAGGAAACAGGATTACAGAAAGTAAAAGTGTAAGTAGCAACTGTTTTGGATGGATATTATAAAGAATTTGATGGAGTAATGTGTTATTCAGAGAAATATAATTAATTTGTTATATATCATGAGAGATCAAAAGCTAAAAGTAAATAGAGAATAATAAAGTAATAGATTTAAAGGAATTGTTTCCTGAGAGAGATTTTTTTTTATAATTTGGAATGAATGGAAATGCAGTGGGGTTAAGTTTATAGAATTTTTTACCCAAGGTGATAATAAATGAAGATTAATATAAGAGTGTAGTATTGACTGTAAAACCTGAGGTGAAGAAAGGTAAGTAGTTTAGGTAATAAATTAGGAACAACTTTGAAAATAGGATTTTTAGAAGCAGATTATGAAGGAGAATAGGAGAGATTTATTGATATATTGGAGAATGGAATAGATAATTATAAAGAAATAAGTGAAACTTAATTGAATTATGCAGCGATGTAATTTGAACATAAATTTATATAATATGTAAAGAAGATGCATGATGAATTGTGATTTATATAACAAATAAATGTAGTATTTAACGATGCCGGTTTAGCTCAGTGGTTAGAGCATTTGCCTCGTAAGCAAAGGGTCGGGGGTTCAATTCCCCCAATTGGCTATTTTTTTAGATTTGTATCTATCTTATTAAAATAATTTATTAAAAAAATGGATTATGAATAGGTTATGAATGATAAGAAGTTAAGAGAACAACTAGAAGGAGGAGAGACAATGGTGTTATCAATGAAAGTGATTAAGTTCACAGGATAAAATAAAAAATTAGCTAGAGTGATAGTAAAGAAGTTTAATTATTTGATGCATAGGCAATTACAAATAAGAATATATACAACATATCTCCAGCAGAAGGAAGTGCAGTAAAGAACTTCTTCTAAAATTTAGTATCTAAGTAACTATATTTTATTTATATGTTTTAGATCAAGAATAAAAAGAAAAATAGCATTATCAGCAATCACTGGAATAACCATTTCAAAAATAGTAAAAGAATTTATTCTTCATATTCCAACTGAATATGATCAGAGATATTAGGTAGATGATTAGTAAAAATGATATGTATATTATAGATTGGCACTAATAATATAAACATTATGTGAAGTATATGTAAAACACAATTTAAAGAAGATTAAATGTTTCTTCATTGAAGAACTAAATCTAAGTTAATATACAACTACTAATTATGATATTAAAAAGAATATTAGAAGACAATTACCAAAGTAAGGAAATGAAATGACTGTTGATGAAGTTAAATTAGCAATGCAAGCATAAAGAGGAAATGTATAAACTTTGTATCAGAAATCTAATACTCCTGAAATTAGTATTGAAGATTTTACGTTAATCAAAATGTTAGGAAGAGGAGCATTTGGAAAAGTAATGTTATGTGAAAAGAAAGACTCTAAAGAGATTTTTGCTATTAAAAGTTTAAGAAAAGAAGATATTATATCCAGAGATCATATTGAATATTTGAAGACAGAAAGAAAAATATTAGAATAGACACAACATCCATTTCTGGTTTCATTAGAATATGCCTTTATCACATAAGAATGTGTTTATTTTGTGATGAAATTTATGATGTAAAAATTATAATATGTTTAGAGGTGGAGAATTGTATACTCATTTATAGAAAATTAATAAATTTAATGAAGACTTTGCTTTATTTTATTCATCATAAGTTTTATTAGCATTAGAATATTTACATAAATAGGGAATTATTTATAGAGATTTGAAACCAGAGAACATTTTAATGGATGAGAAAGGATATGTTGCTTTAACTGATTATGGATTAGCAAAGTTCTTATCTAAAGGATAAGTTACATAATCTATAGTAGGCACACCAGAATATTTAGCACCTGAAGTTATCACTTAATAAGGACATGCATTTACTGCTGATTGGTGGTGTTTGGGAATCTTGATGTAATTTATTAACATTCTAAAATTTAAGCTATGAAATGCTATGTGGTAAAACACCATTTTTTTCAGAAAATAGAAATCAAATGTTTAGAAACATAGTAGAATCTGAATTGAAATTTCCATCAACTCTACTTATTACTCAAGAGTGTAAGAGTCTACTTTCTAGTTTATTAAAGAAAAAACCTAATGAGCGTTTAGGCAATAAGGGAGATGCAGAAGAAATTAAGAAACATCCATGGTTCAAACGTATGGATTTCTAAAAATTGATAGCAAAAGAAGTAATATATTTGACTACTGTTTAGTTATAAGCCCCAATAATTCCAGATTTATAATCTGCCACAGATTTATCAAATTTTAATCCTTAAATTTTAGATGAAAGTAATTTAAAATAATATTATTTAAGAAATTGAGGAGAGTGAGCCTTAAGTAACGACCAATACTTAAGCTTTGAAGAAATTTGATTAAGAATTCTATGGTTTGAATTACAAAAAAGAATAATGAGTGTATTATAGATATATGAATTTATAATAATTAAATAATCTTATAACGGTGTCTTTTTGTTTATTTAATTTTTATTTTAAAAGTTTTAATTTGTGTGTATTCAAAAAGATTGTTTAATTAATATTAATTTTAATTCATAATATAATCATTTAGGAATACCATAGATTCTAATAGTTTTATCTTAACAACCAGAAACTAGAAATCTTCCATCAAGTGAATAATTGAAACTCATAGCAAAATATTAATGTCCAGGAATAGGTTCACCAATTTATTATCTGGTTGATATTTCAAATACTCTAATCTCCTTTCTAATACAAGCAAGCAATTTTCCATCAGGAGAAAGAGCAAAACGATGAGGATCATTTCCTGGTATAAAATTCCAAAGTTATTATCTATGAAGATAATCCCAAACAATAATATTTTTTTCTGTTTAACTACAAGATATTAGATATTATGTATTAAATTAAATCCAATCCACTTTTTCAGAATGACCTAATAATGGTTATCCAATTTATGCCAATCCATGTATATCCCAAAGACGAATAGTTTTATCTAATGAACAAGATGCTATTATTTAATTGTCATAACTATATTATACACAATAAATTTTAGCTTCATGTTCCTTTTTAAATAGATTCATTACAATCCCTTTCTAATCAATATTCCACATAATTAAGTTTGCATCCCAACCAGAAGATAATAAACGATTATTCAAAAAATTAAAATGTAATGAACTTACATGATCTGTATGACCTCTTAACTTTTTAATAAATTTTTTTGTCTCCATATCAATAAATTTTATATACCCCTCAGAACTTCCCATAACTAAAACCTTAGAATCAGATGTTATAGCTAATGATGTTATAATAGCTCGATGTTTCTTAGAAACCCATTATTTTTCCAAAGTATTCATATTCCATATTGTAATCTTATTATCATCTCCTCCACTTATTAATTCCCCTCCCTTTGTTGGTTATAAACACCAAACCTCTCCATCACTTTATATTGAACGAATATGATTATTGAATGCTCCTACTAAATTCTCTGGCTTTACAGAATTTACTTCATTATTTCCTATTGCAAAAGTACTCAACTTTTAAATACACTCTTTCAATAAATTACTTACTGTCAATTACTATAAAGGTTTAACTATCTTTATTTTTAATTAATCTTATTTCAATGTTGCTATCTCTATTAATTCTTTTGATAACTATTCAATTCTCTCTGGCTCTTAAACAAATTAAAATTCCTATGCATACTTCTAAGCTTAATAACTAAATCTCCCAAAATGTCTCTTTATCTTATCTACTATACCATCGATTATTTTATTCAATTCAATTCTCAAATTCTCTATCTCCTCTAATATCTCTTCTATTGATTCATGTAAATGAGGCTATTTCATATTCAAAAACTAATTCAAAAAATCTTCAATCTAGGACAATTACATCACTCTATGATTCCTATGGTAATATGGAATACAATAATCTCGACATATCAATCTACGAACTTAAGGACATTATGGTGATATACAAAGCATATATTCATTTTATTAATGTCCTAACATACACTTAAATCCACTTGCCCATTGCTACAAATTCATTTTATTATTTTTATTATTTTATAATCACTTCTATTTTCTCCTATTCTTTCTTTTATCATCTCATTATTTGCAAATATTTCAAAATATTATTATTTTCTCATACTCTCTATCAACTCTAATCTTACCATTCGTATTCAAAGTCTCGTTTTAAATAAATTAGATTTACTAAAAAATTTTAATTCATTTTTTAGGTTATTATCAAATTACAAGTCATATATTGCTAACATATAAATNACCAGAAGATAATAAACGATTATTCAAAAAATTAAAATGTAATGAACTTACATGATCTGTATGACCTCTTAACTTTTTAATAAATTTTTTTGTCTCCATATCAATAAATTTTATATACCCCTCAGAACTTCCCATAACTAAAACCTTAGAATCAGATGTTATAGCTAATGATGTTATAATAGCTCGATGTTTCTTAGAAACCCATTATTTTTCCAAAGTATTCATATTCCATATTGTAATCTTATTATCATCTCCTCCACTTATTAATTCCCCTCCCTTTGTTGGTTATAAACACCAAACCTCTCCATCACTTTATATTGAACGAATATGATTATTGAATGCTCCTACTAAATTCTCTGGCTTTACAGAATTTACTTCATTATTTCCTATTGCAAAAGTACTCAACTTTTAAATACACTCTTTCAATAAATTACTTACTGTCAATTACTATAAAGGTTTAACTATCTTTATTTTTAATTAATCTTATTTCAATGTTGCTATCTCTATTAATTCTTTTGATAACTATTCAATTCTCTCTGGCTCTTAAACAAATTAAAATTCCTATGCATACTTCTAAGCTTAATAACTAAATCTCCCAAAATGTCTCTTTATCTTATCTACTATACCATCGATTATTTTATTCAATTCAATTCTCAAATTCTCTATCTCCTCTAATATCTCTTCTATTGATTCATGTAAATGAGGCTATTTCATATTCAAAAACTAATTCAAAAAATCTTCAATCTAGGACAATTACATCACTCTATGATTCCTATGGTAATATGGAATACAATAATCTCGACATATCAATCTACGAACTTAAGGACATTATGGTGATATACAAAGCATATATTCATTTTATTAATGTCCTAACATACACTTAAATCCACTTGCCCATTGCTACAAATTCATTTTATTATTTTTATTATTTTATAATCACTTCTATTTTCTCCTATTCTTTCTTTTATCATCTCATTATTTGCAAATATTTCAAAATATTATTATTTTCTCATACTCTCTATCAACTCTAATCTTACCATTCGTATTCAAAGTCTCGTTTTAAATAAATTAGATTTACTAAAAAATTTTAATTCATTTTTTAGGTTATTATCAAATTACAAGTCATATATTGCTAACATATAAATATACCTGTCTCTCTTTTTGATATTTAAAAAATTAATTACAATTATTGCATTCTACAATATTTATTACAATTCTGAATAATTATAGAGTTATTGAAACTTAAATCAAATTATTAACTAAAACATTTAAATAATATTTATAAATCTAATTAATTTACTATCATATTTAATCAATAAAAGTTTCGAGTAAAATGTTTTCTTCTATATTTGATTGTTATCTACTTTAGTGTGTGCTTCTTCTAATATCACTCTCACTCATCAATTTTTTTTCTGTTCCTCCAAAACTACCAGTTTTCCTGTTTTGCAGCTCTTATTTCACTAATTTTAAATTTGCCTCTTCAAATAATTATTATTTCTTTAATTCCTCATTCAAATTGTATAATTCATAAAATGCTCTATTCTTCTTCTCCATACTCATTTAAACCTCTCCTCTTAACTTTACTAATTCTTCATTCCATTTATTAGATTACATTTCCATTTCTTCTTTCAATTTATCAATCCCATATTCTTATTCTCTATTTTTAAATTTATTAATCTCTTTTAATTCCTATATCTCCAATTACATTTGTCCTAGTATTTCTGGCATATAAGATCGATATTAAATTGGTTAATACTAATTAGAAAATTATTATTAAACTTCATATTGTGAAGCTTATTAAAATTAATTTTACTATTACATTTCTTTATAACCTTATTGCTAAAGAGAGCGATGTTATGAATTATTTCTAAATGAAGTACTATTCTAATTTAATCCTGCTGTATTTGGAGGATTATAAGTAATATTTATTAAATTTTAGTCTTATAAAGTTCTTTAAGATTATAATTTTGTTTATGGAGTTTGAAGATTAATTTTTTATTTAAGATCTTAATCATATTTATCATCAACTTCCTTTAAATAATTAGGAACTATATTATTGTTAGTCATATTTATCTAATGATCTTCAAATTCATTGAATAAAAATTTAGATTCTTCTTATTGTTATCTAAGATGTTTATTTTTAATTGTCTTGATCACCATTTTTTTATCGTCTTCTTTATTTTAATTTTAATTCATCTTTTCTCTTTCTTTTTTCAACTTCTCCTCGTATTTTTAATCTTCTTCAATCTATCTTTACTTTTCCTCTTCTTTCTTTCTTTTTTTCTCATCTATTTACATTTATATTTCATTTATAAATGCTTATTTTTCTGTCAATTTTTATTGCTCCTTAGCATCCTTTTGTTTATACACTTTTGCAAATATTCCTCCATCAGAATTTTTATTAGCTTCATTATCTATATTTCGTATAATCTCCTTCCTCTCAGCTGCTGTAATTTTTTATTGTCTATCATTTCTTTATAAATAAACAGGAACTGATTCTTCTCTTTCTTGATTCTTATTGTTGTTGCTTTTTTGTTCTGAAAACTTAAATTATTATTCTTCTCGAATTAATATCTGCTTGAATTAAATTTATTTACTTGCTCTTATTATTCTTATATTACTCTCTTTCCACTTGCAGCAAATAAATTTATTTATTTATTTTCCTTTTTTAACATAATCACTCTATAAAATTATTATTTATTTATTAAAAAAAATGATAGAAATATGAGTAGAAAAGATATTAAAATGAGTTGATGATTCTCATATGGCTAAATTTTTAATCCAATCAATAGTCTCATCATAAATGGAAACATAAGCTTCTTCATTATCATAATTTTTCTCTAAAATTTTCTGAAAGTTTTGGATAACTAAAGTTGCTCGACTAAGAGTATCATAAATTTTTTCAAAATTAGCAATAGTCGACTTTAAATAGAATCCCTCTTAAGATTAAAATTATTTGCAAAAATTATCTATACGCATTTCTGCTTGTTCTTAAAATTTGTTAATAAACAAACCGACTTTTGGTTCATCATAATAGGACAAATCATCTTTTTCTTTGTAGTATATTACAAAGTTTAACTTTTCATGAATAATATTTGCTAAATAAAATACTTTATCAATCTAATAGCTTTGCTTTGGGATAAATATTGGTTCAGCTATAATAACTAAAGAGCAATTTTTATCAATGAAACTTACGAATGCTTCAACTTGAGGGCTTTTCTTTTGTAGTGTACCTAATTTATTCTTTTGGAAATCCATATTATAAATAATACTATCATTTATATATTAGTAGGTGAAATATAAAAAACAAGTAATAGAAATATACATTTTTTTTGATGTGCAAGATAAAAATAAGTCTATAAAAAATGGAGACAAGTCTACTTATAAAAGTTCAGAATAAATTGTTCTGAATAAAAAATTTAAATTATTCTTTAAAAAATTGATCATAAATTTCCTACTAATTTCTTACTAATTAAAAATCAAAGAAAACTCTTTTTAATGATTAAACTTAGATATTTTAAAAAGAAGAGTAAAAAAATAAATAATAATCGAATTTCTGTGTTACATCACTATAAAATAATATTATAGAAATTAGACATATAACCTTTCTATTTAGGAAGTATTTAGATGAAATAAAAAATAATACTAATCTCATTTAAAAAAAAATCAATAATTTTGATTGCTGAAAAAGGATTAGACAATAGCATAAACAATAGGGTGTATAGTGATTAATTAATTATTCTTATTTCTTTTATTGAGAATTTATTAGACAGCACATCCAAATTATAGTTTTAATTCACTACTCGTCATATTCATCAAGCTCTTTGTATAATTTTCATCTATAGAGTTTTTTGAACTCTCCTCTATCTTTGAAAACATTTCTTGACTAGACACAAACTCACTTTTTGATATAGAGATTGAAGCAAATTGTTAATTCACATTTTATTTTTTTGGAGTGAGATATTAATATTCTAATTTGGTTACAATAGATATTTAATTATCTAAAGTAATAGAATCTGTTTATTTGAGTATTATGTTGTGTTTAGCCAAAAAGTCTAGAATGATAAGTTTAATCTTATTAAACACATTCATCATTTAAATATTAATAATAATTAAATTAAATACAGTCTAAAATGCCATAATCACATAGTAGTCTTTTCCCATTTTTCAAAGTCTTTAAATCTGACAGTGAAATCATTATTATTATTACGTTTTGCTTAAGAGAAGCTCTAAATTGGAAATAATATAATACAGTAATAAAAGACTTAGCATCTTCTCCCGCATTCTCAAATAATTGACAAAAATCTTCAAATTCTAATTGATTTCCTTGGAAATCTCCAAGAAAAGATTCTAAATCAATTTTAAGTTCAAATTCACTTTGTACAATATCAAAAATCATTTATTTTTAAACGAAGCCTGTTCTATCAGGATTACCTCCTAAGGCTACAAAAGCATCAACTAAATGTAGATAATTAAAATAGAATACTGTATTCTTATGTAATTGTTTCTTCATCATCCAATTATTATTAATAATTTTTTAATTTACAATAAAGATCGCAAATCTGTTTAAGATCTAACATTTTAGTATCATATTATTTAAGTTCTTCTTTGAATTTGGCGATAAGCTTTTCATTATTAAGTAATTTAAGATCTAAATTGTAAAATAAGTTAGATGCCTCTCATAATATCATCAACTTCAGTTTTGCTGATATATCCAGTACCCTTAGGATCATATCGTTTAGCTTAGGTCATAAGTTCAGTGATTTCAAGTTAATTAAGATTAAAAGCACTCTTAATTTACTGAATAATATCTGCTTCAAGCAATAATGTTTTTCGTTTCATAAAATAATTAATTTATTAATTTTTATTTATAATCTACAACATGAAATCATTTAGGTTTCCATGAAATTTTATCATTAGCCCCCATTAATTACTATTTCAATTATTTAGGATTAGCCCATTAAGAATTTAGATATTAATCTTCAGCATCAGCTTCTAAATCCTAAAATACTATAATAGAAAATGTATACTTTTTATTCTTATTATTTTTTATAATAAAATGCCATCATTTTTTTTTATGTTTCAGCATCAACAGCAGGTTCTCTAACAGGTGCACCAGCTCCAGTTTTTTATAATCTAACAATCTAATAGAAAATATAATGAGAGATTTTACAATTTTAGTTTTATCATTTTTTCCAATAAAATCAGATAATAATTTACCTCTAAGTAATTCTTTACCAGCCCACCATAATGATGTTTATTTTTCATCTAAAAAATCATATTGTTCATTGAATGTAGGTTAAGTATCATATTAACCTTCTAAGATTTCTCTAGCTGGTTCCCAAGGTGGTAATCCATGATATCCAGGATAACATATCATCATACATCCTCTTAATAAATCTAATTATTCTTAAACAATTTTAGGAGTTAAACATTATTTTAAATCAACTAAATTTTTTGAAATTGCTTATTTAACTTTAGTACAATTATCAATAACCATTTTAGATAATTCTTCAGTTTGGATAACTCCAGTTCGATATGCTGTTTTATCAGGATTAATTCTTTAACCAGGTAATAATTATTAAGGAGTAACTGCCCATGGTTTTTTTTCTGGTGCCATAGTTTCTATAGCTGCATCAATAAGTGATTATTCAGATAATCCTCTAGTATCTTCAGGTTTTAATGGTCCTATTATATATATATAATTATAAATTTACCATGTGTAGCTAAATCTTCCATTGCACATGCCAAACGATCTAGAATAATCCTCATATTATTTACTAATGTAATTATTAAATTTGATTACTTTCAACAAGATCTTTTATAACTTAATCTGTAGGAGTATTAGCACTACATTCATATAAAAATTGATTCAACTCTGTTTTCTTATAATGAATTAAAACCATTTAAATATTTATATATATATATTAATATTATATTAATATATCAATTTCTTCATAAATTTGCTGCAATACTCAATTTATTGCATGTATCTTCCAATAAACTAAGTAAATGCTCTTCTGATTATTCTCTACTTCTCTTTTCTTAATCTAATTCAACCTTCACTCTATTTACAATATCCTTTAACATCTCAAATATTGATTATTCACTTTCATCTCTATTTCTCTTCTCAACATTAATTAAATTACTTAATTTAACTAATTCATCTGTGATTGATTTCATTACCTATATTAATTATTTAATAATTAATACATTTTAATCTGATTCATCTCTTTCATTAGCTTCTTCTCTAATAGCTTCTTAAATCTTTGGTAAATCATTTTACAATCCTTAATGAATTCCTTCAATTGCATCTACTCTTTATGCTGTCTCTTTCTATACTTCTGTTCTTAATAATGCTGATTTATCTTCTGTCAATCTAAGTATCTTTGCTTCTCCTTCCTTCTTTCCTTATTATTCATTCTCTATTGCATTCTCAAACTTCTTTGTCAATGCCAATACATCTCTATTCTTTGCATCTATTGCTTATTCTTTTGCCTATCTATCATCTTCCACCTATTTCTATAATTTACCCAACTATTAACTTATTTTATCTATTTTTTACTTAATCTCTCAACCCATTAAGCTTTGTAAAAATCTACTCTTAAAATTCATTAAATGCATCCTCTGCCTATTGTATACGTTATTCTGCTTATTCCAATCTCTAAAATCTTTCATTCTCCACTCCTATCTATATAGTTGATAACTTCTCAGATATCTTTTAAATTCTACCTGTACTTGGAGATGGTTATGCGTCTAAAATCATCATTAATCATTCTTACATAAAGATTATTTCACTCTAGACATTTCAATTTTTAATTTTTATTTTTATATATAAATTATTAATTTTATTTCTACCCTTATAGAAATTAATTTTATTTAATTATTCAATTTTATATTTTTTACCTTTCACCTATTCGCATCCATTTCACTAAACCTTTCTACTCTACTCCATCAATACTATATCTCCTACTATTTTCTATTTTTTAATAAAAATATAACATAAAATCATTTATCTGAAATCACCATCTTTAAATATTATTTAAACTCATTTTCTACACTATAATCATAATTAATTCTTCAAATAATTAGCTTACTAAATCTTAGATATATATTAATTGTTCATTTAAATATTTTAAGTCATTAATAAAACTATGAATAAATTTTCACAAACCTTTAGATAGCAACATTTAGAAACTTTGTATCAAAAAGAAAAAGAATAATATTGCTATGATACCTTTAAGAAAATAGCCTTCTTATCATTTGTAATAACACTAATACGATTAGTAAGTTTTGCTCATCAAGAAAATGTTGTGGGCATATTAATCACATCAGCAATCTTATCAATGATAATACTTATGTCCATTTTAATATTTAAATTCTGTTCATCTGGTACCATATTTTGTATGGTATTCATCAATAATTTACTGGTTTTACTCTAATTACATGGTTATGAAGGTACTAATTAATTTATTCTTGGTACTAATTTGTCCATTGCACACACAACAATACTTCTAATTATTGATTATAAATTGGCTGTAATCAATACTTTTTTTTTAACTACATTTAAATTACTAATAGCAGGACTTTTTGATGGTTAAACAGACAGCTGTTCCATAATATTATCTATTATATGTCCACTTTGTTTTGTTTCTGTAGTATACAATATAGAAAAATAAAGAAGACTGCTATTTTTAAGTAATAATCAAGGAAACGATTGGTGTATTATTAATATTCTGATATCTATATAGATTAATTATTACCTTCAGTAATCAGTGATCCATTTGTTCTATTTTCATTTGATCCCAATAGAATGTCCTTTAAATATAAGAATTCGAGTAAAATAGATAGATTTCCTTATTGCAATCAAGAATTCTCTTAAGAAGATAATTTTAGATAATTTTTTAGACTCCAACATATTTCAGGTGTAACTATTGAATAATTCATACTGAAACGAATTGAAAAATAATCCTAGTTTTTTTATTTAAATTAATTTACACTAAAGCCAAATTAATTTGATTCTGTTGATTTTGAGGAAACTAATATTCTCCTTGCAGAATTATATCATTTGGATGACAATTTCTTAATTGTATTAGAGCAATCTAAATAGAGAGCATAATATTTATAATCTACTAAAGATAATCTAATAAATTTGATTAGCTAACATTAATAATTAGTTTACAACTTCTTAAAAAAGCAAGCAACATTAATTAATCTTAGTTTATAGAATGAAACAAGTAGAATTTAATTACTCTATTAATTAAAACTTCATCATTTGTATTTTTAAGGAAAATATAAAATATCAAATTCATTTTCATAAAACAACAAATAATTATAAACAGTTTGTATTGATTTTAAATAATTGTTTATAGCCATAATTTCATTATTTTAAAAAGCTTATATTGATATTAATCTTTAATTTGATTTCACTGATAATAAATTTGATGCAATTCAGTATAAAGATATGCCTTAAGATTTTATTATTTAATTATTGCAAGTCATTTTAAGAAAAACAACAACAGACTAAAAATTTAAAACAAGAATTATTTTACATTCTAAATTTGAAATTTTATTTATTCAAATAATATGTCTAAATTCATTTATTTTGGTGGAAAATTTAAATAAAAACCTTGTTATAAAATTGTATTTAAAATTACATTCTCCTGAAAGTGAAGTAAGAGTAAATGAGAATGGAATAAATATTTAATTGTATAAAGATGTTTCATAATTAAAATCATTAAATAAATTTTAAGATGATTGATTATAATTATAAAATTTAAGAAATTAAGAATATATATATGATATCATTATATAATATTATAAAATTTATTTTGATGTTACTAAACCTTAAAAACATAACTGAATCCAAATAAACATTCATAAAACCCAAAAAAAAGTCTATTTTAAAGATTTTGTAAATAGGTGATGTAACTGAAAAAGAATAAATTACTCTACATACAATTTCAAATAAAATGCAGAATATTGTTTTTGATAATAATAATTAAATAGATGAGTATTACTAAATACCCCTTTTTTAAATAAGTTCGATTTTGTACTCTGATTTCTTTGAATTACAATCCCTTGTAATTATAACTATATCAAAATACAAAATTGTCAGATATTATGAAATTGATATAAATTGCCTGGCAAAAAAATGTGACATTTATAAGACTATTCAAACAAGATGGAACTGAAATTGAAGAATGTGATTTGATTAATATAAAAAAAGGAACAACACTTTATGTCGAGCTAAGTAATGAAGATATTAAACTAAATATTATCTAATAACAATATGATATCATCAAAAAGATTGGTGAAGGTGGTTAAGGAGTAGTATTATTAGGATAGCATAAAATTACTAAAGAATTAGTAGCCTTAAAGAAAATTAATTACTAAGCTTTATTGGGTAAAGAAATAGATGGAATTTCAAAAGAATCCATAATTTTAAAGGCATTAGATCATAAGAATATAGTTAAATTGCATTAGAGCTTTGAAATGTAAAATCAAAAGGAGATTATATTAATTATGGAATACTTAAATGGGGGATCTCTAATAAACTTAGCTAATTGTAATTATTAATTAAATATTTATAATAGCTAAATTAACTGAAGGAGATGCAAAACTATATTCTAAATAGATAGTAGATGCAATTGCTTATTGTCATGAAAAAAACATTGTTCATTGTGATTTGAAATTAGAAAATATTATGTTAACATCACCAAATTCCAAACAAGTATTAAATTTATATCAAAATTAGATAAAAATAATTGACTTTGGGGTTTCAAATTATGCTGGAAAATTAAAATAAATTGATAGTGTTATAGGAACTCTATCTTATCTCGCTCCAGAAGTTCTTTCTTCTACTTATAAGTATATCTAAACATCTTAAGATGTATGGGCAGTTGGATGCATTATTTATGGATTAGTTTTTGGAAGATTACCATTCGATGGTGTTAATCCTTCTGAAACCTATAGAAACATAATATAATGTAATTATAGTTATCCAAAAAAAAATATTACTAAAGATTTGATTAATCTTTTCAGTTAGATTTTTATTAATAATCCAAAAGAAAGGTTTAATATTTTTGACATTCAAAATCACTCTTGGTTCAAAGAGTTACCTTAATTAAATAAATTAACTCTAAATAGAATTACCTCTCGTAATGGTAGATCTACAAGTGTTTCGATTATAAATAATTAAAGAAAATCTAAAGATGAAGATTAAATTTAAATTATTAGTCAAAGAAAGATTGTTTTTAGTAGAAGATCTAATACTAGAAATGATAAATCTTCCTTTTTGAATAAAATAAAATGATTTATAATGATATATATATTTGTGTTTTGTTTTTTATTTGAGTAAAAAATTAAATTTTAATTAACTAAAATTGAGTCATATTAAATCTTCCTCTAATATACGAATTGCATTCAATTAATTCAAATCTTTATATATTTCAAAATGACATGCTAATTATTATCAAATAATCATTACCATTATCATTATATACAATATCTACTTTTGGGCTTAGTCTAACTTAGATCTTATAAAATAGTGAATTAAAAACTAATTTCTATTTGAGTTCTTCTGAATTGTTAAATAAAATACTGATTTTTATTAATTCTAAATCTTTTTATGTATTAATTTCACTTATGTGAACAAAAACTGTTTTTCCATTTTAAAAAATCCGAATAAGAGTTTGAAATATAATTACTAAAAATATATTCAGTAGTTATTCATTACTAAAAATATAAATATCTTCAAATGTAGTACTAGAAAATTCAATTTAAATTTATTTATAAGCCATACAATAGATGTGAATTAATCCCTTAATCATATCAGTAATATTAATTTATATTATTTTTTATTCAATTTCTTAGAAACTATTACATTATGTATATTTTCCAATAAAATACATGCAATGAATTTTCATTTTATAGATAGTACTTATATAATTATTGGAAATAATTATATTTTATATTAATTATAATTACTTTTCTAAGAAATTGATGGTTAAATTTTGATGTTAATTAATTCCTTAAATCAAGGCAGTTTTTACTTTCTCTAAAGTTCTAATTTTTTATTCATGTTAATCAAATACAATTAAAAATACTTATTCTCTCAAATAGAAATCTGAAAATCGTATAACATATTTCTTAGTTCCATAAATTTATTCATTTCTTTGAATTCTTAATTGAAATTAATAAATCTTTGTATAATCACTACAAGTTCTACTTCTTGTTACTAAATATTATTCAAGATTATCGTTTCCCATTTTAAATGATCTTAAAAAGAATCTTAAATTTTCTGAAGGTGCTTTTTCATTATCCCAACATATTCCTTTCATATCATTAGCAATTTTTAAATTAAAATTCAATCTTTCTTCATCAAAAGTAAACATTACAAAAGGACTTTAAATAATAGTAGATAAAGTTTATTCTTTAATTAATTAATATTCATACCCCATTGTTTATCAGAGAATTACAATAAGAAATGCTCTCTTTAAATCTTATCATTTTGATAAATAAAAATCAATATACCAATTGATGTTATAACAATTGATATTAAATCTTATCCTATAAAAATATCATTCACAAGACCAGTTATTAAGCATCTTGAAATTAGAAAGAGTAACAGTTAAATTGGTGCTTCTTGAATACTTGAAAAATAAAACATTATCATATTGAAAATCATTATGTTTTATCCACTTAAATATATACTTTAAGGGTTTGAATATTAATTTGCGCGAATCTAAAGGAATAATATAATTATATTTGTAAATTGAAAGATAGTCTTTACTTTCTCTGGAGATCCTTTAAGGGATATTATAACTAAAAATATGCTGTAGCTTGTAAACCCTATTTCCCAATACATAATTTCTTTTTTTTCGTAAAATAGCGAACTAATTAAACCGACTATTGAAAACAAAAGGATTAATATTGCCAGTATTTTCTTCATCCACAAATGTTTCAATAACCTATCTTTTTAATAAGCTTATTCAATTGTAGGATGCGAAAACTGTAATGTGAACTTCTTTCTCATGTTTTTAGATAATTTTAATATTCAATCATTCAAACTCAATTAATTAACTTCTTTATAAGAACTTCATTAAAAATAAAAATAAAATATAAACATAAATATTTTAACCTAAAAAATTTGCAATATTAATCACTTTTAAAAAGAAAAATCAAATAATCTCATCTTCTAATTCTCTAATCTCTTCTAAAGGTTAATAATTTTTATATAAATAAAATTTTACAGCTAAAACATTATTAATTTATATTTACACTAATTTTATATGAGAATGTCGAGATTTGGACATAATCTTCTTTATATTTTCTAAAAGAAGGGATTGCTGTAAAGTTAACTTCTAAACTCCTAATAACACTCTGTTCTAATGATTATATAAAATAATTTTCTATTATTTTAATCTTGTCCAAAAATTAATTAATTTTTTAATACATTAGCTTTTAATCGAATTAATAGCTAACATAAAATTTGAAAGAATGTTTAAATTAATTCTTCATTGCTCTTTATATAAAAATCATTGTGTTCATCTGATTATAATTCAATTTGAATAGGCTTATAAGCAATACAATAAAGATTCACTAATAATTACAATAATTTTGTAAGATTAATATCCTTTATATTTGGATCTATTTATGAAAAGCTATTAATTTATAAAAATTAACCAAGAAAATACATTGTATGTATTTTCGATTTAGCTAATTATTATAATTAATTTTTTTAAATCATTGCTGAAGATATCAGATGTAATTATTTTCTTAAAAAACTAATAGTAAGTTCTTGATTCCTATTAATACAAGTTATTAATGAATTGTTAATGTCTGTTAAATAGTCATATTTCTTTTCATTAAAAGTAATTAAATAATATTTTTCTCCTAGAAAACATTCTGAATAATTTAAACTTATTAAATTTGATTTATGATCAAAATATTGAAGATTTAAATTTTGAGTAAAATAATGATTATGATTATAATCTTTAAGATTGTTTCTTGATAAAATATATTATTCTAATGATTAATCTTCATAAAAACAATTCCTAAGAAATGATCTTAAATTAGATGTAGGTGCATTTGAATCATCCCATTTAATAGATGTAATATCACTTTTAAATCTCAAATTAAAGCTCGAGCTTTGTTTATCTAAATTAAACATAAGAAATTAATTTTATATTAAATCTGGTAGAAACCGAACTAATTTATAAATTATATTACATAGTTATTTCTCAAAACATTCTTAAGAAAATCTAATTTTATGTCCTTATTGTTAATAAAATACATAAATTCCTACTAAGATTGCTTCTAACAATTAAAATATTAAAGTATAACTATTGAATTTAGTATTCTATGAGACTTGAATCCAAATTTTTATACCAATAAAAACAATAATTTAAAAATATGCCCCTTTTAGATCTAATATGCTAAATATAATCATAGAAAATATGATATTTAATTATTAATTTTATTACAGTTCCTCTATGTTATTAGTTTAATATGCTTAAATTTACATTAAACCTAGAACACAACATGTTAACAGATTTCCATATTTCTTAATCCATAGTTTTCCTTTGAAAGATATCAAAAGCAGTAAAATAGTATAAATTAAAAAGCCTCCTCCATAAAGAGCATAATAAGATTTCCCTTATGTTAGTATTGAGATTAATCTAATTAAGGCAAAGAAAGTCATCAACATAAAAACCAAAACTTACTGATTTCTGCTGATTTTGTAGACAAATTCATCCAAATTATCTGTAACATTTTGAGTATCAAATCCTTGATATTCTGTATTCATTTTTTTTATTAATAAGTTTAAATATTTCAGAAGATAACCAAAAGAATTTATTACTAACCATTGATGTTTGTCTTTTATTCAAATTATTTATAGTTTATATAATTTGAGTCGGTTTATTTACACAATTTAATCACAAAAAATTGTATTTAAGGCTATATAAAGTTTGGATCTTCAATTTAATTATATAGTTATATAATTATATAATTAAACACCCATAAATTTTTTAATGAACATGACCTTTTACAAATAATGCTTTTAAACTTTATAAGGACTTTATGAATTAAAACTAATATCTAAAGATGAAAAGCTACTTTTAAAAGGTTAAATTCTCAAACTTGAAATTCCTTCTGATGATGGTACTTCAGTCGAAGATCTATCAAAATATTTTCTTTCTCTTTTGAAATAAAAAAAAAGACACTTTATCAACGTTCAAACCAAATTACACTTGGATATGATCGATGAGGAAACAGATGAAGAGTAACTTTGAATTTATAATTTCTTGAGAGAAAATATGAAATAATGACTATATTGTTTGTATTATTTTAAATCATACACCTTATATAACATTTCTAATCATATACTTTTAAGTTCAAGTATGTTTTCATGAAATTATCTTCAACAAAGGATATTCAGTTTTTCAACTTTTTTCGTAATTATGCAAATTGAAAACATCATCTTTTTAATAATGCTGCAAAATAAATCAACAATCAATGAAATAACGAATCCATTTATATTAGAATCACTTAGCATATATGTTAAAGATTAAATATGATCATATATATATTGATTGATAATGCTTCTTTAAAATTTCTCAATATGAATATCTAAATCAAATGTCAAATTTCAGTAATTAACTTTTTATTTACATTCATCTTTTCGAAATCCAATAACATTTGATCATTTTATTTATACTTGTACATTCATAAAATACATATAATGGAATAATTTGATATTTATTTGCATTTTTCAAGATGATTTAATATAATTATACAGTCTAATTAATAAGCAAAAAATTATTATTATANTTTTTTTATTAATAAGTTTAAATATTTCAGAAGATAACCAAAAGAATTTATTACTAACCATTGATGTTTGTCTTTTATTCAAATTATTTATAGTTTATATAATTTGAGTCGGTTTATTTACACAATTTAATCACAAAAAATTGTATTTAAGGCTATATAAAGTTTGGATCTTCAATTTAATTATATAGTTATATAATTATATAATTAAACACCCATAAATTTTTTAATGAACATGACCTTTTACAAATAATGCTTTTAAACTTTATAAGGACTTTATGAATTAAAACTAATATCTAAAGATGAAAAGCTACTTTTAAAAGGTTAAATTCTCAAACTTGAAATTCCTTCTGATGATGGTACTTCAGTCGAAGATCTATCAAAATATTTTCTTTCTCTTTTGAAATAAAAAAAAAGACACTTTATCAACGTTCAAACCAAATTACACTTGGATATGATCGATGAGGAAACAGATGAAGAGTAACTTTGAATTTATAATTTCTTGAGAGAAAATATGAAATAATGACTATATTGTTTGTATTATTTTAAATCATACACCTTATATAACATTTCTAATCATATACTTTTAAGTTCAAGTATGTTTTCATGAAATTATCTTCAACAAAGGATATTCAGTTTTTCAACTTTTTTCGTAATTATGCAAATTGAAAACATCATCTTTTTAATAATGCTGCAAAATAAATCAACAATCAATGAAATAACGAATCCATTTATATTAGAATCACTTAGCATATATGTTAAAGATTAAATATGATCATATATATATTGATTGATAATGCTTCTTTAAAATTTCTCAATATGAATATCTAAATCAAATGTCAAATTTCAGTAATTAACTTTTTATTTACATTCATCTTTTCGAAATCCAATAACATTTGATCATTTTATTTATACTTGTACATTCATAAAATACATATAATGGAATAATTTGATATTTATTTGCATTTTTCAAGATGATTTAATATAATTATACAGTCTAATTAATAAGCAAAAAATTATTATTATATTTGAGCCTAATTAATGAGTAAATTGAAAACTTTTTTAGAATGAATTTCTTGAATTTAGAAATTAGAGCAAAAACAATATTTTTATAATATTTGAGATAACTTAGATAAAAACATAAAAAATCAGAAAGAAATAAAATATAGAGGTTGATTATAACAATTTTGGGATTAGTATAATTGAAAATAAAAAGCTTAATTTATTCTATAGAATTAATATAAAATATTATAAATCATAGAATGTTCAATATAAAATGCAGTTTGATAAATTCAATTTGTTTTAGACTATCAAATATTCATAAAAGACACCAAGATGCCTGAAACAAAATTGCCAAACTTTTTAATAAAGTTATAATCAATGTTGAATGTATAATAATTTGAATAATTAAAGGATGCATCAAATAATCATATAATTAGTTGGGATGAAAGAGGTAGTAAACTAATAATTCATGATATAAAATAATTTAAAGAAATTGTATTGCCCTTATACTTTAAATAACCAAATTATACAAGTTTCTAAAAGTACAACTAATGTAATATAATTAGGTAAATGAATAACTATGGATTTAAGAATATCAGAATTTCATCTACAACAACAGAGTTTTACAATGAAAATTGGACTAGTGACTATAGAAAAATTGATTAAATGGTAAGGAAAAAAAGAATCATAATTGAAAAAGATTCAAATTCTTCTTTTCTCTCTTAATTAATGATATTGAAATGTTCTTAAAATTAATTAATAGAGAATTTGTAATATATTAATTACAAATAAACAATCATAAGTTAAATTATTTATGACTTGCACTTAGAATCATTAAAATAATAAGAATTATTCTAATAATTTCTTGATCTATAATTGTGATTTTTTAAATATATTTATTTTATTTTAAGAATAGTAACATAAAAATCAATTACTTAAAATAATTTACTAAATAATGAAAGAACTCTAAGCAGAATTTGAAAATAATAGAGATAAATAAAGATAAAAGTTTTTGCGACACTTATATGAGATACTTGATGTATTTATAAGATATATAAAATAGAATCCTAAAAATGATTAAATAATAAGGTGGCATGATAATGGATTTGTAATATAGAATATAGAAGAATTTAAGAAATAATTATTACCTATCACATTTAAACATAATAATTACCAAAGTCTAATGAGATAACTCAATAAATATGGATTCAAAATAAAATCCAAAGAAAATTTAAAAGCATATTTCACTCATCCTACTATTAGAGAGAATAATAGAGAAACAAAGAGAGTTTTAAAGATTAACAAAACTTAATAAAAAATAGATTACTTAAAAGAATTATAAGTGTTAAAAGTAGAGTTGGATAATCTTAAAGAAGGATAAAAGATCTTAAACAAATAGTTTTAACTTTCAATTAAAATCATGATTAGATTACAATCTTATTTTGCTAGATTGAATATGGTATTTTTATATTTTTATTTAGATGACTTTGCATACCGTTGGATTTGCAAATATTTTTGGAAATCTAATGTATTCAAATCATAAACGAATTTGGGGAAATTTAGGAGGTGATCTTTTTCAAGTAAATTATTTTATCTAAACTCAAGTTATAACTTAATTCTATAGTTTAAGGGTTTCCTGAACTTTTAGAAACAAGATTAACTACTCCAATCATTAGCAATTTAGGAACTCCATTACCTTTTTATCAATTTATTGGATAAATGAAGGAATTCAAAAACTTACTTCTTTAATGAAATATATTTATATCACTAGATGATAAATAATAAATATTACAAAATTTAGTTTTTTCAATTACTTATAAATGTTAATTGATTCTTAAATTTTATATATCAATAATTGGACTATTTCTGATATATTTTATTTCTAATAATGAAAACTTTATTGTTGTTTGATATTTTCAAAATAATAAATATACATGCTATTTTATTAAGAAAAATATTATAACTCAATTAAATTCATTGGAGAAATATTAGAAATGAGATCAAAAATGATCTAATTATAAAACAAGTAGCAATTTGAAAACAAAAAAAGATGACCATCTATTCAAAAACATTAATCAATGATATAATATTATAAAAACTATAAATAAATAGGAAAATAAAATACTAAAAAATCTGGTTAGTTTGATAAAAATGATGAATATTTCTTAATGTAAATTACTTTATAACAATTTAAATATAATATAGTATAATAATGACTTAAAAATCAATTAAAAACATAATCTGTTGTTTAAAAGGTTCTTCTTGTTGTTGCACGGCTTTAAGTTGATTCCATAATGCAATTTAACTTTTCTTTTAATGAATAAATTTACTCATCTGAAGCATCTGTAATCCACTTAAATATCTAATATTTATTAATAAATTTTTACCTTATTAACAATAGTTTTATAGGTCAAGTCTTCTTAATCAATTAAAGTATCAATCTTTATGCTTAACTCTTAATTTAAAGATTTAACATCAATTTCATATGATAGAATTTCATTATTAATCTTTTCCACTATGATATTAAATAATATTACTTATCCAAGTTGCTCCTTCCATAAAGATTTATGATTTATCAATAACTTTACTAATTTTCAATTATTCATCTACTTTTTAAAATAGATTTCTGCTTATTGTATCTCTAGATTTTTTTGATTCAGATTTTTGATCAGAAAACTATACTTTTAAATTCCTCTCAGTTTTTTTTTAAGTCATAATTCCTTCATATGGTATTCTTGAATTTAATTGTCTTTTAAGGTTATTGATTTCATTGTCTGCCAATTATTTTTATTTGTTTATTTTAGCTGTATAATACTCATAAAAAGTAGTATTAAGATTAATCAATAATTCATTTTTTTATGAACTATTCATTTCAATATTATCTATTATTTCAATTACTTTTTTGGGTATCCAAAATCTTTATAGAAATATTGATTTACATTTCTTCTTTAACTTATACTTCAACTTTTTTATTTCCATTTTCAATTATTTTAGATTTCTACTATTAAAATTCCCCTTAAATGTAATTCTAATTATTTTCTATTTATATATCATTAAACTCTTTAGTTTATTTTAATAGTCCTAATAATCTTGTAATATCTTATTTTAATTAATCATTTTCAAGTCTGATCAATCTATTACTTGATTTATTCATTTAAAAACTATCAATCACATCTTCTATCATCTCAAATTTTTAAAGTATCAATTCTTTCTCTTTTTACAAGGTTTCAATTTCTTTATTCAATCTAAGGTTAATCTCCTCTAATTCATTTATTTTTTATTATGCATCAATTAATTTTGTATTTTTTTAAAACAATTCTTCCTGCTATTTCTAAATTTAAATAGAAATATTTTTTGGATTGTATTTCACTTATGAAAATACTTATTAACTATTTTATAACTTAGCATCAATATTGCTCTTTTAATTTACATTATTAATTTACTATTATATTTAATTCTATTACTTATTTCATATGCATCCAAATGCTTGCTAAAGTATCAAAATCTTTGTCATCTTCTTATTTCATTTTATTACAGTCAACTTGCAAACTGTTAATTAAAATTAATTGATTTATAAATAAATATAATTAACACCCTCAACAAGTATTTCAAGAAATCAATTGATTAAATCATGCAAAATACAAGTAAGAAATTTCAAAAAGAGATTTTATTCATTAACCTCATCCTTATTATCATTTAAACAATTAAAAACAATTATAGAACTAACCTGCCAGTAATTTATTTTTTCTTGCTTAGATAATCTTTTTAGATTTCAAAAACTTGAAAAATGCTAGTCTTTCAGATGATTGATTGTTAATTAAAAAAAATCTACATAGAATTACTTATTCATATTGTATTTATAATTACTCAATTTAAAATATTTATTAATAGGAAGAAAATTTTAAGAAATATCAAAGCCTATTTATGCTATGATATATCCTAGTTTTATTTTAAATAAGTTTAGATTATTTAATTCCTTTTAATCACATATTATAAAACTGTAAATTATATTATGTTTCAACAATGTTTGAAAATAATAATAATGAAGGAACTCTTATTAGATATGTTTCTTAGTTATATATTAATCTTTATGTATTTGAATAAATAATGAAAATTGGGATGCTGTATAATTTATTTGTATAATTTAAATAAATAGAGTTCTAAATATTGTTAATAGAGACAAAGGAATGTTTATTAATTAATAATTGACTTTGAATAATAGTGGCGATTAGAAATAAAATGCAGAGAAATAAAATTTTACTGATATTACTAATAAACAAGATTAGAGAAGTTAAAATAAACAAAAATATCATATTTAGTTTACGGTTACATATCTTCTTTACAATATTGAGTTCGTCTGAATGTTGAGTTTGAATTTTTTAATTTTTTTGGACTTATTATTGGGCAACTGCTTATTTTAGATTTTAAGTTATTTAAACAAGGATTAAATTTCGAATTCTTGCTCAATCTGGAAATATTCTGGTATTTAGTTATCAAAAGATTCTGATTTCAACTGCATAATATAGATGTATATATATTATTTATTTATTTATTTATTTATTTGTTTTTAAATAATTAAGAATCATGATTTTTGTAATAGTCATAAATTAAACTGGATTTAATATATAATATTGATTTCTTTTTTTTAACATAAAATAAATATTGTTTCTTTATAAAATATTTATATATTTAAGTTAAATGTTTAGAATATGATATATGAGATATTATTAAATATATAAAATAGAGAGTAGTTAAATTTGAATAGGATTGTTAAGATTAAAAGTTTGTAATTAGAAAAAAAGTTGTTGAATGTTAATGGAATGAAAATAAGAGAGAATATGTATATTCTTTATAGAGGATTGTTAAATAAATGGAGATAAGATAATTGAGTTTTGATTTACTGGATATTATATCATCTTAAGTATTTAGTTTAATTGTAATATTTGAATGAGATCTAAATAATATAGTAATTTAGATAGATAGTTATAAGATCAGACTAATTAAAATGGTGGTTAGGATCAATAAATTTTATAGTTTAATTTAAGTTTAATTACACAATAAAAAAATATATATATATATATATTATGTAAAATAAATTTTTGAATCACATAACACATTTAGTGAGTGAAAATTCTGAGAAATCAGAATCTCATTGGTTATTAATAACATTAATGATATTAGGTAGTTTAGTGTTGATAGCTGGATTAATTTACGGCTATATAAAATATAGATAATATAAGGTATATTAAGAATATTCGCAAAGACCTGAGGATGGGATTCCAAAAGAGAAAATAGGATTTACACAACGTAATAAATTTCGATTTTGGAAATTGTATGAGAATAAAGATGAGCCGAATGTACTAGTGAAGTAACAGCAAAAAGAAAGTATATAAGAAGAAGCGAACTTCAGATTATTACGGTTAGTACATAGAGTTGAGATTCGTGTGTAAGCCTGGAGATATTTTGACAGTTAGAGGAGAGAAACCAATAACAAGAGATGTTACATCATATTTTGAGATTGAGATAGAAGATAATCCAAGAAATTCAGATGTTACAATAGGATTTTGTTCATCTAAGGAATTTCAAAATTAACTATCTTTAGGCCGTTCATAAACAAGTGTAGGTTTTCATTCTTAGAGTGGAAAAGTATTTTGGAGGAACAATTTACATTAAGATCATAAATTTTAATCAGTTTATGGAGAAACAATAGGAATTGGTATTAGATAGAAAGATGGAAGAGTTTGGTTGAGTTATAATGGAAAATTCTTGAATCCACCACCTCCAAGTGAAGGAAAAAGTTAAGAAGATATGGAAAAAGAAAAAAAGAAAGAAGATGAAGATAGTGAAATTGATATTGGTGAATAATTTGTCTTTATATCTTATAGAATTAAATAAGAAAAATTAGGAGATTGAAGAAACTAGAAAAGCATTGATTTTAAGTATGGGATAGAATTTAGAATTGTATCCATCTATTAGTGTCAATGGACCTTGTAAAATCAATCTTAATGTTGGAGGAATGCAATTTAGAATGAACCAAAAAGAATTGAAATAAGGATTATTGCATTGATAGATTATTATTATTATTATTATTACAATAAATATATATATATATATATTTATATATTTTATAAAATTATATGAAGTCAACTCTTAAGAAGAAATAAATAGTATGGGCTAGAACAAAAGGACGTAAATGTTATATTTAATATATTTAGATCCCTGGTGGCCTGGAATTGTATTTTTATTATTTCTTATTATAAGATTACACAAGTATAAGATGGAAAGTATGTTGTCGATTTCATTGGTGATGATTCACAGTAAGGGTACATTCACAATATATATAGCTCCATATTGATGAGTGATAATCTTTTTGATTTCCAAGAAAAATTTGATGAATTCAACGATAAAGGAAAAAAGAATAAAAAATTGAAAGAAGCAATTCAAAATGCATAAAAACTCTTAAGTAATATCTTTTTTAATATTAGAAAAACAAAAAAAAACACAACGTGACAATAAAGTAATAAGTAAAAGAAATTTGCGATAATTTAAAAAATACGACACTCCTATTGAAGATGTATTCAATCATTTTTATAAGAATATATAAAAATCTCCATTGTAGGAAACACCTTAAACATAATAAAAAAAACAATATCTTGATAGAGAATTCTAAGATTTGTTGTTATTATTAATAGCCGCCTAATTAAATTATGATTAGATTAAATAAAAATTAACTCCAATCCTAGATACAATAGAAGCATAAGTGACTCAAAATAGTACTATTACTGAAGTCCTATCAGAAAGGAAGGGATCAATATTGAATGCTGTTTATTTAATATTGAAACACTAAAGCGAATAAAATCCAGATCACTTTTTTTAACGTGATATTCAATAATAAATAACAAGATTACATGAATTAATTAGCAAACTCAAAAATTCATTATTAAATTAATTTTTTAATGCAGCAAGCATTATTTAAAATTTATCAGAAGTCTGTACTAATACTAATCGTGGTATTTGTTTAATTTATTATTTATATAGGATTAGTAATCACATAAATTATGAATTAAAATAAGATAGTTGAGAAGAAACCATCATAAATTACTTAAACACCACCAAAAAAAAGAAAAAAGGATATGAAGAAAGAAAAATTAGAGAAAAAAAATTCAGAAAATTAAACTACTGGGAATTCAGCTGTTTAATTTAATAACAATGATAATAATAATAATAACAATAATAATAGTAATAATAGTAATATTAATAATAGTAATAATAACAATAATAATAACAATAGTAATAATAATAACAATCAGAATTTATAGGATTAATTAAAAAAAGAATAAATAGAAAATGAAAAAATAAAAATTGATGAAAAAAAGAATAATAATGAATAAACTAAAATAATAAAATAAGATGGAATAATTTAGAAAAAAATGTAAAAAAAAAATGAAATCCCAGATTAAGCATTAAGAAGGAAGGTTTGTCTAAACATGTTAGAATTAGTTTAATTGTTAGGATTGGAGGAAGAATAAGCAAAGAAAATAACTATAAGAATTGAGAGTTTGGGAAGAGAAGCAGATCCATTAATGAGAAATAAATATGCTAAATTGATGTGGCATTGCATAGTTAATTTAGATGTTATAAAATTAAATTAATATAATAGTGTAAATTAATAAAAAGAGAAGAGTTGCTAAGTTTAATAGATGAGAATGCAGATTAAAATGAGGCATGGTCTAAGTTGACATTATAACCAATAGACAGAACAAGAAAATTGATTCATATATGATTTTAAATTGAATTTGATATTTCAATAATTCATTTTTGCATGAATTATTTATATCTTTCAGGGTCTAATTTTTATTATTATTACTGATTGTTTGGAAAAACTAATTTCATGCTTTCTTGTAGATCAACATCTGTGCCTATGAAATTGAATCTTTTTTAATTTAATTCTATCATTTTGGCTTTAAAAACAAGATCTTCATTATCATAAAATACTTATTCCTCACTTTCTTATTTTGAATTTACTTAATTATCATTTTGTTATTCATTTTAAAATTATTATGAAAATTGATTTGCTTCTTATTCAATTAATTATTTTGATTATTCTTATTTCTTTTTTTTATTTCTTTTTTATTTTTTTTATTGTTTTTTTGATTCAGATGGTTAATTATCATCTTTAATTAATTATTATTATTCTAAATCTATATTATTATTGTTATTACCATCAATATCAATATCTTTTTTCTATTTTTTTTAATTTTTTTCTGGTTATATTTATTATTTTAATTTTAATTCTTCAGCTATTTTTTAAAACTTTTCTTTTCTTAATTTATTTCTTCTACCTCTTTCAGTAGCTTCATCTTTAGTTGGATCCCATTCATCTTCTAAATGTCTTTATTCTTTACTAATTTTTTTTTTCTTTTCATTTTCTTCATCTCCATCATCATCTTTAAAAAGTTCCATTTCATCAATTTATCTAATTTAATCTTAAGGAATTTATTTTTCTAAATTAGAAATAGTTTTTTTTTCTCCTTTAGAATCACCTTTCCAATAAGTCATTACTAAATTTTCAATTTTATTTTTAGTATATTTAGAAGTTAAGATTCCAACAGTTTCTATAAGTTAATATTTGGAAACTTTAGCACAAACGATATAACAAAATAATCTATCTCTTTCATATTTTTCATATTCTAATACTAAATTAGGACAAACTGCTTTTAAATGTGATGCAGGTGTCCAATGTCTTTATTTATAGCCAATAAATGAAGTTTAGTATTAATATTCTAAATGAATAGATTAATATCTTTTAGCTAATAATTAATCTACATCATAACAAAAATATTTAGGATTTTATTTAGGTTTTGGCATTTCATTATAATAATCTTTGACAGGAACATATTTTTATTTGAATTCAAAATTAGGATTTCTAGTTGCAAAATATTCTTCAGGTCCTACACCATAATATTCCCATGGAGATAAACTAAGTCTATGTTTAGGAAATGGTAATTTTTTTGATTTTTTTCTTGTTTATTATCCATAAGGACCATCATCTAAATCAATACCACCACTAAAAATAAATTCAGTTGCATATCTTCCTCTTTTATAAACATTAAGCATAGGATTAATATCAGGTTCTGGTGGTTTTACAAATGCTTATTTTAATACTAATCCATTTTTTAATAGAACATCATAATTTAATAAATCTGGTTTTATTGGTTTTTCTTCAATATCTTCTTATTAGAAATTTGGATCAATCATTTTCATCAATTCACTAATCTTTTATTTTTCTTCTGCTGTTTTTTTATTATCTAAATCAGTTCCTCTTTTATACTTATTTTTGTTCTTATATTTATTCTACTTATGTAAATATTCTATCATTCTTTATTAATATTATTGTAAAGTTTCCCCTTCTCTTAATTTTTCTGGTGCTACTTTTTCTTATTTCTTTTATTGAATTAATTATTTTCTATATTCCTCATCTTGTTTTCTTTATTTTGCAGCATTAATTTCTCTATTTTTCATAGCAATGAAATCTTAATAAGAAACAGGTGCAATATTTTATGGTTATACTAGTTCTTGAGAATATTCTTCTCTTTATTTATATTTGTATTAGATTTATAATGCAGTATTTTCATCTAATGGTTATGTGATCTATCATTATATAAAGATCAATAAATACCTTTTATTTTAATTAAGAAAAAAAGTCTTATTTCTTTTTAAAATGAATTGAGGGTAGAGTTTCATCTTCATTAGTTCTAACTTATTTTCTTGGTATCTTATTCATTTATACTTCTTCATCATCAGATTCTATATTCATTTTTGTTTAAATTTAATCAGGAATTGATATAACTCTTTATTTATGTTTTTCATTATTTTTTTAGTTTTAATCACTAATACCTTTAGTTAATGGTTATTTAAATTATTATTTTATTTAAGGTGGATTAGATTATGATGGATTACTAATAATATTCTATGGTTATTAGATTTTAATTTAGGAAAGTGACTTTTATAATTATGATATACTATCAAGATTATTACTCATTGATTATGATTTCTTAATTTCAGTTTGAGTTTACAATTATTATTATAGAACAAGTTGTAATTATGAAGTACTATTTCTATCTTCAAACTTTTATAATGCACATTCTTATTTCTTTACAACTGTCTCTAATAGATTTGGTAATGAAGGTTTTTATTTAGGTTCATCGTCTGAATTTATAGTAATTACTAAACCTTATCTTGCTTATAATCTAAAAATAAATTTATATAGAATTTACGTATTATCGTCTCCTATTTGTACATCCAAAACATTGTCATCTTCAATCAATTATGGACCATATTTATTTTTATAATATTGTCTTGCAATTAATGAACGAGCTCTTTATTACATTATAATATTTCATTAGTACCTTTATGCAAAAGTAGATATTATTAAATAATCATTATAATAATTTGAATCATTCAAAGTAATAAATAAAATCATATTATCATTTACAAAAAGGACTTACAGCATATATTCTTGATTTTAAATGAGATGAATTCCCAGCTTTAGTAGAATCCCTTTCTCTAGATGACATTTACTAATTCCTAATATATCTACTAGAATCTAAACGAATACTAGCTTGAGGAGTATGATATGTTTTTGATATTTTTCTCATTTAATTACATTTCAAACTTTCCTTCTATTACAATAATCTTTCTATGTTATCAGTTGAAATCTCTTTATCATATATTTCCTATTAATATTCTAACACTTCATGTGCATATTAATTTAAACAACTATCAAATTACTCATCTAAACTTAATGGAGATTATGACAAATTCTTCCTTAATCTTATTGATGAATTACTTTATGGTCTCATCAATTAAGGTATTTCAGGTATCTCAAACATCTTTTACATCTAATTCTATTTTGTCAAATTGAATAAATATTTTGCTCGGTTAAAATCTTCTGCAAATACAATTGCTTTTTAAGATACTCCAGGCTTCTATTCATTTCTTTTAAGTTTCATTGAAAATTCATTACTCTAATCAATTACCTTTAACATCTATTCACTCTATTCTTCCATGTTACCGTATATATTGATATCATGTTATAATTCCTTATGGATAGGACTTTAATTTTCTTTCCTTTACCTATAAATTTCTCCCATTGATTTTTCTTTTACTCTATATTTATCTGTCCTTACTTAGTTAAATACACGTAAACGCTTCAAAAGACCATCACTTGTATCATTTTTATTCATTTTATTCAATTCATTATAAATTTCAATATATTTCATCCCTTTATCTTTGAAATATTTAATCGGTGAATTCCTACTATTTAATAAATCAAATTTAGCTTTTCTTATTTTATTCTTGAAATCAGGATCATTTGGATTAAAACAATATTTCTAATTCAAGTCTCTGTAAAATTATTACAAATGAGCTATTTTATTTTTAAAATCATTCTTTAATTTCATCTCATTTTTTTCTATCTATTTTTATATAGCATCATTATCAAAATCTAACTCTAATTAATTTTTATCAGCAATTGTTGCCTTATTGTCATAATACATTTCCATAACAATATTTTACCATCCATTAATTCTTTTCTAAATAATTTAAATAAACTTTTTATTACATCTTTATTATCTTTAGGTTTTAAAATACGACATGTACTAGGACCATCCAATTTAGTTGTTGTATCCCACTTACATAATCGTCTTTGGGCAAATTATATTGCTGTTTATTTAGGACATTTCTATTAATTATTATAATTCAATAACTTACATTATTTATTAAATGAAGAAACGTTGCTGCCTTTGTAGGTGATATATAAATATCTTTCATTTTCACACCACCCAGTTTCTAACAAAATTTGAAATAAGGAATCTCATTTAGAAATTTATTATTTTACTTCTTCCTTCTCAATAGATTACATTAATTATATTTTAGTATTAAATAAAATTACAATAAAAATCAATAAAACAAATATTTACAATAGTGAAATCATTGAGTATTTTTTCTTGCTTTCTCTTATTCTAAAAGCTTTGTGAGCATTTTGAATCTTAAGAAACCATAATCGATATATTCAAAATTAAGAGAATTCTTTTCATGAGCCAAAAGAACACTCCACCAAACCCAATTCAAATTTGATATTATTTAGAATCTTCTAATTCTTCTTTTTAAATAAGAAATTGCTGTGAACAAATCAACAATTTCCTATTCACTTAATCTTGATTCTAATATTTATTTAACTAATCCAATAAAGATTTTCAATTCATCTTTATTTTTATTTGTATTCTCATTTATTAATCTCTATATCTGATTGATTTCAATTTAATTACATTCCTTATTGAGAATATAACTTAAAGCAAGAAAGTGTGCTTAAATTGGAGTAGTATTAAAATTGTCTTCAACAAGAATATAGTAAGGATCTTCTTCATGTTGATAATTGATTGTAGATTCATTTAGGAAATTAGCAATATCATAAGAGGGATAATTATATGAACAATATTCATAATCTATGAAGACAATTTCCTTATCCTTCTTAGATGTATTAAAAATGTTTAATTAATTTAAATCATTATGGCAGAATTTTAACTAAAAATATTATTAAGAATAATACCTCTTCATGATTTTCTCTACTAGTCATTTAACTTAAATAATTGAATTCTTCTTCATTATTTAAGAAATTTTCAATGCACTCTAATTATTTAAGTTCTACATCTGTATACAATTCATGTTTTTCTATCTTCTTCAAAACATTTGCTTTCATTTCTTAAGATATAGTCTTCTTAAGAATCAAAGATTAACCATCATTAACTATAGGAATCTCCATTTAATGGAATTTCTATAATACTCCCATAGCCTTAAATTAAAAATCAGCTTCAGCCATTTTTTCATTGTTAGGATGTATACCATTTTTTACAAATTCTTCCATTCTCCAACTGCTACCGCATTCCAATTATTAAGGTCCTAAGTCCATATCAGATATTGTCTTAAAAACGATTCTCTCTTGTTATGAATCTACAAATCTTTCAGCATTCCCAAATCTAATTTTAAATGATAAAACTCATTACTCTCTAAATAAAATTGTTTAAGGTGTAATGTCTATCATTGCTTATGCTTTATAAGTGATGTTTGTTAACCCTGTCAATCTAGTTATGCTAATTTATGAAGGACTGACTGATTTCCATTAAGAGAATTTCTCTGAAATGATTTCCTTTATTGCATATTCTGTCAGATGTGTGCTTCTTGTGTTCATTATTTATTATATATCAATTTTGTAAATACAATATCTCAGGTATACAAAGGCACAATATTGTTGTAATATTCGTACGTACCTGATTTAAATCTGACGTGTATTTTTTATAATATTTCGTATTAACAATTATTTTTATACAAACAATTTACAATATGGCCATCAAAATTTATAAGTACTTATCATATTTACTTCTTTTCTTTTATAATTATAAATTATATATTCCTATTTCATCATTAATACATTTATACTATTTTTTTAATCACAGCAATCTAAAATATCACCTATTTTAGATATATATAATTATTTTAGTCATCTCTGCTTTAGATCAACTTATTTCTTATATTCAATTTAAAGAAAAATTAATTTTTAATCTATTATCTAATTAATTGAATTTGAAGAATTACTGCAAAATATTATTTAAAAAGACAGATTACTTTAATAATTGTTCCTTAATCGACATTTTTAAATATATTAAGATAATCCATTGGCAAAAGATTATAACTCTTAGATATAAACTTTAATATATAATTGAAGAACAATATTGAAAATTATAATTAAGACCAATTTCTTGTAATTAAATTATTAAAACATAGTATTAAGTCATCTCAATTTAAATTTTTAATTAAAAAATTTTTTTTCAAACTCAAAATATGTAAAATGAGTTAAAAAATATCAAAAAACTGAGAACAAAACTATTACAAGATGTTGGTGGATAATACTTGATAATTTAAGCAAAATGAAATGGTTTCACCAACCTTACTGGTTGCTAAATTGGTATTGTTATTAATACTTCAAAATGAAAAAAAAGTAAATAGGTTTAAAAAAATTTAATGTTCTGCTTAGAGATACCTTATTGAAAAATTATGGTTTTGAATCTTTATAATAGATTTAATTTGTATCTGGATAGAGAATCAAAAATTTTAGATTCTAAATCAAATTTATAAATATATAAAAATAGATAGAAAAACCAACATCATATATGATGTTCCAGTAGAAAACACTAAGAATTTATTCTTACTTTAGGGTTGGTTTCCAAAATGACCTTCTTAAAATTGATTCTATCTTTTGGATCATTTCTTATTCCTTAATTATATTTAATTACATTCTTTTTTGGAGATCCTCATGATTGAATACTCTATTATCGATTGACTCCTACTGTATTCCAATTCATATCAACTTATCTTAATTAGAACTATTGTTGTTACTGACCAATTTCTTATATTTGTAATTTTTCTTACTGCTAATTTTTTATCTTTATAATCTAAAAAAAATAAGTTTTAATATATTATATTCAGCATAAACAAATATTGACTCTAAAATCTCCTATTTTTTAGCTCAACTCTTTATATTTTAATTTTTTTCCCTATGAGTTAAAAGATAGGGAAAGAGAATAAAAGATTTCAAAATGATGAGTATAATTCTCAATTTTCAACTCTCAACTAATGGGATATTTAAATAATGGAATTAATATTAGAGATTTAACTGTATAAAAACTTTAATTATTAGTTTGCCCTGCNATCCATTGGCAAAAGATTATAACTCTTAGATATAAACTTTAATATATAATTGAAGAACAATATTGAAAATTATAATTAAGACCAATTTCTTGTAATTAAATTATTAAAACATAGTATTAAGTCATCTCAATTTAAATTTTTAATTAAAAAATTTTTTTTCAAACTCAAAATATGTAAAATGAGTTAAAAAATATCAAAAAACTGAGAACAAAACTATTACAAGATGTTGGTGGATAATACTTGATAATTTAAGCAAAATGAAATGGTTTCACCAACCTTACTGGTTGCTAAATTGGTATTGTTATTAATACTTCAAAATGAAAAAAAAGTAAATAGGTTTAAAAAAATTTAATGTTCTGCTTAGAGATACCTTATTGAAAAATTATGGTTTTGAATCTTTATAATAGATTTAATTTGTATCTGGATAGAGAATCAAAAATTTTAGATTCTAAATCAAATTTATAAATATATAAAAATAGATAGAAAAACCAACATCATATATGATGTTCCAGTAGAAAACACTAAGAATTTATTCTTACTTTAGGGTTGGTTTCCAAAATGACCTTCTTAAAATTGATTCTATCTTTTGGATCATTTCTTATTCCTTAATTATATTTAATTACATTCTTTTTTGGAGATCCTCATGATTGAATACTCTATTATCGATTGACTCCTACTGTATTCCAATTCATATCAACTTATCTTAATTAGAACTATTGTTGTTACTGACCAATTTCTTATATTTGTAATTTTTCTTACTGCTAATTTTTTATCTTTATAATCTAAAAAAAATAAGTTTTAATATATTATATTCAGCATAAACAAATATTGACTCTAAAATCTCCTATTTTTTAGCTCAACTCTTTATATTTTAATTTTTTTCCCTATGAGTTAAAAGATAGGGAAAGAGAATAAAAGATTTCAAAATGATGAGTATAATTCTCAATTTTCAACTCTCAACTAATGGGATATTTAAATAATGGAATTAATATTAGAGATTTAACTGTATAAAAACTTTAATTATTAGTTTGCCCTGCTACCATACACTTAATTTAACAAAAAAGTCATTAAAATCTTGGTGTATTTAATTTTTATAATAGTATAACAATGATCTTAAATGCATTTACCAAAAAATTCGTTATTATTTTAATTTGTCATTAAATTGATGGAGTATTTGAGATGTTAATTAAATAAAAAATTAAACTTTTAACACTATACTAATTATGAAGCTGATGCCAAAAGCAATGTTAAAATCTGTAAATCTGTAAATCTGTATAGTATCTTCCATTTTCCTTCTATATTACAAAATAGCCATTTTAACAAATAAAATTTTATTTCTCCATTCAAAATACAATTTTGATAGTAATACAACATGCTTAATTAAATATATTTAAAATAACACAGACAAAATTGAAGAGTTACCTCTTCCATCTTAATCTTATATTTCTTATAAGACTAACTCTTGTTTAGATAATTTTAAATCCTTAAAAAAATTAATCGTTTTTGTTTTAATGGATAAAAAAATTATTAGAATTATAAAGTGGACTTGCATATTATATGGCATCCTTTCATTCTTCACATTCGTCGCCTCACCTCATATTAGTAGAAAGAAATACTTTTTATTTTTTGGTTTTGAACTGATTTTGATAAATAAATGAATGAATGGTAAATAGCACTAAATTTTTGAATCTATCATTAATTATGTTAAAATTGTAGATGGAATGATGAATAAAATCTAAGAGGGCAAACGATGGTTTTAATCTGCACATCTAGATGATTCAATGAATATTAAAATATTATAAAAACAATTATTTACTTTTTAGATTCGAAGATAATTTGTAATATAATTATTTCTAATATCAATATTATATAAAATATTGTCAACAATGTTAAATAATTAGGTTAAAGATGATATATCACATTTTAGAGAGTAAGAACCTTTTGTGTGTTAATTTATAATCAAAAGCTCTTTTGAGGATTATGAGATACTCTTCAATTCAATTAGAAAATATACATTGAAAAGAAGAAGAAGTTTGAGTAAAATAAATAAATTTAATGGTCTTTAACATTCAATTTAATTTTCTTAATCTTTAAAATATCTAAATAATTAAAATACCATATAGCTTTAATAAAGCTTAAATGGTTAATTCTTGTTCTATCATTATTTTTATCAATTTAAATTTTTTTTAATTTAAATTTATTAATTACGATGAAGTACATAAAAAGATTAAGAAATTATGAAAAAAAATCCAATGGATCTATATGGCAAAGTTTAATTGTTCTTTGAGTTTCACAATTTAGTAATATAGGCTATTTAAGTTATCTATTCATGTTTCTCTTATTATTTTGCCTCTAATGATTTGCCTTCTAAATAAATGATAAAAATTAATTTAATATTTAAAAGAGAAAATGCTTGAGTAACAATAAAATTTTATATAAATAAAATTCAAGTAATCTTTTTGTTTCTATTAGTAGGAGTAGATACTTATTTATTTGATTAGGACAAAGTTGGTAAATTTTCAGGAATTCTAATTTGTCTTGTTGAATTGAACAATTTAGCCATTCCGCTAACTTCTGACCCTTCTGCTTGTATCGGCTAATCCTCAAATTAATCCTAAATTTGTTTGCGATGAGAATTTTAAATTGCAATTCTGTGTAAATCAATGTGCTTCTTAGATTCCGTTTTTTGCAACTAAGAAGTTGGAATATCTAATAAAAAAATTAAGTTGAATAATTACCAGAGATATCCCTAGAACCAAGTCTAATAAGTTTAGAACTGTATTAACTGAATTTAGAGGCTCCAATAACAGAAGTAGCTTTCATTTCAATTTTGGCAAATGAATTGTTAGATACACATGAAATTGATTCAACAGAATTCAAATATCCTGTAAAAGCCGTTTATCTTTATTCTAAATTCAAATCTATTGATCCCATTTTTACATTGTTCTTGTATGATTAATTATAGTCATTTAAGTTATTTTGATATTTTTCCAACTTGACTTGATGCTCTTTTGCTAATTCCTTAAAATAAGGATGCCTTAAACACTAATTTAAGGATTCAAATAAGTACCTCACTTGAACTCATTCTATCTTAAGACTTTTTTAGTAACATGAATTGAATTAAATTTTACATCTAAATAGGTGCTGATTTATATAATGAATCATCGAAATCAATAATGCAATCTTTATTAGCCTTTAGAATTGCTTTTTAATCTTTTCCTGTGAATGGTTGACCTCCAGTCTATTTTTGTAATGAAATGAAAAAGATACAATCAAGAGATATAAAATAATTCCAGCACTAAAAACATCACATTTCTCATTATAGAATTACTAACCATCATTATATTCCAAAATTTCAGGAGCCACAAATCCAGGAGTACCACATCTTTTAAATAAAATGTTATCATCTAATAAAGATGCTGCCAATCCAAAATCAGCTAAAACAATATCATAATTATTTTCATAAGATTTAAGAAGTAAATTTTCAGGTTTAAGATCTCTATGTGCAATATTAAATTGATGCAAATGATTTAAAGCTGATAATAAGTTATAAGCCAATCTTTATAATGTTTCAGCAGGTAAGAAACCTAAATATAAAGAATAATGATACCTGTTTCTCTCACTCTTTATAATAGTTCTCCACCTGCCACAATATCTACAACAAAATAGACAGAATTAGCAGTTTCATGTACTTCATGCAATTTTACAATATTTGGATGGTTTAATTTCCTCATTAATTTCATTTCATTTAAAAGACTTTCAATTCCTTTATGCTGTTGTTGCATGAAAGATTTGCTAAAAGCTTTGATGGCATATTGGGTGTTGTTCTCCTTTCTAGTTGCTAGATAGACTTTAGCAAAACTTCCCTTTCCAATTAATTTAGAAACCATAAAAGCTTCATGGAAATTCTCCAGAAGACAAAGCTTCTTTAAATGGATTTTCCATTAATCATAACGAGACTTGTCGGATAGAAAGATCTCCAAGACTTTGGTTTGGTATTGAAATCTGAATCCATATTGCTGTTCATCAGAATTCAATTAAACTAAATGATCAGCACCTGGTTCAATATAAATTAAATGTGTAGTGAGGAGAGGTGCACATTTCAATTTGTCTACAGTTACTTTATATATATATTCTTATCCTAGTACAACAAAGATAGGTTTGACATTAACTTTGCCTGCAGTCAAAAATTCTTATTCAACTAAAAATGTTTAAGACTTTTATATTGTATGAAATTGGTTACATCCAAAACAGACTTATCACATGTTTACCAAAATTTATTCCTAGTTTTTCCAAAATCAAAGATAGAAATTGATTTTTATTCAGTCATTAATCTATATACTACTGAAAAAATAATAATTTAATAATTAAGTTTTATTATCAACACCTTTTTACCATTTTATTATTAGCACCAAAATTGATTTCTTCCTCGATCTTAAATTAAAAATCATCTTCTTCTGCTTAAGAATTACGTAATTAATCAAAAAGGGTGCTTGTTTATAATTCATTTCTATATAAATTCTAAAATTATTAATTTAAAACTTACATGATAAAGTGAACAAATCATAGTGCTCAGTTAAACAGGATTCAATACAGATTTTAGTGCATCCCAAACATAGTCAAGTTTAGAAGCTTAGTCCTAAATTGCCTTGATTTCATTTTTTATTTTGTCTAAAGAACTAATTAAATAATCATAATGAAAAAACCTTGAAATATTTTATTTCAATTATTAAACTTTATTCTAAAACTTTTTCAGTTTAGTGAGATTCTCAAATTATACACTTGTGTTTATAAAACCAGGCTTCATCCATTCTGTATAATCTCTTTAAAATATTAATAAATCATATACTATTCAGAATTAGCAAACATGTCTTTCGAATAGGAACATGCATAAAGTAAATATTTTACTTGCATTGGTAATAATATTTCAGCAATGCTATCAAAGTAAACTCTGGCTGTGTCATTTCTTTCCTTTGAATTTGATTGAATTCTGTATCTTAATGCATCCATGATGATACCAATTTCGTCATCGCTAACTTTTTTTATTAAACATAATTCTAATTTCTCAAACATTTGTTGTTGCTACTCTAAAAATGTTTAAAACTAATAATAAAACTTAACAACTTTACTTTCTATGTTTTCTTATTTACTATTTCCATAGATTGTGCTTAACTTTTACAAATATCCTTCAGTTTCTCATTTTCTTCTTAAAGCTCCGAAACTTATTTTTCTAACAATTATTAGTATATTTTCTTCCTTTCTCTTGAATTTTTCGCAGATTCTCTATTTTTTGCCAATTTCACTTGAGATGGATCAATGATCTCATTCGATGTTTCATTTTGTAAATTCTAAACCCTCTTTCTCTCTAATTTCTATTGACTTTTTGATGATCTTGGAGTTACAGAAGGGGATACTGAATTGTTATTTGAAGTTCTCTTCTCCAATAATGATTCAATCTTATCCCTGTAGATACTCTTGCCTTAATTTTGAGGAATTTGCAATTTTACTTCAGGTTTAAATTTACTATTGATTTATTCAGCTGATTCTATATATAATATTTTAAAGCTCACCTAACCTATAATCTTAATCTCCTGAATATTATGATCGACTATTTCTGTCTGATTAGACTGAATGTTTTTATCTCGACTAATTTGATGATTCCTCTTAAATCAACTGATTTTCCAAATCTTCTATTTTCATTTCATAAAATTGTTCCAAACTATTCTTCATCTCTTAATCCGTAGCTGGAAATTACATATTATTATTTTCGAAACTTCCACCTTATTATTCTCCATAACCTAAAAAGTTTTTACCAAAACTCAATCTAATATAGAAATATTTTTCTTAACTGTTATTCTTAACCAGATCCTGCTTAGAAATCAGCTGTACCTGCAGTCCCAACAAAATTATAAAATTATCCACTCGATCTTGAATTAAAGCTATCTGCCATGAGAATTTTTCTTAAAAATGTTTAAATTTTTATAATTATATAATCCATATAAATCAAAATTGCACTACATTTAAAATATTTTACAAATCTACTTTCAATTAGACTATCATAACAATTTATACTTTTGATTTCTTTAAACTTGACTATTCTTTTGGGATCAAAATTCAAATTATGAGATAGGTATTAGCTTGTCTTAATAAGAAGGATTAAACCATAAAATTAAATAGAGATATATCTATTGATTTTTAATAAAAAGTCTTAAAGAAAGTAAGCAAAAGTAAATAACGTAAAGATGTCAAGTTATAAATAAAAAATAATTATTGTGTTTTGCAATTCATCCTTTAGTTTATTTCATGTTCTGCATTATATTAATTATAAAATAATATTGTAAAGGTCAATAATTTTTAAATATTCATTTTTTATAAAAATTATACTGTATGTAATTTATAAACCTAATTACAATCTCCTTTTTCTATATAATATCTTGCAAAATGTGTTTCTTTAAACTTTCTTTCTTTAGAGTAATTAATTTTTTAGAATGTAAATTTCATCAAGATAAATAACAGTTTCTATTTCAGCTTAATTTCTACATGATGAGATTTTATAATTAATTATTTTTATACTAAATTATAAAAGCTCGCATTCATCATTGAATTTCATTATTCTTTTTTTAATTCATCTATCAAATGGTTTAGTTCTTTTATTCTATTTATTGATTTATGGATAGACTTTAAATCAGCAGCTAATCGAATTATAGTATGCTGAGCCATTTCAAAATTCATTTCAGCTTATTTTCTCATTTATGAGGATTTTTCATTTATTTTACTAACCTCCAATTATGCATGTTAGAGTGTTTGTATTCTAATTGTTGAATAACAATTTACATAGAATTTTAGTTATCAAAGGTTTCTTTAAGATCTTCATCTTTAAAAAATGCAATAGTTTGCATAATAATTTATATTATTATAAAATTCATACTGCTTTTCAATAATTAAAATTTATTCCAAGTTGTTATTTAAAATTTTGATGTATTTTTTTTGATAACATCAACCTTTAAATTGTTTAAATAAGCATAATAATTTTATGAAGAGATCTTGAATGATAATAAATATCAATTACAAATTTGGATTATATTATATTATAAATTATTAATTCTATAATCACTCTACATTAACATTCATAGTTTTTTCCTTTTAGCTATTTTTATCATCTAAAATTAATAAAATTATTACTTATCTTGGTTATTCATATTAGGCCCGTGTTACTTATAAAATCTATTTTAATTTCTGTAGTGTGAAAAAATGCAGACCTTATTTAAATTATACAATAATAGAAGGGTGATGGGTTTTAATTTAATGCATGGCTTATTTGAAAGTTTCAAATTCATCTACACTAACATAACCACTTTTAAATTTTGTTATTTGTTCCTCTAAAATTTTCTTTTCCTCTGTAAAATTTTCATAACAATTGTCATCTTATTCAGAATCTGAATAATGTTCTTCATTTTGATCAAACTTTTCCTCCTTTTGCTACTCAATTTAATACGATAGTAATGAAACTATGTTACAACCTGTATTTAATAAAATTTCAGGATTATGAAGAATAGCATTAGAATAATAGATGATAAATAACTTAGCATCATAACCAGCTGTATAATTCATTCCATGTAATTCTTATTAAATAATCCCTATTTAATTTCCAATGATTTTTTCTGATAGTGATTTAATTGTCAAAAATGCACTTAAGAATATGCATTTTATTCTAGATACAAGTATTTCATCAATGTTGGTTTGCTTTATAATTTAATAGGATTGATCAAAAATTTGTCTAAGTATATTCTCATTAAGATCATTTCTTACACATTAAATTCCCAATTAAATTAATAAGGCTCCCTCGCATTTATCAAAATTGGAATTTAAATTAGAAACAATGTTTTATAAGGCCAGATGAAAATACTATGTTAAATTTATAATTATACAATTGATTAAGTTGCTTCATTAATAAAATATTCTCTACCATAATAGATATAATTATTTAAAAGTTCAAATAAGTATTAAAAAGAATAATTTTATGATTTGAGTACTTGTTCAAATTTTGGTAATAAGGAAATTTGATCAATAGTCACTCTTTTCAATTTTTATATTGTCAATGATACAAATTAAATCAATTTTTCAGTATATTAAATTGATTCTTCTTCTTTAAATTATTGATATAATTAAGCAATTTAATTTTCAATACATATTATGTAGTCATAATAGTTATATTAATTAACAATTTAATGAAGGATATTCCAAGATAAATCAATAAATATTTCTCTATTTATTTAATTCTAATTTATATTCTTTTATTCTTAATGTATTCTCTCAACAAGGCATTTTGCAATCAATTAAACAGTATTCTATTAAAATTGATATGTAGACACCCACTCTTCAATCATCTACAATATTCTTATATCACAAGTTAAAGTAATTTATGATGAAAATTTTTAGATAATTTCATCAAATAGGTTATTTTTCTCTATAAATCCTGGTTATTCATCCTAAGTAATGATTAAATTAATTGAAGTGATTTATTAATAAAATAATGCCATTTTTTTAAACTATTCAAACTTAATGATATTTTCAAGGAATTATTTATAAAATAATTAACTCACAATAAATTTAAGAATAGAATAGCTTTCACCAATCAATTTTGTATAAAGAATTTAAATTAATTCATCTTAACATTAAAGAACAACTTGGTAACTATTTTATATTATAATTGCTAAATATTCTTGTATATCTTATCTTGAGTTTAAATTAGGTAAAATATTGATTAGAATTATGAGAGATATTTGTAATCGTTATTTACTATCATGATTATAAAATATTGTGCTTAAGTATTATAAAAAGTTACTTATTTTATAATAATTTAATATGGTTGAATTCCTGTTCAGTTATAATGAATAATTAATTTGATAATATTTCATTTATTGAATATTTAAATAACACAAAGGCACTTGAAGATAAAAAGGATAAGGCTCCATCAATATGTTTAATCAAAGCTCGAATAAAATCTAATGTTTGATTATGAAGAGATTATAATTTATTTTCATCATCATAACTTAGTTCTTATTAAACAAAATCTAATGGTTCATTTTATAAAAGTTGTAATTAATTTGTAGAATATACTAGATACGAATACAAATGAGTGATTATCAATTATTAGTAGTAGTTTTAGTAAATATTATAGAATTCTATTTAATTAATTGTAGCTGACAAAATATTTAAAATATTAATAGTGACATCTTCAGAAATTGTAATTTATAAGGATTGTATTAAAAAGAGAATCAACTAATTCAATTGTTAATATATTGGGAATATTTAAAGTTGTTATTTATTCCTACTTGAAAGCATTCTGATAATTATATGCTTATAAGATTTTAGAGTTAAAATTTTAACATTTTAAATTGTTGAATTGCTTTAATATTAAATGTAATTGTTCGAAGATTAAAAAGAGAAAATATTAATGAATAATTGACTTAACTCTTTGTTTTGAAGAATGAAGTTTTAAAAGAACAAATATTTTTGTTAATCGTACCTAAAAAAGCGAAAGAGTGTTCCTTCAAAGCATTCTAAAAAGTAAAAGTAGATAAGGTAATCATTTTCTAAGCTTAATGATTTAATCATAATTTTGCTGATTTTTTCAATGTAATCTATGTACCAAGAGTATGTATTTTAATCTACAGAGTCAGCATAAACTATTGTATCTGTTAATAATTTGAAAATCTAAATGGATAAGATTATTGATCTTTAATCTTCTAGATAGAGAAACATACATTCTTTATAATGATGACTATATTCTAAATTTAATGAATGCTTATACATATGTCTTCTTCAAATATTAAATTTATAGCTTGTTTTAATAGATGTTTGATTTTGCTAGAGACATTAAGATTAGTGTATATTTCTAATAGTGTTTGTTTGAAAGGTTAAGCAATTAATTCTATACATTAACAATATTTTTACATTGATTTTATTTCATTAGTTTAATTGTTGCATTCATAACTGTGGCAATTTAGGGGGAATCTGAATTTAAATGAAATTTCAATACTTTATTCTTGTACTATTATTAGCAACCCCAACTGTTAAAATTGCTGAGGATTAGTAATTAATAATTAAATTAATTATGATTCAGCTTGCTATCTATGAGGGGAACAAGAAAATGATGTCAGAAGTAATTATTAAACTTCATTCATTAAATATAATAATTTATTTAAAAATTAATATAATCAATATAAATTTTTTATTATCAGATTATCAAAAATATTAAATTGAAAAATGTATGATTATTTCTTATATAGCTTCTAATTAATAGATGAATGGATTCACTATATGCTTGAAAGATCATCAAATATCTTAAACTAGATCTAAATTGAAGAATATAAATACATAAAATGAAATCTATTATTAATAAATTTAGAATATAATTTTATGAATTAACTTTTATGTTTTTTATATTTTTCATTGTAAATATGAAATTTCAATTGTATAATCATAAACATGATAACGTATTATTAGATTAAGATAATCTAATAATACGATGTTTTGGTTGCTGATGTAAGGAATCCAAATTTAGAGGTAGATCTGATTTTATTATTCTTACTTTATTTTGGATTTAATTTTTAACTAACGGATCAGGTGGTTCTTTAACCTTGGCCATATTTTCATATTGAATTATTAATTAAAATATGTAAACATTCTTATTTTTTTAGACCTGTGCAATAGGAGAATAATTTGATTGATCATCCATATTTCAATTAGTTTTAGAATCACTTTTAATAACAATACTTAATTCATTAGATTAAAATTATTTATATCTTAAATAAAAATATATCTAGTTAATTAGATGTCTTTTTTAATAATCTCCTTATAAAATTCTAATTATTTTAGAATTATTGGTCCTATAAAAATGCATTAAAAATCGAAACTATTAATTTATTAATTTCTAATGAATCAAGTCTATTATCTTTAATTATTTTATAAATAAATAAAGATGAAAGATTGAATCTGAATCGGAAATTATGTTGAAAATAAATTTTATTAAATTTAATA